CGCTGCTCGTAACAAAGAGGGGGTTTCTTTCGAGATAAATATCGCCGAAAGCCCTCCTTTTTAAAGGCTGTTTAGATAGCCTTTTCGCCGTAATCCTAGCCTAGAATAGAAGGTATCTTAACCTAAGGTATTTCTCTATTTTAGCGAGAGGTAGTTAGCTACTCGATAAGGCGCTTTCTTTAAGGTATATTAAGGAGGATTTAGCGGCCGTATTTCGCTTTCTTTTAGGGAGTAAGATAATAAGATATCGTAAAGGTAACTTAATCGTAAGTAAAGCCTATTTAGAGGTATATCTATACTCGTGTGAAATTAGCGTCGAAATAAAGAGTCTATACCCTTAATCGGTCGTCCCGGGTAAGCTCTTTTCGGGGTTACTTAGGCGTAGGTACTAAGATCTATAAATCTATAATACTCGTTACTTTAAAAAGGTCGAAATACACACTAAAAATCGTCTAAAAAGTAGCGATAGGTCATTTTAACGTCATTAGCTAGAAGGGGTTGTTTTCAACTTATTTTTCGGGCACCTTATAGAAATTACCAGAATTCTTGGCGGAAGCTTTACCCCTGTACCATAGTAGTCCCACGCCAGTACTATAGACGCCAATGGATTCCGAATTAGATCCGAAAAGTTCGGTATCTAAGGCAGCTCGCGCAGCCAGCCTCCACCTTCATTCATGACTTCCTCTGGTCTGTCCAAGTACTTCATCAATGCTCATCCACAGACAGACCCATTGTTGCCGACCCGATGGGACGTCTACGACTCTACACACAGGCAGCGGTACAATCACAAAGAGGCGACATGCAGCGCGTACAATGGACAACCGAATGATGAGATGGACCTTTCAAACATATATATTTCAGTTTCAGCACTCGATCCAGTAGCTTCCCGCTCCCGCGTTGGCGTGCGACCCGTGCCTTCCACGAGGCGTTATGATGTGGACCTGTCACTGTGAGGAGCTACAGTAGTCAAGAGTCCAGCGAGTCATAGGTGTGAAAACCTCAACATGGACGGGAGTCCTGGACGCTGATCTAAGGTTTCTTCCTCTGTTTCAGACCTCTCAGTCTCTCAGTCTATTAACTTGAAGACGCCAGAAATATCACACATTCCAGGCATTGCCCAACTCAAGTTGGCAAATCAAACCGCAACTTCCACCAAATGAAAATGTCTCGGGAGCTTCGTGATACTCGCTGTAGTTCACAAAGCACAAAGCATGGAAGCAGCTCATCTCAACTTCTCCAGAATTCCTAGCAGAGCTTTGTACCAACACACTATGGGATCACGTTGTACTGTCCACAATACCGCGACACAGCAACTGGCCTCGGCTTCGTATGGCTGGTGATTCGGGGGGCACCTGCATATGGGGGTGTTACTGGTCGTTTGCCAGTAGTGACACCGGATCTCTAGCGGGGTTCTGCAAGAGTCCTTTTAGCGAGCTTCAGCTGCTGTGGATTATCACTGATTAGTTTTGACTACTATGTTTCGACTAACGATTGCACTTCTGGGCATACCTCGGGTTTTCGACTATACCTCGAGAGTCGTCGAAACTATTCATAGCACTCTTTGCTCCACATCCAGCTCTTCTTGACGCCACTCAGGGGTAACTGTGAGTTATGCCCCCAACAACACCTCGAGGCGCAGCAGAAAGATAGGTCCGCTACCCTCTGACAGTCCCACGGTCTGGGAGCGAGAGGTACAGAGCAGAGGTACCTTGCAGAATTATACCCACACAGTTAGACACAACTTCTTTGCGGGCCACAACTACTATATTATTCAGTTGTCCTCTCGGAGTGTATTGATGTCGGAAAATTATGCACCCCAGCTTAGAGATACTTAGCACTCCACGAATAATCCTACGCAGATCGCCGTTTGTTTGAACATATATCCATGCTTAGCCAACGCTATACCACCAACCGTTGCGCTTCCGCCCGGGTGGCATTGATGGCTGGACTATCTGTTTCAACGAAACATACAGCACAAAATCATTGTGAGAAACATCAAGGATGGCGTTTATGCTGCAGGCTAAAACTGCCAAGTTCAATTTGAAGCCAGGGCCTCAATTTATGTACTGAACCGAAAGTATAATCATTTTTTACCGAGTTCGTGGTGATTCGCATCAGTACGAGTAGGTCATACCCGTCCGATGAGACTTGCCGGTGTTGCTGCTCTTCGACGATACCTCAACGTCTTGCAGGTTTTAAGAAGTTATGTTTGAACGGTCTGCAACGCGGCATTCCTGTCAAGTTGTCAATTCAGCGTTGACAATTTGGCGAAGGCTTGCAAAACATCCCGCTAGGATTTTCCTTGATGATGGGAAATCCTGCCCAGGTCCCAGCGTCGATCAACCAGTCATTTTGTGCTTTTTCTGTGGCATCCCTGCTGACGATCGTCATTCGCCGCGTTCGAACCGTCTAGCCTTGCGAGGACGTTGACAGGTCAGAACAACATAAAATAGATGAACTCCAGCGATCTCCTGGGCGAATGCTTTGAACCTGCAATCTTTCGATTGAAACATATTGAACAACTCCAGCTGGAATAGCAAGGATTCAACGTATAAGGAAGCCTGTATTTCTCTACTTTGAGCGCAGATATCTATCATATTGTTTCTACCGATTAGCAATCTTGCTTACGCCGCTTTGGCGGTTCTTTAGGTGATCAACTTGACAGGATCTACCATAGAAACGCCTGCGATGCGAGGCTCAACCTTGGTGCTACCACACGCGGATCGCAAAGAACTAGACTCTTCGTAGGTACGATTTGTACGAGCCACTTTCCCAATGATGGCATCATTACCTTTCTGAACCGGTCCAGGCTATGTATTCCTCACTCGACGCCTGATGAATTGCAAATGCTGCTTAGTTGATTCTGGGCATATCTAGCAGCGTACCGTTCTTATTACTATATGGTTCCGGCGGTTTGCACATATCGTGGGTCGAGTATGGAGATGACGTGCCAGCAATGGTACATCACCCTTTTAGAAAGTTCCTGTGACACTCGACACTCATCCGATATTGATGTTAGCAAGTTGGACTCGTGGTCCGCACACTCAGACCTCTTGGCGGAATCCATTATCAACGCGTGTCTCGATCGAAACAAGTGCACAAGCTGCTACTGCAGAGCGCCGAGGTGGCACCAAGCTCGCAATGGTTTAAACGTCCTTGGGAATGACCGTAATTATTAGAGACTGCTTTATCAGACTGGCCCTTTTCCCAAGCTTTTGTGGTTCTGCCTCTTCAATAGCAAACGGGCGGGGCATCGCTGGCTCACTCCTACTCTGTCACTCTATCTGGCAGGACTTGGACCTACTGTACAAAGTTAGCTCAGTACGTAGCGTCCAAACCGCGTGCCCTTTCCCTCCAAGCAAGAATGCGAGCGGAATACGTGCCGCGCTATCACGGTGCGTACAAGAGGAGTCCATCTGCAGCAGTCAAAAGCATCTGCTAGTTGACCATAGACTTTACCCACGGATGCATTCAGGTCTGGACAAGGCAGCGTCATTGTTGCAAGCAATGTCATGTCATGCAGTACCCAAACAGACTGCTTATCGCATATACTTTCAAAGTGAGTTGTCGAGCTAAATTTGAAGTGACCACGGACGAGCAAGACTCGCCCCGCTGGACACCCAGCCGCCCATCCGCCCATCTGCAGCCCGGATCGTGAACTACCCTACAGCCAAGCACTGCCAGAATTGGTGCCGTTGCACCACGCCATCATCACATCCTTGCCCCGAGGTCCCTTCAGTCCCTTCAGATGCACGTCCGTGGAGTAGGGGATCGTTGCAGGGAAGCGGGATTGGAGTCAAGCCGTTGATCAAATCGCAAGCCTTCCAGCTTCCCCTCGCTCCGTGCTTTCCGCCCGGCATTCTGCATCTCAAACTGCACCCTCAACTGCCCTGTCCTGCACCGCAGCTGCTTCCCCCTGGTCCGGTATCAATGTCTTCAGGTTCCTCTGTTCGTCGGAGAATTTCGTGACTTGTGCCTTTTCCAGCGAAGTGGAGACCCGTGTGTGAGCAAAAGAAGGAGGTTTATCGCAGGACCGTGGCTCCAAGTGGACGACCCCCATGGCCGATCTTCCTGATCTTCTATGGCGTTTGGTTGTCTTATGATCTTGCTGGTTGTGACTATTGTGGTTGTGGTTGTGGTTGTTGTGGATCGCGTTTTCCTACGATAATTGTTCGTGTGCCGCCTGGCCCTTTGTCCTTTCCTCTTCCCTCGAGAATTCCATATCCTCTTAGACCTAGGGGCAAGCGACCCGATATTTTTTTGGCACTGGCACTGGCACTGGCACTCGCCCCTTTCAGTAAACTCAAACCAACTCCTCAACTCACCAGACTACTGAAGTGCCTGCTCCACCGTCACCCAGCATCGGAGCCACCTCTCACCCGGATGAGCAGTTTTGGGACCTATGGTGCTTTCAGTCGACGAACCATCACGGAAACTGCTTGGCTGGCTCTAGCGACAAATCCGACAAGGAAGCCTGGCAAAAACCCAGTCGTCCACGCCGGCAGTCGATTTTAGATCCATGTCATCTGTTCCCCTCAGACCGATCAAAATTGGGCGACTTGTCTCTCTGGTCTGTGACTGACGTTCACCCACAGCAGCCTTACTTAAGTGCCCTCCCCCCAGCTGTTTTCACACCCTCCGAGCATATTTTGTTTCTGCAGAAATCGTCCTGGAGACAGCATTGATCGGTACTCGCTGGCTAGAAGAATTGATCGACATTGGACATTTGGACAACCCACGTACCCTGATTTCCTTAGCAATTTAGTTGCAGTAGCACCGCCATTGACGCTCGTCGCTGTCGCTGACAGAAAAGAGATCGTCCCGAGGCCCATCCTGATTGTTACACACAGCCACTACGTCTCTTTAACTCCGCTCTTTCAGAACCCTAAAGCCAAGCACGCTTTTCGAGGTTGATCTTCGAGAAGGTATGTGGACTTTTCTATCTCGTTCAATGCAACCCTTTAATTATCATTCATCAATCTTAATCCCTTCAACATCACATGTCGACTAACGAGCAACGCCCAGATAATAAAGAACGTGTTGGATATTCGACTTCATTGTCGACCGAGACGACAAGCACTTCGTCTTCTGTAATGGGAGAGCTGCCGCCTTCTAGAGCCGCATCTCGATCAATTCCACCGTCGCCATACGGTAACATGTCGGTCCTTACTTTACAACAACACAACCCTCAACACTATGGTCGGCAAACTTCCCCACATGGCTTGTGGAATTTCCAGCAAGAGAGTAATTACCATCATGAAACAACGCAACCTCGGCTTCCAACCATTGCAACCGTATGTCTTGTTCTTCCGTCTTATCTCTTCGATCTAACGTCTTGTAGGCTATTGGTCTTGAATACTTGAACCCCCGACCTGAACCGAGACCGGATGTCAGAACAACCTATTCTCCTGTAGTAGAGAATCAACCTTATCCGGCATATATACCTTCTCCAAACACACGCAAACGAGCCAGACCTTATTGCGACCAAGAGATCGAAGCGGCAACCCCACGAACCTACCACGCACCGAGCCACGCATCCCCTCGTCCACAAAGTGGCAGGACAACGCCAATCACCGGTCCATACGACACATTCAACCACGGAAACTGGGATAGAAATGGTCGGGAGAAATCCAAGGTCAACTTCAGCCCTGTCCGTACCCTCGAACCTGAGAAACGTACTCTCCCAGCTCTACCCGGACTCAAACCACATACAAGGGCCGAAAGCTTGCAGCCTACTCGAATGTATGATTATAATTACGAACCCGTAAGGGAGACACGCACCTACCCACAGATGCTTACCGCTCCTTTGGATCCACCACCTGTTCACAATCAGTATACTGTCCCTACGGTTCACCAAAGATCTGCATCCTTTGCATATCATCCGCAACAAGCAAATCAGTACTACAGTCCCATACAACATCATTCGGTTCCTTATGCTCCTTCTCAAGAGCGCACGCCATTTTCGAGCAATCCCCAACACTTAAATACATACTCCAACGGCCATAGTTACGGAGCGAATGAGCCTCCCAATGAGACAGCGCCAAGGAGAAGACGAGGAAACTTACCCAAAGAGGTCACGGAGATCTTGCGAGAATGGTTCCACAGTCACTTGCATCGCCCATACCCAACAGAGGAGGAGAAGCTTGAACTTATGGCCCGCACTGGATTGCAAATAAGTAAGTTCACAAATCCGCAATCTGAGTACGATGACTAAGAATCACAGACCAAGTTTCCAACTGGTACATCAATGCTCGTCGCCGTCAATTGCCTGGCTTGATCAGTGATGCCAATGCTGAAAGAGCGCGAATGGCTGCACAGTCCAATGTCGTTTACGGCAGAACGGACAGCATCAGCGACGTCTGCTCGTCTGAGGGTGAATTTGAACCCGATTTCAAAAGACCTCGACGAGTGTCACGTTAAAATTCGATCATCAACACATTCGAAAAATGATTCATTCCTTTTCTTTTTTCGACGAACCTTACACCCACGAAATGAATGAATGCCTTCATGATACCCCAAAACATTACATATATACTTTTTAATCAAAAACATTGCATTCGATCCTTAGAGGTTAATGGCCGCATAGGCACATCAAAAAATTACTTAATAATGGTCGGGCGAAGGGGCGAAGGGTGCTCCTGTAGGGGTAGGGGGGTCAAGTGTTGTAATGCGGACAGACAGACTATCTATCCTGTAGAATAGATTTTTAGATTAGACCTCGAAGAATGAGGATATTATTATTACATAGTATGGGTTTGATTTGAAGTGATTGTGATGATGTGGTTCTAACAAAGGCAGGGTTACTATCTTGTGGTAAGATTACAAGATGGTTCTACAGTATCATTCAAGGGGCAATTGGTCTCACAATACAGAACGGTCTGCAATCCGAAGTCATCTCACTCATCACGATTTCTACGTGTTTGCTCTGTCGCAAGGGTCACATGTTCCATGTCTCTTTTTCTCACGATCTGTCGATTGAGACATACATTTCGGTATCCAACGGATGGACTTTGTCATTGAGACGTCATTATGGGAAGAAATTTCTTTTCGGATGGCCAGGTGGGCTGTCTAATGGGGATCGAGATTAGAGTCACCAGAGGGTTAGGCAAAGGTGGAATGGACTGGGTTAGTTTGGCTTGGGGGTGTTGGGGATGGTTGCGATGGGTTTTGATGGTTTTGGTTAGCTGGTTTTGGTGCTGGTTGCTTGGGTTGGGTTTGTTCATTTGGGTTGGTTTCGTGTGGTTGGGATTGATCGGGTGGTTCTGGTTCTTTCGTTTGATACGGTTTGTGGAGGGTTTATGATGATATATCTATCTTCGCCAACATTTGTTACCCGATCTGGGATGGACTGTAGAATTTCTGGATCAAAAGTTCTGGACGAGGAGCTCTTGGCTCTCTTCGATCTCAAAGGATTTCGTCCTTTGGTACCGGTGGGGTTACTGCTGAAGACGGTGTTGTGGTCGGTATCTTGGCTTGACGATGAGTCTGAAGATAGAAGCTTCGAATTGTTTGGCGGCTGGCGTCGGTACATTGTGCTCTAAACATGGTCCTGTTCCTGGTGGTTGTGGGCATTTTCTGTTTCTCGTGGAGTCTGGCAACGGTGCTGGAGCTGGTGTTGAATTCGTCTTCTTGGCTGGACCACACGGAACAAAATGGATGTTTAAAATGCTTGTCCGGTTGACATCGGGTCTTCTGGCTCTAGACGCGGTACTCCTGTTGGTGTTGAGTTCATCTTCTTGGCCCGACCAAAAGTCTGAAGTTTTAGTAACATGCCGTCAAAATATCAACATCCTCGTAGTACGTACACTCTTTGCCCAACTCTGGCACCGGTACTTTTGGTTCGAAAAACGGTACTTGACTTCGACTTCTTGGCTTCATCATCTTCCTTCCCATCAACACCTTTCTCCGACAACAAGACATACTTGGCGATATATTCTCCTTAATTGGCTGTTATCCTAGTCGTGAAGATTTTGTTTAGACCGCACGTCTAAATGAGGAGAAGTTACGTCGTGTGATGATGCAGCTTTGACTAGTCAGGGCCCTACCGTCTTAGCCAGGGGCTAGGATGGCGACCGGTAAATTCCGAATTGATTCTGTCTATTTTGAGAATAGACCTTCAAGGACTCGTAGTGTATTTTTAAGTCAGATCGAGATTTAAGGTTGATGTACTTTTTAGCTAGGAGGTTGGTGAAGATAGTGGTTTGGATGTGGAGAGGAGTTTGCCGTGGGGAAGGTTAAGCGAGTGGTCTGAACTTTCGTGAGGGGGGATGGTGTATCTTCTAGTCATCATGTGATTTTAAAGACAACTTCATAGTGATTTCGTCCAAGCCATCACATGACCTTTAGGAAATAGAATTATTTCGTCATCCAAAAGTTTTCGATTGTCTCAGCATAACAAATCTACCGAGAGTAAGATCCTAAAATGTAGTCAGGTGACCAAGGGGAAAGGGTGTAAGTCCTAAGCTAGAACCGCCTTTTTTGTGGATAAATACCTCTTCTCGAACAGTCTGAACATCCATCTTCCTCACACAGCTTCACTTCAAGCATCTGGACATCGGATGCTCTTCATATTCTTTGTTGCAATGTCTGATAATGAGAAACCAAAGGCGAAATACCGACCTTCATATACCTTTACTTTCCATACTAGACGGCCTCAAACGCTCCGTCATCGCCAGCTAAATTTACTAGCCCTTCTCTTCGTTGGAAAACTAACGTGAAGTCTTCAGAACGGTGGCATGGCAACAGTCGTTTGTTTCGAGAATTTTCGAATTTCGGTCGACTCCGGTATAAGATATTTTGCTGTTGTTGACGCTATAGTGGATTCTAGATTCAGTCAATAGAGTTGCATATCCAGCTACAAACTGGTGTCTCTATTAGGCCAAATCACCCTCCACAGTTAAGTAACGCTGCGTATTCTAGCTCATACATATCTGCCAAAGGTACGGTTCAGCTAAACGTCGTGCTCAAATTCGGCGTCCGCTGATGAGAAATTGTTTCCAGACTCCATTTTCATCCAATAAGCTTTCGAGAAGAAGCCATACACCTCAGAACAGTTCTTTTACTGATTTATCACCAGGTCTTGGAGTCAAGTCATCTGCAAGCATCGTCCATGTTTCGGGTTCAACAACAAAAGAACGTTATGTTTGTTAGCAAAGACCGTTGCTAAGCGTCTGAATGCTTGATCAGATAGAAATGTCATGTTTGCTGTATGTCGAATTCCGAAAACATGTTTTAGTTTTACCTTTCGGCTTCATTTTGATTCCAATTTAGTCAACTGATCATCCAGTCCAGCAGAAGTCCAGCAAAATTCGACATGCAACAGAATTCTCGAAGACTGTACGAGAATGAACTATTTACCACAGTCTAGACGCTTGATCAGGTATACAGATTATATTCTGTTGCATGTCGAGTTCCAGCGACGTGGTTTCGTTTGTTGTTTTGTTCCTCTTTCGATTCCACCCACTTAAACTATTATCCAGGCAAGCGGTATCCGGCATGCGACAAACATCACCAAATGACCACTTTAAGGTAACACTCAACGCCTTATATTCCATTGTGAGAAGATGCTTTACGTTTTGTTGCACATCGAACCTTTGAAACCCGGTCAGTCTGTGACTTCATTTCGATCTCGATGTTCAGCCTCATTTGGCTTCCACAATGCGACATGCAACATAAAGCTTTGATAAACGTAACGCTATTGACTAATTTGGAATATCACCTATCTTTGTTGCATGTCGGAAATTCCCAGCGGTCTGTTTAATTGTTCTGCTAAAGCCTGGCTATATGATCCGGTACTTGTTTCAACCAGAATCTTCTGATTGAATATGATATCAAGTAATAGACGGTGTTTCCAGAAACACCCCTGCAATAGTTTCAAATTCGCTATCACATTGAGATCTATTACACATTAAGTTCTTTATGTCTGGTAGATGTGTCGTAAAGTGATGTGCTAGTTTTGCACGTAATTGAAGTCTGTTACATTCCTTAGTAGCTTTTCCCCTCAAATAAGGGCAAGCTATTCCTTTCTTCGTTCCCAGAATAATGAGATACTGACTTATGAAGAAGTGCTGAAGATTTTTGTATGCCCAGCGTTGGCGAGACCGTTAAGGTACCTTCCCCTATGTTTTTTTTTCGTGCCACGAATTTCAACCGGGCAAATCCTCAATTTCTATCACATTGTGACTCACTATGGTCTATGAACACTCTCGCTCGAGAGCCATGATGCAAAAGCGGGTTCACACAAGTGTTGCACGCTGTCTTTGGGGTCCAGCAAAACTTCTTCTTAGTCACTTATATCCATCGAAATGCTCATTCCTAGGCTCTCGAACATTCTGTCTATCATTTGTTGCATATCGCAATGGGCAAGTGACGAAAGAACGAAGAATTCGTGGTCTTATTAAGGTAGAAAGAAGAGTCTTTCATGATAGAAAAAAACTAATTAGATGTTTTGTTGTATATCGAGAAATTCAAGTGACGAAAAGTTTGGAAAAAATCGTCGTTTTAATGTTGTTCTATTTGAAATTCGCTTCTTTGTGTCTTCCTGGACAGATCTTCTGTTGCATTTCGCATGGAGTATACCGATAGCTAAAATAAGCTAGAATTTTGGTACAAAATCTAGATATAAACTGTTGCGCTGAATTTTCAATTATTGGACTAATGACGATTTGTTCCGGGTCGTTCGGTAAATATTTAGTCAGTTTACTTAGTGATTTGACGATCCGCCATCAGATATATAGAGGAGAGGTAGCCCTAATCGAAACGATGCAAGTGTATCGAACAAAAATTCTATACCGACAGTGACATGGAATTTTCTAAGTTTACTTAGAATTATCTGGAGGGATAAACTTCAGCTAAGTAGTGTCTCTTGTTCTCCCTTGACGGCGATAATCGAAGCCTAGGAAGTAGGACTGGAGATACTGACAAACTCTAAAGAGCTTAGATATTAGGGACTGAGCCGACTCTACTTGCGCTTTGGTCCTGTATCCTTCAATTACGCAATGAGGCATGAAGAGTTCCTTCAGTCATGGTTGATTCGCCCAGTAGGTAGAATAAATCATACCCTTTTACGTCACCCGGAGGTCATAACATATTGGAATACCCTTAAGAATTCGACTGGCTCCATGGTTCAGCGATATCACGTCAAATCGCGGAGTTCCCCGAAACATTGAGTTTGAACATTGCCAAAACTCCCCAAACCTAAAGCGGAACTACTGTAGGAGTCTGACACAAAACAGAGTCAATGCAGAGTCCAAAATAAGCTACTCTATGGGGAGTTTCTGAGCTGCCTGTCCTTGACATATTTTAATCAGGGTCCCCCCAATTGGCAGCTGTCAATGTAAATGACTCTACGGACATTTATACCCGCCTGCGTGGGGTTGAAATGAAACAAGAACTGGAGAAACACATGCGCCTCGATTGTGGGTCGAGGTGGACGCAATGGAGATTCCGGAATCCCATGCTTTGATGTTTCTCTATCTGTGCATGTTTCGGGAATACGACGATAGCTGACAAAAGTCACAAACATCCGGCTTGAAAATCACATGTCTGCCAAGATCATCACTTACCTCACGAGCATATCCCATATCAATAGCTGGGAGACGAACGATTGTGTTATTGTCTCGGAGAAACGGACCTCGAAGTTAAGAATCCAAGGACTGACTCGAACAGAAATCGAGATGTAACAACGGATTTGAAGCAATGCAAACGACAGGAGAAGGTATAAGAGGGACTCCTGAACATCTATACAACTGGAGTTACCCAAGAGCTAATAGGTAGTTATTGGTCTCAAAACTTTCGCTCCGGGCAATTTGCTCCTACAACATCAGGAAAGCTAAATCTAAGAATAACTTTACACATAAACATACAGTGTTTTAGTCAACAGCTACCCCTTTCCGAGGCGTAAAGAAGTATTTGTTTCCTAGATAGAATCCGTTCAAACGACAGAAGAACAAATCTTGTGGTAAGTAATGATTTTCGGCAGAAATATTTCTTGGGTGTGACCGGGAGCACGCATCTCAGCTAAGGTTGATCCCAGCATAAGCTTTAAAGCAAGAATCTCCAGTATCAAAAAAACACAAGTGGCCATAGCAAACCTAGACCGATAATGCACGAACATGAGTCTCGGGGTTTTGGAGGAAAGCTTCATAGACTCATAGTACTGCACGTTGTAAAGTCCCGTCACTTCCGATCATGTAGCTACTACTGCAAGATACAGTTTAATAAACGTGTTGATCAGCGAGATACCGTAACTTTTGACACTAAGCAATTATGTATTATGAACAATTCCCTCGTTAGTCACTTTCTGACAAACAGTGTTTCTCTAACCTCGGTGCTGAACTATTCTAGCTAATTTTGAGTTGCAGAGCAGCCCAACTACCTTAGTTGATGTACAGGGACAACCTTGACGGAGAAACAACAAGGTTGCAGAGATCCTACAGTAGAATGATGCACACTGAAGGGGTTTACATAAAGGTCGACTTGGCAGCCTGTCCCTTACCTGACTCCTGAGCGGCGTGATTTAGACCAATCTTAAATCTGTAAACAGCTAAAGCATCGGTTAAAGATGCACCGAAATGTTACGAGCATAGCCTCTGCCAACGCTGCATATTTCCGCTATGATGGCAAATACTTGCATATATTGCACTATTTGTTAAATTCGTCTTCCACGTCCATTTCCTTGATTTTGAGCATCCTAAAGATGAAGCGAGTACGGGCGGCAACGGTTGCCAACTAGACCGCGGTAGGATTTTAGGTTTTCTCCAATTGTCTTGTCTCCTTAGTGTTACCACCGGTCTCTGGTCGTCGCCAGGAAACGGCTCTTAAGGCCCCGAGAAATGGGTTGACATTATCAATGCACTTATTAGTTCCTGTGGACCGCGGCGTGCCACGGTGCCGCGGGGAGCCATACCGACGTCAAAACTGGCTAGAGACTGGACAGGGTATGTATGCAAGCAAAGCGATTTGCTTAATACTATTCAGGGCTCGAGCTTTCTCTGAACTTTATGTTGCTTCTTCCAAATGAAACGTTTCCGTTAATTTTGGGGGTTGACCACCTCTATAGCTGTGGGAGCCGACTGTGAGGATAAGAGTATTGCAGTCATACAAAGTAAGAATAAGGTTGAATACCCCTGAAACGCATCATCTGTCGACATCATATGCCCTAATGCAGGCTACTGTAAGGTTAAGCGAGAAGTACTCCTAGTGGTGATCAGTAATCACCAAATGTTTAAGTAAGATGGCGAGACGCCTCGGTTGTCAATTGGGGTTTAAAAACAAGAATCTTCCGGAGATCCAGATTCTATTGATAATAATGACTGAGCCATTGAAAAGGATTTAATGAGCTACTGCTGGTACACGATCTAATTCCAGGATTGATTTGAGATACTGTCTGCGATCAAATCAGCTCGCTTGCCGTCACTGCCGATGATCATCCATCACTTAACGCCATGTTGCAGATCATCAAAGGTACCATATTTCTGGTGGACAAGGACATTGGCACGGTAATTCTCAAATTTCCTATCTCCGTCTAGAGGACGGGAGGCTTTGCAATTATATGGATTGGATCCTTTGAGGTGAATTCTCTTCTTTAGCCGTAACAATGGGAATTTGTCTTATCTTTCATTGCTGAAGCCGATGCTAGCTTGGCAGGCCCCTAATCTTAAGAATCATATGAAATATTTAATGAAAACAAATTCTTAAATTAAAACATTATCTAGTTAACTGGTTGACCTTTGTCTTGTTATTTGGACCTCCAAAGTCTTCTGTACGTTGAAGTTATTTATAGGAGAAGGTCTTGAATCTTGAGCTTGTAACGCAACAATGCAACATGAATTGTGGTAGCAGATTGCTCCAGTCCATGAAGAGAGCCAAAGATCCAGGTAGATCTAAAATAATTTGTCCAACTTGTGAAATTCAAATCCTTACAGTTAAACTTAAGTTATCCTTTTATGATTTCGAGTCTTTGTGAATTTGCGAGCTAGTCATTCATCAGATTGCTTCTGAAAACCTACTTTCGCCTATCGTCAATGTCTCAAAGAGGTTTTATTTAAATTTATTTGACTGCGTTAAACGTTCTGTTTAAGTGTTAATTCATAGTTGTGGCCCTCTCATCATACAGTCTTCCCGTATACAATTCAATCAATATGTGTTGAGATTAACTATAAATGTTCCAGAGATGTCAAGAATGCTTTGACCTGTGCTAGAAATGTACTTGAACTGGCTTCAGGGAATTGCTTGCTGCCATCTCGGACACTGGCCAAGTCACTATACCACCTAAGCAAGTGAAATCATCGGGGAATCAATGAACGCCTTGTTCTAATGCATTACGAATGCATTTGGCATTACGACATGCAACAAAATATGCTTCCTTTCCAGAATATCTAATCTTATTGGTTGGATTTAATGAGTTGGTCCCGATTGGGTGGTCACGTGGCGCAACACTATGGACAACAAAAATATATAACAGCGCATTCGTATATCATGGCATAAGACCCTGTTCGGGCAAGAACAGAAGTTTTGTTTAATATGTCCATTAAGGAGATGGCATGGGTTTACTACCTTTGGCTTTTGCTAATAATTCGATGTGTAACAAAAGTTGTTCAAAAACGTACATTAACTTGGAGTGTGTTTTCTTAAAAGTGAGATATTATCAAATGCTGTAGCGAATGTAAGTAATTGTGCCAAAACTTAAAAGTGCTATAATTGCAAAGTTACCTTCACTTTGAGAATGCGACATGCAACGAAAACACCATCGTACTTAGAGATCCAAATTGCTCAGTGAATAGGAATAAGGCCATGAGTAAAGTTCAAGTAAGTTTGTTTTATTGTTGATGAAGATAGAACAAGTGAAAGAAGTGGGTGGCTTTGGTGTTTGTTGTAATGAATTGGTTCTCTATCCAAGATGTTGGTAAAAGTTGGCACGAAGCACATATAATTGGAAGACGATAGAGGACTTCTAATTCCACCGACGTCTTAATGGGTCAAAAACCGTTTGTCTTCTCTATAATTGTTCGCGCCAACTAGACTCACTTCATCCAATCATCAAATTTGTATCAAAGCTGGCGCTGGGTACAGTGATTGCCATTTCGATTGACGAGAACTTGCCTCTCTACAGAGTCGTCACTGTCCCCGAGATACTAATACTAATATAACTATCAAATACTCTTCTCAGTTTGAATTCATATTATTTCGTGTATTCTGCACTCAAGGTGTCTTCCTATACAGTCTTCAACCCTATCTAAAAGATCGTCCGATTAATAACTTATTCCGTCTATCTCCTGTGCATATTAATCGGCATTGGAAGTGCAACATGCAACAAACTATACCGTCAGAGCAATATTGTCTTGCTTTTGTAAGCAATTTGAGCCGATGACTGCGATGCCCAAGATAATTGGTGAACAAGACAAGGAAGTTATGCTGAACATTTTTCAGGTGCTAAGGACCCCAGGGGTAGGTTTTGCAGTTATCTTTTGTAGCACCAAGCCATCCTTGGTCCTTGATGTACCTTTGACGTGAAAAGTGCGACATGCAACAAAATCTCTTCAAGCTACAGAGATGGTATCAAGAGTGAATCTACTTTCCAATTTATAGAGTTTGATGTCACATGGTTATTAATTTCAAGTGAAGTAAAAGATAGCTAGCCGTTGTTAATCAGTTCTAGGTCGAATAAAATTCAATGTCAATCATTCTTGATCCCCTATATTTGACTCTTGCCGCTCAGAGATTCGAAAATTCCAATAGCAAAGAGTAACGAAACATACAACTTAAGGAGCAATCGTATATAATTTGACACCTTCTTACTATGAAGTGCAAGACATGCTTACAGATACAACAACGTGTGCTGCATAACTTGCAAGACTTTTCTACCTTATCCCAATGCAACGGTGGGGGTCAAGGAAATGGTTATATACATCACCTTCAACGACCGAAAATTTTGTTTATCTTCAAATCCAAGACTTGAGAATTCCTAGTGGGAAAAAAGCAATGGTTTAGTTAAAGAAGAACAATCTTTTATAAAAACCTTGTATCTCTAGACGGTACCAGTAAAAGGTCTCGTCCTCTGCACCCAAACAACCTTCAGTATCACCTCGCCCACGAAGCAATATTTAAATCGAGTAAACAATTCCCCTTAGAGCTCTGGCACACAGTTATTTACTCCAGAATCATAAAATCCAGAATCCGTTCATTCTATCAAAGTACGCATCCGCCAGAAAGTCAGACATCTCTCCTTTCATAACCTAAAATAAACCAGAAGTGATCCCTGACATACTCCTCTTGAGACCTTCCCTCATGCAGCCAAAGCAATCTGACGAGTTCAAAGATCGTACTGCACATCAGCGTTCCCTATCTACTTTGCGATGAGGGGTTAGAATCGTCGAAGTGCCGATGTGACTTGTATTCGGTGCTAAAAGTGTAAGCAGATCTTTCCCTTCCCCGAGAGCTGTTGGAATTGGGTAGAAATTTCTGGAGTATGACGTGAAGGCGCTCAGTAGCTAACACCAAGTGCACTCAGAACTATGAAGTTTCAACGCAACTACTTGGCAAACAGATCTCCTTCGAATGATTTGGGTTTATCAATAACACAATTCGGGATTCCCAGCCACCTAACCCGATTCAACATAATTCATAGTAATACAATCACCAACCTAATCACCTACTCTGCCTTTATCTTAGTCGGTCATCTCATCAAACACCCAATCGTAAAATTGTGAAAATTCCTACACAGTACATTTGTGTCTAGGTCCCTAACTAAACGAATCCTATTCCTAAAAGTCCCATAATACAATCCCTTTCCGCGCTTCCTCAAAATCAAAATCCACCTTGGGTAGGCTTAGAACTCGCCATCTCACCATACCTACCACGTTCTCTGGTGGTATCATAAGCTTGCAACACTCTAGTTTGTGACTCGTCCGCCTGCGAGAAGGCATAACCACGCTGTTTGCGCATACGTTGCACTTGTCGTACTTTGCGAATGGCTTTTTGGAATTGTTCCATTCTGAGACGAGTGTGTTAGTAAAGGGAACCTTGATGGCACAGCAAAGACATACCTAGGTCTGTAATCTTGGATATTGTATTTCTGAATTTCTTGAATGTGGTGATATGTTTGTGGATAATACATTCGTTTTGCGCTGCCAAATGGTTAGCATATGTTTCATGACCTGAAGAAAAATACTCACTATTTCCACGCAAAGTCTCGCGAGAGACAAATGATTGGGAGTGCGAGTCCTTGCAACCAGAACACCGCACTAGGAAACAATCTGGGTACAACACCCTCATACTCCGTAGAAAACCCCAATTTCGGAGCCACAGTGGCATAAACGGATAGGAAGATCATCCAGATAATCATACTACCCGGAATGGCGATGACGTGATATTTCGTCCAGATATTCGTGACAAGTGCTGCCTTGCCCAGAACAGTAGCAAGAACGGCTGTGTACAAGGCAGTACCCCAAACCCAATGACCGGCAGTCTTACCGTCAGCCTGAGGAAGATCGTAGAGCCAAATAACCTGACTACCGATGTACAGGATCAAAGAGTGGTAGAAACCATTTCCGACCCATGAGGCGAAAGAATGCATCTTAAAGAATGTATTCTTTTGTCCAATTTGGTAGAGCTGCGGATACCGATCGAGGAGACGCGCAGAGATAAACTGATCAAAGATGCCCATTGCCAGAGGCGGGAAGAAGGTGAAGAAGACATTGTAGAACGAAAGTGTCCAAGATTCATAGATAACTTCTCCAGAGAAGGCGTTTTGGAACGAATACTATAGAAGTTAGCGGCCATCTATGATGCAAAACAATTACTTACCCAGAACTGTGTCATGTACAAAGTAATGTTCTTGTAGAACGAGTAAAGAATGACTTTACTAATTCTCTGATAACTCCAGGCTCCATGAACGAGCAGCAACTTCCTCAAATATCTAAACTGGCCAATGGCCACGTCCGCACTGCGCGCAGCTTGGAGACCTTCCATGCCACTAATACCGACTCCGATGTGGGCGGCTTGAATCATGGAAACATCGTTTGCTCCATCGCCAATGGCGAGAAGAATAGCCTTCAGATGACGTTTCACAAGCTTGACAACCAGAGCCTTCTGCAGTGGTGAGACTCGACAACATATCACAGCTTTGCACATGACAGCAAGATCAAGGAAATTTCTCTCCAAATCTTTCTCTAGAGCATAAGTAAGTGATTTTCCATCAATGACAAGAGCCAAGGTGTCCATAGCAATGGTGCCGTCGCCTTGTGTCCGGATAGCGTCAAGCTTTTTCTGTATATTGTCTCTAGTAGCTCCAGCAGTTTCTTCGTTGACAATGAGGAGAGTCATGTCCTCACTGATCAATTTACAACTCATACCAATGTTGATCGCGGTTTCTTGTCGATCGCCAGTCAGTACCCAGACTTTGATACCTGCTTCTTGTAGAGTATGAATAGTCTCTGGGACACCATCCTGGAGACGATCCTCGATAGCTGTTGCACCTAGGAGATAGAACTCCTTTTCTAAAAGTTCGGCTGCTTTATCAAGCTCATCGGCACGATTTCCACTAACTGTGGTTTGCGCTTTCTCAAAGATCTGCCACCACTGCTTGAACTCCTCTTCTGGAATCTCACGCATGGCTAGACAAAGAGTTCTTAAACCTTCAGAGGCATAGTCTTCCAGATGTTGAAGTGTGAGCTCGGTGTGTGGGTTATTTGCGCTCAGACGTTCAAGGATAACTGTATCGGCACCCTTGCAATAACATCTGATCTTTCCATCTGGGCATCTGAAGATTGCTGACATACGCTTCCGAGTAGAATTGAACTCACAGACGGCGAGAAGCTCATACTCATATTCTCGTCCTTCAACTGTGATTTGGACAGATCGCGGCTTCCGTGCAGTAAATTGGTAACCCATCATTACAGCACCCTCAACAAGAGCGCCCTCATCAGGCGAGGCCGCTTGATACTTGATAGCTCCACCCTTTTCCTCAACCCTTTCTGGAATGACAGTATGGCAAGTTGAAAGTAGCGTTAAAAACTGTTTAATGCCTTCCGCGGACTCATGTGTTTTCATGTTCTCCTTTAATCGGGTAAAGTCATGAACTCCAACCTCGGTACCATCGTCTTGCATGACAGCACGGCGGTCTTCTGGAACGTCTACCGAATACTGTATACCAGCAATCGAACAGGACTTGAACTCCATCTGATTACATGTTAACGTACCGGTTTTGTCGGAGAAAATGTATTCGACCATGCCCAATTCTTCGACCAAACTAGAAGTTCGACAGACTGCTGGGGTGTCCATTTTGTCGTAGTACATATCGAGATCGTCATTAATGAGGATGGCGTGCCAGTATTTGACCAACTCAATTGTAACGAACAGAGAGATAGGAACAAGAGCAGAGTAAAGGACCCAATATGTGAATATGTCAGAGCCAAACTGCCGAGCCTTCTCTGACGCTGTGGTAGAAGCCGCGTAACCAAGGTACGATAATTCCGCTCCACGTTTGATTCGGATGATAAGATCTCCAATAGAACTGATGACACTGAGAATAATTAGAATACCAATCAGCATGAGAACAAGCATATTGAGCTGTCGCTCAACGGCAGTTCGCTTGATAGGGGTAGCCGTGGCATTTCTCATGAGTTTCGTTTCGTGGCCGGTAAATACGACAATACCATGGATCCAAGGAGTGTTTCGCAAGGTAGCTCCTCTGAGAAGCAGTTGATCTGGCTGCAGAGGAAGCTCCTTCTCCCCACCACCAGCTGAAAGAGTCAACGTCGCCTCGTATGTGTACAGGCTACTGTTGGGTTGTTCGGAACGGAGCTTTCCTCCTAATCTACTCATCTGGCTTGATTCGATGATCTCACATGTCTCAGGAATAGCTTGCTTAATTTTCAAATTAGTCTCTCCATCAAGATTTGCCGTTTCGATATAGCAAAGACCTTCCGGCTCAGAACTCGCCAGCAAAACAATGTCTGCTGGAAAGGGTTCCTCCGATTCCACACGTACAATATCTCCCACGGCTACGTTCACCCATTTCGTGTCTACAAACGAAGAACCTTTTAGCACCCTCGCCTTTGAATTATTCAGCGACTTATCGGAAGTTTTTCGCCTGTAGTCCTCCACCAATTCCTTTCCAGCAGACACCGCCAGGACCAGAATCAAGGGTCCAATAGTCGTATATCGATTCGTAGGTGAAATGTTGGGTATCTGTTGTAACGCAGCAGTGAATAAGAAAAAAAGATTCGCAAATTTGGAAAATTGTTCGAAGAGAAATTTTGGTAGGAAGGTCGCAATATTGTACTTTGCTGTTGAAATATGGTTGTCCACATAACGATTCGCGGAATTCGCAGGAGGATTGTTGAGATGTATTATTCGGGGACCAAGGGTCGAAGGATCCGGTTTTCCCCTTCCAAATCCAAACTTGAACTTTCCTACATCAAATTTCTTCGCTGCTGGCTTAGGCGTATCGGGCGAATTGGGATCGGTAGTCGCTCGTCCTCCGGGTTCTGTTAATGGTAAATCCATCTCTGAATATTCAGGTCCCATCCCTAGCATGTTCTTCGCCCTGCCCATCAATCCACCGCCCAAACTCAGCACACTATTCCGGTTTCCTTTCTTTACTCGACCCCCCATTGGGACACCAGCTCCATCACCTGGTAAGGCACCGCCCGCCTGGTAGTACGATGAAGCGCCATCGTCAGGAAAATCATCCATGTCATCCGCATACCGCTGGTAATTTCCCAAACCTGACGACTGACTGTAGGTCCTCGTTCCTTCTCCAGTCACATATGGCCCTCCTCTGGTAGGAGCAGTCCCTGGACCGCCAGGTAAAGGTCTGCCAGATGATTGTGCCGGTTCTCCCGCTCCTCCAACAAAGTCATCGTAGGAAACCGACGGCCGGGGATTTAGGTCTCCATGGTCAGCATTGTATGCGCGCAACAGATCATCGTCGTTCATCGGAGGTCGCTGCCCGTCATTATACACAGGTCGATCATCGTCGAAGTCGAGAAGCAGGTCGTTCCTATTTCCAGCAGATGGCTGCCCAGCCATGCTCAACGTTGGTTCACAATTGTGGTTGCAATAGCGCACTCGCGGTCATAAAACCCCTCAATCGTATCGTCCAAAATGTCGCGGAGTGTAGATTCAAGATGAAATGGATCGTCTTGTCGTAGAAGCTGTACTCGAGGGTTATGTTGTAGAGTAAGCCTGCCTCTTCTTAGAAAGTAGGGCACAGCCTGGATGTTGTGAAAGGACGTATACGTATGATGGACCTCAGAATACGAGGAGCGGCAAGCTGCACCCCTTAAAGCTGGGCGGCGGGAGTGTTTGCGAATGGTGACTGTTTATAATTCTGGAAATGACAGCTTGGAGGGCAGGCCATTGATCGGGAAGTATTGCGCTTCGAGGGTTGTAAAGCGCTATTGCGTTGTTCCGTTGTCGAACGTTTCTTCGTTCTTTGGCTGCGACCTGTTGGCTCTGGCTTTCTTTGGTCCTGCAGCATCTCATGTTTTGTCTTGGCGTAATTGGCTGCAATGTCAGCCCCCAACGAACCTCAGCCTCATTATTGCTCGGGCTGAAACGACAATCTTATCGCCCGTCTCCGCATCGGTCATTCACTCCACCACCATCATCAAGCTTACGACACACAGGCACCGCATACGCGCAACAGCTTCATCATGGTGTGCTCTAAATGTCAGAAGTTGACCAAATCAACAGCTTTAGCTACACCTGGGGTTAAGAAGAAGAATGATATGTACTATGGCTCTCCAGCTGGAAGTACCTCGAGAAGTGGCGACAAGACGAAGACCTCAGCAACGTTGGGCAATAATGGTGTAGGGAAGGTATGCAAACACTGCGCAAAGCTTAACACTATTTTGAAGTTTTGTAAGCGTGCTAATTCGAGCTTCAGAGTAAACTTCTATCCAAAGCCGCTCGAAACCCCTATGCAGCATACTCGAGCTCATGCACCACTTGCAAAACGAAAATCGATCAAGGACGGACATATTGTCAAAAATGTTCCTACAAAGCTAATGGTGCGTTACCAAATTCCTTTCCAGTTGGGGTCGGTCTCATTAACTAACTAAAATATCTAGCATGTGCAATTTGCGGAAAAGCTAACTCAAAATCTACCGCCGCCGCACCTGTAATCGCTGGCCAGAAATTTACTTTGAAATGAGCGACAGAGAAACCGTATCTGATTACGAGTACCTTAGCGAGACGCCAGGTTAATTGGGACTGTCGATGTGGAATGCGAAGCTGAAAGCAAGGTACTGGGTTGAAAGACTCTATGATGGGATTACCCCAGGTTCATAACCACACGGTTGCGGCAACAGGCCAAGGAGGAAGTTCGAGAGTTTAGCATGGGAGAGATGTTGCAAACCAAGCTTACGAAGGCAATGAGAGGCGCAATAGATGGCTTCCAGGAAGAGATATGAGGGACGAAGGCCTTACCTCCGGCACTGCGTGAGGCATTGTGTAAGCTTCCCATCGGTATGAACTATTGGTTAAAGGCCATACGGATTACTCAAGTTCTAGAGCTTTCGGACTTCACTTGACTCGAGCTTCTACAGAATGGGCTTTCAATGTAGATAAAACAGAAGCTTATCTAAGAGTTCGATCTACACAGGTGGTATAAACCACATACTGGAAACACTTTTGAGCTGTGGTAGGTAAAGAAATAGGAGTTATGTCTAGTCATTTGACTCCATTTGAATACTTTCAAATAGCCGTCGTGCTTCAAACATTTTATGTTCGCCAAAAGAAAAACAGCAGTCCTTGAAACAACACATCACGCATTTTGCTTCTCGATGAAGGTGGGGAATTGACGATGTATCAAGGTTGCGATAGAATTTCCTTGCTACCTTCTCATTTGGGTATTCCAACCATATAGATTATCAGAAGACAAACACATTTCATAGCTGACACTTAGTAGTTTGCCAGACTCTACATTCCTGAATCGTGATGAGTCGTACCATTTATTTCTCGGGCCGAATCGTTGATTTCTAAGTGAAATATGCCGGAGGTATGGATCACCGGGTCAAAATCTCATATGCTACCATGTTTGATGTCCAGCTCAACATTTCCTAGACTTTCCCAGTGCTATGATACTATCACCATTTTCATTCTGCAGCAGGTTCATCATCTATGTCCTCTGCGAATACAACCTTAATTGGTGCTGCCAGAGATCTCACAGCGGAGGGCTGGCTTTCGGACCCCGCAACAGAAGATGGCTTCCATTTGTTCCTTTCACCCCAGGTGGCTGGCTTTGCGACATCCATAGGTTCCTCAAGTCCTTTGTCCACGATCTTCACGTATATGTCGTTCAAAGCCGATGTTACCGACTTGAGCACCTTGGTGAACTCCCGTTCTACTTCTTCAAGACCCGACTTATCCTCATATGCACCGGGCTTCTGGTAGAACTCCATGGCGGTCTCGAGAGTTTTAACACCGCTCGTACAAATTGCTATGAACGATTCGACTTCATCGCGTGCTGGAGTTGACAGAAGTGCACTGGGGGATATCGCAGTAGTTTTAGGCTGATCTGTCGATCTCATTTAGTAAGACATTCCCTTTTCATATCTTGCAACGCTTACATTGAAATTTTAGCTCCTCACAACGCTGGGTGAACTCCTGGAAGGTAAAAGTCTTGATGATGCATGCCGGAGGAACCCATCCATACACGAGATAATGTTTCTTAGATGCATACTTAACACCGGACTCGTTGTATTTGGACCAGGGGCTTCCCCCAACACTTCTAACGAGATCGCTTGATCTATCCCATGGAATTCGTAATTTGTCAAGTGCAGGGACGCTGACAATAGCCACTCGAACATTTTGCGCCCCATAAGCGAGGACGTTTCTTTTCGAGTATACCCACAAAGCATCATCGCTAAATGATATCCAGTTCGAACGTTTACGCTTGCCTTCGCAGTGGTCTCTTATGCCCTCCAACTTGAGAAGTTGCCTATTTCTGAGTTGTTCGAGACTGTTTGCTGGCTGACACCTTTCCCAATTTCCGCAGCGGAAACCGAGTGATTCTGTGTATGGGGAGTGTGAAGAGTCGCTATAGATTCGAATTAAGGTACGGGGTGATGAGGATGGATCATCTTTGATAGCATCTTCATTGTACGCTTCCGGTTGATTTAGCTTATATTGGAGGAACGCGTTTGCATCGGTGGAAAGCTCCGAGACCACATTTTTGGAGTCCGTCTCTTTCTGTTGTAACAGCAGTTTGAACTCCTCAGCTGGGATGTTGTCGCTGAGAGGAATGGGTTCTGATCTTGGTGCAATCCATGTGAAACCCGCTGGTTCGGAAAGTCGGTTGAATGCCCAATTCTCCAAGAAATATATTGACCGCTGCACAGATCGAAGCTCCTTAGTCTGTTGAATATATCTCGTTTGTCTTGTATTCCGGGCCTGGTTCCATTCCACCACTTCAACGGGGTAAATGTCCCTGTTTGTGGGGAGTGAACGACGAGGACCACTGCTGCCGTTATCACGCTCTGCCTCGAATAAAGGTAGACCATGTTCATCTTGCTCTCTGCAGAAATCAAACAATACCATACTGTATATATGCCACTCGCCGTTCCATGGAGGCATCGTTGATATGGAATAGTTTCAGCCGATTGGAGTATGGGAATGGGATTTAGTACCGAACGCAAGAACAAGATTAAATATAATGGCAAGACAAAATTGCACACCCTCGATCTCTTAACCCTTTCGCAAGAGGCTGTGTTGTTGGTTTCAGGCAACGGTCGTCCCCCAACGGCCACCCTCAAGCGACCTGACTTACCGATTCACCTTCACCATATTTATATATTCAAATTCACAATTTTGCCTCCACCAATGGTTAACCTCAATGACCCTACTTAATGCCCTTGCCCCTGTTGTTAATTCTCAAGGGGCTTACACGCACCCGCTCCTTAATTCTTCGGATAGAGGGGGAGGTAGGCGAGAGCAAAGGTGCTTGCACCTACCATTGGGGAATTAACATGTTCGAATTGGGGAGAAAGCAGCAGCACCGAAAGGGGCTGCGTAAGTCTTGCCGTTTTTTTCTACTGGAGAGCACTTTCTTGGGCCTTTTTCATGCGTTGTTGGGCTGTGGGTTGATTTTTGGGTGTTTCGGTTGACGATGTCGCCTAAGCCTCGATTAAAACCAACATTCACCGAGAATATTTGAGGCAAGTCTGCCTCGCGATGGCTGACTGGTATGGAGGTGGAAGATCCGTAGCAGAAACATGACCAACGGCCAGATACTTTGCGAATCCATTGTACGCAATTCGTATTGAGGTACTCGGCTCATGTGATTCGACAATTTTGTCACTTCATTCTCCGCCACATTTCGGATTAACACGTGAAATTTTGAGTAGCCCACACATAATCGCTCAAATACTTCTAAGAGTGAGGATGCTGGAAATTGTTTACTCGCTCTCTAAGAGATGCCCAGGGGTTGATGGAGCCGACGGTAACATATATGCGCTTACAGGACAAGACTGAATCGTAGCATTTATGGGATTGACATATCAGAAGAGAATGTCTCATCTCGTCAAAGAACATATATGAGCACATTAGATTTGGTAATTAGTCAATCTTTCCGAGTGTGCCTAGAAACATGTCGACTAATAAAGCCTAGATAGAGCTGACTGACAAGAGTATTGAAGGGCTGGGGATGAATTGGAGCATTGTTTAATGAATGTCGTTGATGAAATGGCAGGGCTGATACTGAAAGTTTTTAAAAGTTGATACATGAATATCAAGTTTGCGGTGGAGTTTGCGGTAGGCATCTGGGTGGCGCCTCGAACATGCTCAGATGCTGTAAAGACTGATCTTTACCAGTGGATTTTTGTTCACAAGTAGAGATGAAGCTCAAGTGTAGTGGTAGTAGTCGAGCCCTGGAGGTGGGATCCCAAATGAAGCTTGCGAGGAGAGCCAGACCGAAAGACGAACAAGGACTTCAAACTTCACCTTTGAGGAACTGCTGACAGTGCTGACGTTGTAGAAGCTTTAAGACAGCTTCATTTTCATGTGTTAACTTTAGTGAGAACAATTCTTTCCGGCATCCATAGGCAACTGGATGGATAATACTTGATGCAATCCCCAGACTCTCAAATTTCTCGAACCCTGTTCTTCCAACGTATTGTTGCGCAACGTCCACTACGAACTCTTGTCTGAAGTTGCACTAGATGTTTTCAATCCTCCAGTCTCCGCCAATATGCCAGTCCAAATCCATACATTCGATCCTGATTTCGATCTAACTCTGGTTCTTATCGAAAAGCCTCCGCTCGACGTCAAGAATCGTGAACTCTACTTGTATGTACAATCATGACCATTTCTCAAATTAGCTACGCAACGGTAGTCTAACCGATAAATAGGTTCTACGATCGTCAGCTCGTTGACGATTGGTGGAAACCCGACATGATCAAATACCATCTTCAGGTCTCCTCCAAACACCTAATCCTCGCATCCAAACCATTTCGAGTAATGCTCCAATCCCCATATTTCGCCGAGGGCGAGGCTTTACGTTCTGGTAAAGGCGCGGAGGTCCAACTTCCTGACGACGAACCGTCTTGTATGATCACTTTGATGGGTATCATCATGGCAAAAACAATCAAGTGCCATTACAACCTCCCCTGTTCAGCGACAGCAAACACGAACCACGCGAAATTCGGCAAAGTATCAAGATGCTGCTTGAAATTTCGATTTTGGTTGACAAGTACATGTTAGAGGAAGCAGCAGTGCCGTTTGCGAAATTGTGGATGCAGGTCTTGCCTCGGGCGTGGAGTGTCTCTTGCCCGAAAATCATGGTGGCACAATTGTACATTGCTTGGGCTTTCAAACTGGATACCTTTCATGAGTGGGCACAGAGTGTTGTGAGAAGGACTAGTGAAGAGGAGTTTGAAAAAGCGGTGGACATGTATGATGGAATTTTGATGCTTCCGGATCATCTCTTAAGTGAGTGATCCCAGGGAATCTTTTGTGTCTGACGGTCCGCTGATAAAGTGATACAGAAGGTGTTAGTAACAAAAGAAGCGCGATTCTGGATAAAGCTATGAACGTTACCCGTACTTGGATCAAATCAATAGAAGAGAGGTTCCGGACCGCGACGAAGCAAATTATGGATACTAATGAGATACTGCGTCTCTCTTCAGAAGCCACAGGTTCCTTGAACGTAGGTAAAGGCCGCGTCGACATTTCCAGGAGCCACATCACAGATACGGCGGAGGAGAAAATGGCGAGATCAGCCCTTACGGTGGACCGAGAAACTAAATCAAAGTATCACGGCATGTTGTTTTGGTACGAAGACCCTAACAGACTAGTACAACTTGTTGTTGCGTCCTACGAGGGCGGAATTTTCCCATTGCCTGAACAAATAACATTGAAGTTCGATGATTATGTAGCTCGGATTCAATGTATATATACACGGGGTTCAGGTTCATTGATGACCTTGTTGAGGGATCAGGCAGTCTCCATGGAAGACCAAGTCATTGGCGTGGACCTCCCTAACTTCAAGCCATCGTATTCGGGGGAGTCCTGAAAAGATAATGTAGAATTTAAAGAGCAAAGGATTTGACTAGTGATGGAGGTGAAAGCCATCGGGACTTTGGTGGATCATAAACATGGAGTATTATTTGCGTAGTGACTTGGATGTCGAGAGAGATCGAAAGAAACTGATCAACGTTAAATCATGCAGGTTGAAATAGCGCGATCATATTTCAAAGTATTGAAGAGACTACAACTCATTCGTTTTTGTATTGGAAAATACTGATTTGTCACATTTCTCTGCCTTTTGTAGCGTGCGTCTCGCTCGTCTAACGCTTCGTCAAAATCCAAAAGCTGACAAATCCGCTTTGTAAATATTCATCCATTGGGCGGATGTAGATGCGATTACTTATCACAGCGCATAGCTAACTATTACGCTTCAAGACACTCGATTAGCACTAATATCTGCATAGCTAAGTTTATGAAGGAACCACCATGTATGAAGATATCTGAAGCGACAAAGGCTCCATAATTGAAAAGACTCACATCGCAGCCGTATCCTACTGGTAATTGACAATGGAATCGGGAAGAAAGTCAAATCCGGAATCTTACATCGGCTTACCCACTTCACAGAAGGGCCGTGGCCGTCCTAAGAAGCATAGCAATACTGCTGAACAAGAAGTAGGCGATGTTCTTAATTTCTTGCTTTGGCTATCTCTGATATAGTTTAGTACCAACGCAATCGACTAAGACGCGCTCAAATTGCGTATCGAAAACGAAAAGAAACACATCTTAGTGGACTGGAGCAACGATGTGAAGACCTCGAACACGTAGTTGAGCAGATGACAAATGAATTTATCAACTTTAGCGACCGACTCATCTCGTCCGGATCATCAAATGCAGAAAACATCCGAGACGTACGAAGTGTTCTGGGTCGGTTCTTAGAACTCTCTAAGCAGGCTGCTAAACATACAGATAATGAACCATTCGCAGAGGTGTCTCGAGATTTTGAAAAGAGCCAGAATTTCACTCAGAGTGAAGGACTCAACCTTGACAACGAGGATGTTCCGCCACCACCAGCCGTAACACTCCCAATCATGGGTTCTACCTTTCTGGATATTTCTAAAACATTCGCGCCTGCTACAACCGTGCAGAGGTTTGCACCAATGAAGCAAACGAGCTCAGTAACCACTGGTTTCTCGGATCCATATATAAATACCTTCTGGACGCCTCCGATTACTCCAGATATGGACAACAGCATCATTCCACATGTCCTCTCTGGACGAGATAGTTTCTCATCCCGCCTTTATTATGAAACGATCAATTTAGCAGTAAGATCTCTCAAAGGAGAAGCACCTTGGAGGTATGCAGCAAGCATTTTTCGATACAAACTTCAATACGCGAGCCGTGAACAGCTATTTGGCGTTCTTGCGGGGGTCCTCGATATGCTACTTCTCGGTACAAATCAAGTGAAGGAGGGAGGAGTCCCGCAGAGGGTAGTCGATGGTGATGGCGCAGTGAAGGATGGAATTATTCGGCAAATTGTTGCACAAGGGGGAAGTGAAGACCAGTACCTCCCGTCATGGGAGGTCGAGCGGTATCTGAGAGAGAGATGGGCCTTTACTCTCGATTCGAGCTCGGTAAGAATCCAACAAAGACGGATTCAAGAGTTCGAGGACGGTCCTGAGCCTAGTCTACCATATGAAAGGGCAGGTTTTGATCCGACCTCCTTTGCACCGACTGTCATCCCAGGGTTTCCAGCTGCAAGCCAGGTAATTTTGAACTCGGAAAGGCTGCTGGATGAGCTCAAAAAGAGGGCCTTGACGGTTGGAGCAGGTCCTAGATGGCACGTTACTAGCATTGATGATGCAGTTAACGTGTTCCTCCGCCAAAATAACACCATCCACGTTGCTCAAATCTAGGAAACTGCGCAATTTCAACCCTGCAACTTACGTTTCCAACCGAGTTCTGTGATCCGTGCTGGGTTGTGCAGCTGATGGTTAGTGGCATTGTAAGAAACCTGCCTTCGACATGTTGACAGACGCGAAGAGACTTCCGACCTGGTGGTGTGATAAACAAGTGTAAAATAAGTATGATATGGGTGGACTGCAAATTGAAACCGAAATGTGAGTTGCAATATGTGGACTATGCAACATGGCTGAGAAATAAAGTGGAAGAGTACTCATTGATGGAATAGTACGATATGGAGAATAGGAACCTGGAAGGGCCATGAACTATGAGTGAAGGTGTAACCGAGCGCTAAGCCTTTTGTAGCCTAGACCACCCCGCGAAAAATAGCCATGCAGAAATCGGACAGTTGAACTTTTTTTTGTTGCTGCAAATCAGTTCCTGAGCAACAGAATCTGACAATCGCCATTGCGCAGCTCACAGCACCATGGCGGCCCCGATTGCGAAGCTTCCGGAGGTGAAACTGCCAACAGGCCCTGCGCCTATTACACCAGAGCAAGCATTCTGGAAAACTTTCAAATCGTCACAAAATATACCGTCGCAATCCCCAGTAACTCACATCTCTTTCCCAGCTCCTCCGAGCAATCCTTTACTTCCTACAAACAACGATTATTTCGCGGTGACAACAGGGACTCGCATACAACTGTATTCCATAAGAACGCGTAAATTAGTGAAAACAATCACTCGATTTTCCGACATTGCGCATAGCGCAGAGATCCGAAGAGATGGGCGTGTTATGGTTGCTGGGGATGAGACTGGGAAAATACAGGTTTTTGACGTCAATTCTCGTGCGATTCTGAAGACATGGGAGGAACACAAACAGCCAGTATGGACGACAAAGTTCTCGCCGACCGAGCTCACGACTTTGATGAGCGCGAGCGACGATCGAACAGTTCGATTATGGGATCTACCCAGCCAGGAAAGCACAACCACCTTTATAGGACATTCGGATTATGTGAGAAGTGGAAGTTTCTTGCCAGGAACTATGTCAAATATGATCGTCACGGGCAGTTACGACGAGACTGTAAGAATATGGGATCCTAGGATACCGACCAAAGCTGCTATGATATTTAAACATGCCGCGCCTGTCGAATCTGTTCTTCCAATGCCCTCTGGAACGACCGTTCTGGCCTCTTCAGACAATCAAATCTCGATCTTGGACTTGGTAGCTGGAAAACCTTTACAAATACTGAAGAATCACCAGAAGACAGTGACCTCTCTGTGCCTGGCTTCGAACGGGAAAAGGCTGGTGAGTGGAGGATTGGATGGCCATGTTAAGATTTTTGAGACCACAGGGTGGAATGTGGTTGCTGGATCTAAGTATCCATCACCAGTACTTTCAGTCAATGTTGTTAGTGCTGGTTCCAACCGGGAAGACAAGCATCTTGTTGTGGGGATGACCTCTGGTGTATTATCTATCCGGACGCGATTGTCGGGCCAGCAGAAGATCAAAGAGCGAGAGCGGGAAAAGGAAATGCAAGCACTCATCGCGGGCACTCTTGAGGATTACGATAAAAAGAACAAAAAAAGGACCAGAGGGGTTGAAAAGAAATTCAGAGGGCTTGATTTTGTTGGCGAAGGAGCAGATGTCATAATTGAAGGCAAGGATCGAACGATAAAGAGAAAATCTGAGTCTGGTTGGGAAAAAGATCTCCGGCAGGGCAAATACCAGAGAGCTTTGGATGCGGTGCTGGAAGAAGGTATCCCGCCTGTTACGGTACTTACACTTCTTACGGCGCTAAAGCACAGAAGCGCAACAAGAGCTGCATTCCAAGGCCGAGATGAAAGCACTGTTCAGCCGATTATCAAGTGGGTTTCCAAGCATATCAAAGATCCTCGATATGTAAATATCTGCGTGGACTCGGCGTTGCTTCTACTTGACCTTTATTCCGAACACGTCACTGGGTCGCCAGATCTTGAGAAGAGTTTTCGAGTATTGCACCGACGGGTACGAATGGAGGTAGAAAGATCACAACAAGCTTGTATGATGAATGGGATGTTAGAGTTGTTGATGACGGCAAGGTCATGAGCTTCGTTTGTGGTTCTTGCATGTCGATTTTTGCATAGCGATGGCGTTTGAATATAGGTTCTGGACATAGGAGTTCTGAAGGAAAGGAGGCCACGGATTTATTCATTCTGGAGTAGCGCGTAGGCCACAGCTGAGTAGCGGTAACGTTCAATATTTCGTCCGTTCAAAAGATGTCGGTTTTAGAGAGTGGAGATGGAGAACGCTAAGCTATTTGACAGTCGGGCGGTCCTCGCATACCGTTTCAACATAAACTTATGTTAATACCTATCTAGCAGTAGGACGAATTTTGTTCCCCAATTCAGGCTTAGTACTCCGCCTGTCCAGTCAGTTGTCATGGTGCTTTCTTCAAAACGTTTACAGATTCAGCTGAACTAGTAGCGAAGGAGGACGTACTTTATGTGAAAAATGTTCTTTACACACGTGCCATAGATAGCAGACAACAGTCTTCCAACCTCTGAACGGCTGGCGATTTTGAGTTGTTGCAACAACCTTCACCGTACGCCATCATCAATAGCCAAAATGCACCCATCAACCCCAATCCTTCACTTCTTGCCATCCTCAAGCCTCCACGGCGGATTCTCCCTCATCTCTCCCGCATGATATATAATAACCACATTCCCATCCGGATCACTAACCCGAGCTTCCCTCCACAACCACGACTTATCTTCCGGACGCTCCGTAATCGTAATACCTTTCGCCTCTAGCTCCGCAACCGTCTTGTCGACATCTGCCACTTCAAAATAGACCCATGCGCCGTTTGTCACAGCGTCTACGCGGTGGAGAGAGAATGTGGAGGTTCCCGCGATGAAGCGCGCGTAGTCGTCGCTGGTGTGGACTATTAGTTGTAGGCCGAGGGTACGGTAGAAGATTATTGAGGTGGGGATTGAGGTGCTGGGGAGGGTTATTTGGTTGAGATTCATTGTGAGAGGTGAAGGGTTTATTGACTTGTGGTTGATGTTGTGGCGGGGAACTCTTTGGCCTCCACTTTTACCCCAGTCTTGGCAGAAGCCTCTCCTCCCCCCCTCCCATACCCCTCGTGCTTCGAGACAATCCAGCCAATATTTCAATCATATGAAGGCCGTTTCGTTAATTTCGAGTCGCCAGTTTGTGGAAATATTCTTGTGTACCTACGCAGGAAACTACACAACAAATTTGCTTCATAGTCGTTTCTCGTCAACGAATCGTTTCAGCGCTTCTTGCAAGCATAATAAGAGAATACCTTGGAGAATTGAAATATTGTGCAAAGAAAAACTAGTACTCTCAAGTCTGTTTTTCTATGAACGGAAAAGTTGAAGCTAAAACGGTTTGATACACCCCACTATCAACAATTTCGTCATCGCTAAGCTTTCCAATAGGTAGCTCACTTCATTCCTCTTCTGCAAAGTTCGCAAAATAACTACTCAAATCTACATAAGAGGAAGTCCTGTTGTTCTCTCTATGATATTGTGTTATTTTGCAAGAACCATTATATATAATTGACAAACACCTACAATGGCAAACGTCCAAGCTCCGCCAGCTTCACGCAAAATGCACGACCTTACCGACCAAATCGTCCTCATAACTGGTATAGGATGCATCGGAGCCGGATGGGGAAACGGAATAGCAATTGCGACGTTATTCGCTCGACAAGGAGCGATCCTCTTTGGCTGCGACCTATCACTTGAAGCCGCCAACACCGCAAAGGCCCAGATAATCTCGGACACGCCCACAGCAGATGTCACGGTCATGCAAGCCGATGCCACATCTTCTACCTCCGTCAAAGACTTCGTAGACGCATGTATAGCGAAGCATGGTCGAATAGACATTCTCGTTAATAACGTGGGGCGAAGCGAGCCAGGTGACCCAGCGACCATCACAGAGGAGACTTGGGATAAGCAAATGGATGTCAACCTTAAATCTGTTTACCTTACAAGTCATCTTGTGCTACCTATTATGGCTTCTCAGAAGACTGGCGGGAACATAGTCAATATCAGCTCAGTCTCCGGTCTTCGCTATATTGGAAAACCGCAAGTCGCTTATTCGACCACGAAAGCGGCGATTCTTTCCTTTACTCGCACTACTGCTGTTATCTATGCAGATAAAGGTGTGAGGTTGAATACGGTTGTGCCTGGTCTGATCAATACGCCGTTGGTGAAGATGCTTGCTGATAAATATGCTGGTGGTGATTATGAGGGGTATTGCGAAGTGAGGGATAAGCAGGTTCCTATGGGGAAGATGGGGACGGCTTGGGATGTTGCGAATGCTGCGTTGTTTCTGGCTAGTAAGGAGGCTGCGTATATTACCGGGACGGAGATTGTTGTTGATGGTGGCCTTACGCAGAGTACTGGAAGGACCTGAAACTTTGAGGCAGTGTCGCCCGCAACTTGTCTTAATATTCCACGCTTCTTGAGGGTTAACTGTTCGCCTTCCATAATTGTGAAATTACAATAACATGTGTGTATATATTCCCCATTCATAAACTACGCCTCATTAAATTATCATCGTCAGCTTGAACCCAGTGGACATGAGGTTCGTGATTCCTCGATCTGTTTTGGCCATCTTCAATTGGCTGGATCTGTTCCAGTTCTTCGAACCTGCCTGATCTCGTCGCCTACTTCATAAGTCGATCTTCTAATCACAGGCAAGTTCGGCACCGCGTCAGTAGAAACTCCTACCGGGACAGCCCCACTGGTGTTAGCTGTAGGCGGCACTAAGTCGGTTGCTGAGGTATGTTCAGATGCGACAGGACCTCTTTCCAACCGGTCTGTGTTGGTCCTCCTTGACTTAAATTTCTTCTTAAACGTGAAGAGCGCACCTGTAAACCTCGTTAGATTGTTTTTTAAGGGAAACTTTTGTCAAGCGACTAGATTCACTAACGTGTTTTACCAATAAACTTGGATATTGGAGCTGCTCCTCGACGCAGGATTGGGTCAGTCATTTTATTGGCCACGTTGACGACGTCTTGTTTAATACGATACAAAAACCATGGCAGCAGAGTGCGAAAAATACTCAAAAATGTGGTAACAACCGGAACTCCTTCTACTGTGCTATGTCGTATACGTGCTAAATCAACTAAATTCGGGGTCAATCAGCCATTTGGTATCGGGAAGGGACTTCTTGGCATACCTAATAAAGCAGCATAAAAGTCAGCTATTAGAGGAAATATCATAAAGAATACCAGTATCTGCCCGAAAGAAAAGAGGTTCTCGTTCGATGCTCCCGGTGGAAGTTTTGCTGGTCGAAAAACTTGCGTGAGGTGATGAAACTGCCAGGTCTGAAGAGCAAGATATCCAACAGTGCAAAATGTGAAGAAGGTCCATGCAAATGGACCATGACCACCATTTCCAAATAATGCCATGCATAACAAGGCCACAAACGCACCCGCAGAGATTCCAAATACTCTAGTATCGATCGGGTAACACACTGAAAAGCAACTGCTGTTACGTAATGGCACGAAAATCGAAAATGCCACAAACAAAGCAAGACTGAGTAAAAACGCAAAATCCGTCATCTTGAACTGAAACTTCATCCTCGAACCATCGTGTCTTATCAGTCTCTTGTCCATACGACCGAATAGTATATAGCTTAAGAAAGATTGCCGGTCATAATTTGCAACCAGACCAAGTATCGAATGAACAGAAACAACACAGTATATGACACGAAAATGATAAGGCGAGATTTCCTTCCATTTCAAAAAAGAAGTCAACATGAAGGCCAGTCCGGCGACGTATTGAGAGGTATATGTGTCGCCGATGACCTGTCGACAGTGACATCGATATATATATCGAGGGCGGGCTCCGGGGTTCTCTCGAATCGATCTTCCAGATATCTCTGATAATTCGAGCTCTTCGAAGTCTTCTGGAAGTCCACCACGAGATCTCCTGGGAAATATTGAGAGCTCAATTCCTTCAATGTCTTCCGGAGGTGGATCGGCCGGAATACCACCTGCTCCTACTGGAGGGAGATACATGCTTATGATCGGAGTTATGATCATAGCTAAGAACACAAAGATGCCCGTATGGACGAGAAATGATATGAAGATATGTATATAATTTAGTAAGTTGGTATATGTAAAGAGAAGGACTCATACTGCTTGACCCGCAATATCAGGGTTTGGCTCGTATAGAGCCGAGCAAGGGGAGCACGCATCTGAGGAGGTCGATGAGTTCAAAGAATCGAGGTTTGCCATCTATAGGATTTGAATGTTGAGTTCATAGCAGATCTAGTAGTGCCCGTTGGAACGATCTTCCATTTTGTTATAAAAATCAGTGAAGAACCAGCTGCAAAGTCGATTGTGAAGTTGCTTTTTCTGTTCAGCTCCAGCTTCAGCCCCAGCTCTGAGGGCAGAGTGGGTCAAGACATTTTAAGCGAGGCGCTGCAGCCAACTGGAGCCAGAGCTGTCAGGATATTCTGCCCGGGGCCCCGAGCACCCCGTCTTCAGCAAACGCACGTCGTCGTAGTGCTCATCTCATCATGTGCATCGTGGGCGACCGAGTTTGAGTCTCACCCTCTTTCTCATCTGTAGCCCTAGCATAGTCACTGCGCGACCGATGGCTCCAGAAACACAGATATACGATCCGGATGGGGACGTCACCCTCGTTTTCGACAAAGAGCCTCACGATATTTTGGCCGGTCCGAAAAGAAAGTTCGACTCCAACTTTGTCAGTACTGACGCTGGGGAGGTTAGTACAGAGAAGTAGGTTCAAAATAAGAGTTCTAGCATTTCTAGCGCGATTACTGATATGGCCACGTTAATAGAGAGGAAAGACAGGAAAGAGAGGAAATCCGCATGCTGGTATCCTCCAAACATCTTGCTCTCTCTTCGCCGGTTTTTCGTGCTCTTTTGACCGGCGGTCTTAAGGAAGGAGAAGTCCTTAGATCGGAGGGGTTCGTCACATTCCCTTTACCGGAGGATGATGTCCATGCATTCTCCCTGATCATGAACATCATCCATGCTCGGAATAATTCGCTTCCCAATGAGGTATCTTTATCGACTCTGACCAGTGTTGCGATACTCGTCGATAAATATAGATTCTACGAGTCAGTTACTCCATGGGCCAGACTTTGGATCACTAAATACGATTTGAAACGTCCAGCAACTGTCTGTAAAGAATTGACAGGCTGGCTTTGCATATCTTGGGTCTTTGGATTACCGGACGAATTTGCACGAGCAACCGCAACTGCGGCACTGCATATTACGTCAACTGGGATTTATGGAACCCCTCGTGGGAAAGAGTTATCAGAAGCCCTACCCATTCCTGCATCAATAAACAGTAGGTGAAGAGAAACTTCTGTCGATTAGGAAGCCCCAACTAACCGAGTTACAGCTAAACTAGAGGAAACTCGTCAAAATGCCATTAAATACGTCATGGTGAACTTAAATTCTATTCAGAAAAGGCTTGCTACTGACACCACCTTGTGTACTATTGGTGAATCCAATTGCGTAGCTCTGATGCTTGGAACAATGGAGAGAAGTGCTACAGTGCGCGGGTTGTGGCCGTTCAGCGAAAGTTACATACACTCTTTTAACACTTTAGCACACCAAGTCCGCATGCTAGATATTCGTTCACTCTGTGGATTGCAATCAAAACAAGAGCCTAGTCCTGATACGAGCGCAGCAGCAAGCAACGGAAGTTTTGGCGGCAGCAGCTCCTTCTATCAGACGAATTCCCAGAACCCCCGCTTCCCTCTGAGCAGCTCCTCCTCTCAGAGCAGCCCCTTCTTGTTCTCTCAAAGCAACTCCTCCTCTCAGAGCAGCCCCTTTTCTTTCTCTCAGAACTCCTCCTCCTCTCAGAGCACCCTCTTCTCTCAGAATCAACCCCCGCAAGGGCGGTTCGGGACGCCCCAGAGACCACAAGCGCCAGCATCAAAGGGCCATGATATAGCAGGGACAGTTGCGGAGATGATTGCAGATGTGGAAAGGTGGCCTGTGTTTGCTAAAGGTTTAGATCTCAAAGATTTCGCAGTCCAGCAGTAAGAACTGTCAGTGTCAATATTGTGAAAATATCTTTGGACAATTTGGAGGGAATAATCAAAAAGTTTTCGTCCCTAGCGAGTGCAGTTGTTTAGCAGTCAGATTTATCCCACATGGCCCCGGACGAGACGATTGCTCCGCAACGTGTTATATTCAGGATGGTACTGGGACTCGTAAGTCAAAGCCCATCTCGAGATATTTCGCTGAATACGTAATCACTGTAGTCACCGTAGTATTAAAGAGTGAACGGAGATGAGAGAACTCCGGTCACTCGTCGGTACTGGGAAACGTCAAGATTATCTAAATATCATTCTTCCTCGTCGAATCGGAGAGCTCCGTAAGATGCCTTACAAAGATTCATAGTGAAACCCAGACTGCCCTTTTGTGCGCTTTTTAGAAGGTAGTCTATAAACAATGAATCGTTGGTGAAGAGACAAGCCAGCAGCCCAGTTGCGAGGTCTTGGTATAAGCCCACAACACAATAGTTATTGTCATCGATGCCGTGTTGCAATTTCCAGGCTGTTTCACAACCCCTGCAGCGTCAGGAAGCGCTGAGGAGGCCAATCAATAAGCGATTTCAACAACAGCCGAATTGCTTCAATGATTGGCTCTGGAGACACCACACAACGCGCCTATTACATTTTTCCTTGATCGTCGAGATCTAGAGGGCCACCTTCGATGTTCAAAAATAGCTGTTTAGAAAATCGTCGTTTCCTGCGACAGGCGCCTTTTCTTCAACCTCTGCCCTTTCGAAAATGGTTGGTATGAATCTCGTGCTTTCCTTTAAGCGAGCGCTTGGGGTCTGGGGTAGAATACGCATATGTAGGAAGGAATATCCAAAGTATCTGAATCATTTTACTTTTCTTTATTCTCTTTAGGTTTCTTTTGTCTTGGAGTTCATTCAGGATCCCAAAATTCTTGCATTTTATCTTTCCTTCATTCTGTCGTTCCAGTGGCGTTGATCGTCCTTCTTTGCATTTATCTCTCTCAATCCAGCATCTTCTGCTCAAAAGAATCAACTTTCAAATAATCGAAATGTCTCATTCGAACGGTTACAGAAATCTCACCTCATCGCCCAAAAGTCTAGGCCATCGTGCCCTCACCAAAGCCCAACCAGTACTCAAACTCCACATCCCCAAGGCGCCAGAGGAGGTTTATCAACCTCGTCCCGAAGGACCATATAATGACCACCCACTACGACAAAACTCATATGCAACAACTCGAACTCGTCCATCCATTCCACCTCGACAACACACCTTATCTTCAACCAAAAGCCACAAATCCGTCAACAGCAATGACACTTTCTCAAATTACTCTCACCCAACCCTAAAATCCCAAGACTCATCTCTCTCACAACACAACCCATACATCTCCATGCTCCTCGACCTCGACTCAATCCCTCTCCTTCACTCCATCCTCGCCTCAGCCTCGACCTGGCTTCTCCTCGCCGGCTTCGTCATTCTCCCGACCGCCTTCGAGAGTCTCAACACAGCCAAACTAAGCGGGACCTCCGAAACGATCTACAATTCCGTGCATCACGTTCCGATTCTCGTCCTCGCATCCATATCTTCAAGTTTCGGCGTCATAGGCATGTTGTTTGTGTGGCTCAAGAACAGCACGAATTACATCTGGATCACGAACAAGATTTTCATGCCTGGAGTGCTTAATAGCACTGTTGGTCTACTCAATACGCTGGTTAATGTGTATGGTTCGAGGGATGGGAAATGGGGTAACACGGCGAAGGTCACCGGAAGTGTTGAGGTTGGCATTTTGGGAGTTTGTGGTCTTCTTTGGGCGTTTTACTTCTTTGCGAAGTTGGGTGGCGTGAAGAGAGTTCATGATAGGCAGATGAGGGCTGATAGAGGTGTCGGACTGGGAATTGAGAAGTCTGGGAGAATGGTTTGAGTCGCAAGCAAGAGGGTCTGCTACTTCTCGCAAACGCAGGGTTTCCCGATTTAATGGTTTATGAATGAGATTGGGTTGTTGACACTGGTGATGTGGTTGGTAATAATACCTAACATTAATGGATGGTATCTGGCATAGATTGCCTTGGTACATAGATGATGTTATGAATCTAATTAGTATCATAATAATATTCATTAGTTCCGATAAAATGTATCACACTTAACTACATAATGATTTTACTGCACTATGATGTACCGTGTCTGAATGATATACACCGTAATGCCCCGAAGCGACAGCAAGCTGATTCGACTGAAGATTGAGGTATTCACGGCATTGCATCGCTGTCTCAATCAGTAGCCCATTTCCACTCGAATTTTGAGTATCATCTATGATGCCTAGGACTCACGTCTGTCGGGCTGTTGGTAGGTACTACCCAAAAGTCACGGAGCAAGCAAACAAACATAAACTACAGACTCACCTCGACAATTTTGGGTCTGCGCTCCCCTTCACCTCGATTCGATGCGTTATATTGCGATGCTAATACAATTGTAAATTGGGTTCGTAAAGTTACAGGCGGACCTCAAATCCGCAGAAGAGGTACCACTCACTATTGGTACATCATTAATCCTTCTTGGTATTCTCAAACAGAGCTCTGAAGTCCGCATTGCTCTTCGTGCCTTTCCCGTTGTTCCCATTATTGACATCCTGAGCCTGTTCCGAGGCCGCAGGCCTTTGTGAGGCAGCATATCCCAACCCTCGTTTCATTCCTAATCCACCTCTACCTCCAGCACCAGGTCTCCGAATTGGTGCCGCTGGTTGCATAAATGTAGCTGGAGCCTTTTTGGCTTCCTTACCAATTAGAATTTTGTCAATTTTCTTCTCACCTCTTTCCGCAAAAAGATCTTTCAAGCCTCCAGTGCGAAGCTTCTTTCCAGGAACAATCTCATGGCCCTCCAGCGCTAAGGCAGCCTTTCCAGCAGAGGCAACTTCAACATACTCGATTATGGCACCTTGATGATCGGGCCGCAGGACCACTTTTACTAAAGCGCCGTAGGGCTCCACAACAGCCCGTACTCTAGCATCATTCACGGTATCGGGAATGTTCATTAGAGTGATAGTTCGATTGCTGTTGTCTGCAGGCGCCGGAGCATGCTGAGCATGAGTGTTTGCAAGCCCATCATGTCTGGGTGACACAGACATGACAGAATCCCCGTCCGCATCTGGAGCTGGCGACATCGATTGACCCTTGTTGGTCGCTGTTGGTTTGTAATTTTTGCCTAGAGACACCTCAACTGTAAGCACTCGAGATTTGACTTTAGTCTTATCTAGCACAAGAGCCGCAGTTGCATCCCCCTTTTTCTCAAATGATATGAATCCGGCCCCCTTGCTCTCTCCATTTGGCTTCTTTAGCAAGCGAACTTTGTCAACAGTTCCATATTTGCCAAATATCTCTTTGAGATCTCGCTCATTGAGAGAAAAGTCAATACCAGTTACATGAACTTCACGCTCCTCGGCCATAGCACCTTCTCTTTCCTTCTTAGCACCCGGGTCCGAATACTTGGCAACTAATTTGTACTGGCCAGCAACTTGTTCGCCATCCAATCGAGTCGCAGCAGCTGCCGCTTCTCGTGTACGGAAGGTGACGTAAACAAACCTGCGAGTAGTATTATATTTAAGACTCGGCCAGCGAATACTGAAGATTTCTCCACAATCTTTGAAAAGCTTGCGGAAAAAAGCGTCATCAGCAGTAGGAGGGAAGTTGCAAACATATAGCGTCTGCCCAGTAGCTGGCTGGACCCTTATCTGTCTATCAACAAAATACTTCATATCTCGCAGGAGAGCGGATTGAACGTCGAGTGGACTTCGAAATTCAATCACCGCCGTTGCTGATCCCTTATCAGGCTCCGGTTTGATGGCCAAGCTATTAATGTGGCCATACTCCTTAAAGTACTGCCTCACTTTGGTTTGTGTAGCCTCTACTGGTAGGTTGGTGACCATAACAGTAGTATTTTCACGATCTCTCTTGAGGTTCTGCTCTTTGCTGACTTCACTTTCAGCAGCTGTAAATTCATTCTTCGTTCTCTTCGATGCGTTCTCATCCACATCATCCAGATCAGTTTCTCGTTTCCGTTTCGAGGCACTAGAAGGCGCGTCTGGAGTTGAACTCTCGTTCATGACTTCGGCTTGAGGTTGGTGTGCATACATTGCACTGGCTTGCGCCGCTTCTTTGGCTCGTCTCTTCGTGACACTTTTGGAAACCTTGTACACGAGGTTCATAGCTTTCAAAAGCACTTCCACCTGCTCGTAATTCTGGCAATGACGAAGGTACATTTCCAAAATCTTCTCCGGCCAATCTAGCCCCTGTCTATAAACAGCCTTTTCCAGAACCTCCGTGGCACGTGAAGAGTGCGAAGGCGACTCTCGAACGGCCATCTCCCAGAAATAGTAGTGCTGCCAGAACTCGTAGCTATCGCCGCGCCTTTTGACCAGATTCTGCCACATAATACGAGCATCTTGAATCGATCCCTTCTGGGTCTTGTACTCGATAAATACTCTTTCTATTCGATACAAAGGGTCGCCATTCCATTCTGAGCGCCCGTACTTTCGTTGACCTTGTGAATCGATTGTCTTCAGAGCTGCTGGTAAGCCCTTGTCTGCAGCATTGAGATCCTCGTCCGTAGCGTCCACGGATAAGGCTTTTCGCTTTAAGAAAGTAGCCCAGGTAACATAGAATTCTACCATCGCTTCCATATTGTCTCGGGTGAGATTGTCCTTCGCAGTCGCGTCAGTTTTGATCTGTTCCATCTCGGCAAGCGAAAAATTATGCGCTTCAGCGTCCAGTATATATCGTGACCACAACCCTCCAGAAAACGGGCAATGTGCAGTTGCTCGTTGCAACACCGAAAGAGCCGAGGGTAGGTTATTCTCACTTATATTGAGTTCGGTAGTCGACAGAAATGTGATGTAATCTTCCCACATCTCTGGATCAACTCCCATCGTTGTCGAACATAAGGCTCGTTCAAAAAGAGCAACGCAGAGCATTGGAGGACTTTGTAGCGATCCTTTCTTCGATTTTCGGCTACACTGAGCCCTCTCCCAATTAAGGTACTCCTTCCAAATGGTAATCTCTTCAACACTATCGTTGCTTCCCCTTGCACCATTTAGCTTCAACTCATACATCTCGCGACTACTGTATAAATCCTTCGCTGGTTGCGCCAACTTCGTGAGGTCCATCATAGTAGATTCCCATGATTCCTCATCATAAGTGGTAATGAAAGATGAAAACATTTCGCTGGTCTCGTCCCAAGTAGCGTGCGGTATTTGTAATCTTTCTAGAAAATGCGACTTGATGGTCTCAAAGCTCTCTGGGTTCGGTGATTTCGAATGTTCCTCCAACTCGATGCCCATCCACCGATTCCAAATTATGTGACTATCATTCAGCCTGTATTTCGTTGCTTCCGCGCCCTGTGACCATAACATGATTGCCTCTAATAGAGTGAACACTTCCTTCCCAACTTCCTGCTCCTCCTCGGACCATCCTGTGTCACCATTTTGACAATTGCTGTACAGCGACCAGTACCATTCACAGTATGCCAGCCATAGCTTATTTGAGAAAGGTTCTGCAGCGATCGCGCGCTTGTATATTTCCAGAACTTCGACGCGTTGTTCTAGATCGTTGGCCCTGCGACTGGCTTCGTCAATTAGCCCAAGCCATGACTCTTCTCCGACGGGATCTGCCATTTCGTTGTGATGAGTGATTTCGAAACTCGAATATCAAAGCACAAGATGTCGAGATAGATCGAACATGGTCATCAAATAATCCAATATCAACATGTTGGAACCCAGAAACCGGCGCCTCGCGACGATTGCTAGCCTTGTTTCTGCTGGTTTTCACCGCTTTCCCATGTCACGTGATATCAAAATATCGTTGATCTCGGTATCGCGTTCGTCGACCGTTAATGTGAAGCAGCCCAACCACGTCGCCAACAATGAGCCTAAATTTACCAATACGGCGAGCGGCTTGCTCAGGTATTTTAGCTATTCTTCTAGTTTTGTCTTACGTTGCTAATTGATTTGCTACAGCCCCACAAACATGCCACCCTCCTCGTCAGCTCGTCATCCATCGATTATCGCCCTTCTCACAGCGTCGTACATTCATCGGACGATGGTTTCGCGACAAAGATGACGAAAAAGCGGTACCTAAAGCCACAAATCCCAAAGAACGCCTCGCCGCATCATTTCTGAAAGAGAAACCCTCGAAACCGAAGATGAATTTTGGGGGGCTTTCCAAATCCTCCATCCTTGAGGACGAGAGCGTTGTTGGAAAACCAGACGAGAAATCTAGCGGGAAGCCCGTGGATTACGAAAAGGATATTATGAAAGTCCTCCCCAGGAACCCGGAATCTATGAAAGCCGCTCTGAATCCTAACCCAGAAGCGCGAATCCGCTGGCAGCAGAAGATGGCTATTCGAGAAGTCAGGAAGAGAGGAAGGTTGACGAAGAGACAAATTCTTAAGCGCACGGAACGAGAGCTGTCATCGAAGTCTCATTCCATCAAGACCTCCGTGAAGAAATTGGTGCCACTCGCGAAGCAGATTACGGGAAAGACTGTCGCGGATGCGATTATTCAGATGCGATTCTCCGTGAAGAAGGCAGCGAAGGACGTAAAGGAGCACCTTGAGCACGCGAAGAACGAGGCGATTGTCAAGAGGGGCATGTCTTTGGGGGTGCCCGATGGTGATCATTTCTCACCATTACATATCCAGACCAAGGACAAGAAGACTGTGAGGGTGAACGACCCAACTACGTTGTTCATTGAACAGGCGTGGGTCGGGAGAAGTGCTTACGGAAGGTCTCTTGATTACCGGGCGAGGGGAAGGGTTAACGTCATGAAAAATCCTACTACAAGTAAGTTATAGCTGATAATTGCTTCTGCACGCGAAACTAACTTTTGGCAGCTTTGACAGTTGTGTTGAAGGAGGAAAAGACCCGGATGAGAGAACACGAGGAGAGGCAACAGAAGATTCGAAACAGGAAGACTTGGGTTCAATTGCCTAATAGACCAATCACGGCTCAGAGGCAGTACTATTCGTGGTAGAAATTTAGTGTATTATAGATGGATGGGACTGTATTTTACCTGTATGCCAAATGATAATCATTACTGGTCTTGAGGATTGATCTTGGTACAATGTTCTCTCTTGGACTCTTCTCCATGCGACATCAGCCGACTGATATCAAGTGTCAGTGACGAGTCAAAACCCAAAGATTTATGTGTTGCAATTCAGGTTTGGGCCTGTTTGGTCATAGACTTGCGGGGGTTTCACGTACTAATTCCAAGAAGAACAAAGACTCGCTTGAAATTTGAAAAGTACGATTTGGTATCTATTGGTATGCAACTAACTCCTGTATCCTTTCCTTATGCCAAATATTGTACCGCAACACCTGATCCAATGCCAAAGTCCAAACTCCAAGCTGTTGCTTCTTTAACGACAAAATCCCTAATCAAACCTTCCTGATCCAAGCAAACCGCCCACCGCCTTTCTCCGGCCTTGAGCACCCTTCAATCTCTTCTGTTCCCTCCTTTTCTCAGTCTTGACCACATTAGCCTTCCTTTCATTTTCCCTCGCAAAGAAATTGACACCACTGTTCTTGCCCCCGCCCCTCTTCACGCCGTCACTGGATCCACCAGCCATACGCTCCATGCCCACAGTCGAAGTGGTTGAAGCAACACTGCTGTTGGTGGTTGCTTTTCTAAGCAAAGCAGGGGCTTTGAAAGTAGCTGCCGCGTTAGAAGCAGAAAACGCCAGGCGGGCGTTAGCCGACAGTGTGCTAGATGATTGGCGTTTAAGAGAGATGCGATCGATGACTGGTACTTTGTTTCTTCGGAGAGCGAAAGGGTCTCGACTCCGATTTTCCTTTCCCTCCTTTGTCGGCTCTCCGTCAATTTCGAGCTCGTCCTCTGAGTCGGAGCCAAGATCGACGGTTTGGCCGAGGGCGTTGGGCTCTTCAATAAGACTAGATAACGATTCCCGAACCTCCAAGAGATTTGTCGGCCTCTTAGCAAGTTTGGTGCGACGTAGGTGTGCTGGAGCTCTATTAGACGCATCCAAGACACTTCCTAGCTGTCTCGGTGGAGGTGGTCCCATTTCTGTCGGTTGAGTATTGGGTACCACTGGCTGCGATTGCTCATCTTGAGTCTGAGATTGCGAGTCGGTAGTCTCAGCCTCAGCATACTCATCCAAGAAGTCCATATCGTCGTCACTGCGTTGATCTTCGATCGCACGAAGGAAAGCTTGTCTCTTTGGGTTTTCAGCGATTTTACCTATTCGCTCGTCAGATAGTAGGGCTTTTCGCATTTTAGCAAACTCTGCTCGTTTCCTTCGTTTCCTTGCCTCTCCTCCGTCGTCAGAATCCGAAAGATCATAATCTGCTCCTCTTTTACGGCGAAGCATGCCATTAGTGATATCTTTGTAAAGCTTCTCAACTGCTTTCTCATCGCTTGCTCTTTCACGATCACTAGAGCAAAATTAGCTGTGGTCTCCTGGCAACATTGAGCAGTACTTACGCGAAGAAGGCAGCAAGTTTGCGTTCGTCAATATCCTTTCCACCTTCATCGTCAATCATCTCCTTCACCAGCTCGTCTTCCTCCCCTCCGCTTTCATCGTCACTGGCACCACCCAAACCAGCGTACTCATCCTCTGATTCATCGGCCTGCTCGTGGACCATGTCCTTGGCTTTACTGTTTTTCTTGTCAAATTCCTCGGCAGCAGTCTTCTTCCGCTTTTTGGAAGCTTTACGCATTACGTCAAAGGCAGTAGCTATGTCGAAATCATCTCCAGAATTCTGATGTATGTCGAGATCCGCAGCTTCCTCGTCATCAGAGAATGAAGCTACCCGATTTCTGGGGCGGAGTTTGCCTTTCTTTTTAGCGACTGGCGTTTCCACGGTGGACTCTGGGACCGCATCTGGCCCTAAAAGTACCGTGTCAACTGTTGATGGGGGCATGTCAACAAATCTTCGTACAGGAGTTGTTTGTTGAAAGCCAACATCTTGTGTGGGGTCTGGAAATTGTGACATTTGGCTATCCTGGACCAGGCTATCAAATCCGTGGATCTGTGACGGTGTAAAGTCAAGCTCAATTCTTTCGGGAATAGAATCGAACTGCTGAGAATTTGGAATGCTATCAGGCTCATCATCCATAGCCACGTCCTGTTCTTGAGTATCTGCTTCCATAGTCGGCACAAAATCTGGTAGTGATGGTGCTGGCATCCTCCTTAGAAAATCAAGGCCGCCCGCTTGAGTCTCTTCACCAGACTGGCTGTCATCCATAGTGCCTGCGAATATTTGTGTCAGACCGAGACCAGCAGGACCAGCAACAGTGACGCCAGGTATGAATGTTTTGGTCGCAGATCGCAGCACCGAGTTAGGTGCACCCGGCGACTCCCATTGCGCCTGTATAGGAGATTGTGTTTGCGGTACGGATTGGATAGTAGTTTGACGGTCATGTTCACTATCTTCGTCATCAGAAATCACTGCTTTTCTAGTTCGTCGCTGGATGGGTTTAACAGGTTGCTCGAGATCTTCGTCGTCGTCGGGGTCTCGTGAGTCTGTCGCGGCTCCAGGAATAGACAAGTCAGCTTCCTCTTCTTCTTGACCGTCGCTCTCATCAGCCTCGTCGTCAAACATTGGGTTGGTATGAGGTGCGCTTTCATCTTCCGCTTCCTCATCATCTTGCTCTTCTTCACCACTTGCATCATTGTCTTCATCCTCAGATCCCTCATTCTCCTCATCTGAGCTTGCCATTGAGAGTTCAGCTGTAACCACTTTTTCTTCCTCCCAATCCTCGTCGTCACTGCTTTCTCCTAATGGATCAGCCTCGCCGTTAGCCTTCCTTTCTTTTTTCGCCGCCTCTCTTTCTCGCTTCATGATCTCTTCGCCTTCTCGCCTGGCTTTAGCGATCATATCCTCCACATCGGCTAGGTTTCTCTCTCGTTCTTCAAGTGTCTCAATGATGATACCTTTCTCTCTCAACGCTTGCAGTCTTTCCTCTCTTTCACGCAAAGCTTGCTGCCTTGCTCTTTGCTGCAAGGACATTTGCAGTTCGCTTGTTGTGATCGATGGCTTCTTGTTCTTGCCAGTCGCTTTTCTAGGAGGGGATTTGACGAGAGCCAACATGCGCAGAGCATGCATAGAGTGTGACTCCTTGGACTGCTTCACCGGAATTCGATTGAATATAGAATCAATCTTCCTTCTTTGCCGGTTGGGTGATTTGGTAGCGACAATTTCTAGGTCGCTGTCGGAGTCATCTAAACTCACAGCCCGTGCTTGGAAATTATGGGCTTGGATTCGTATAGGACGCTGAGTCAATCCTGAAAGCTTCTTCGATATCTCCGGTTGGGGAACTTGCTCCTCAATTGCTCGCCCTTTACTTTTGTCCAATCGACGTAGGGGAGAAGAGTGCATTGCAACAGCATCCTCAAGAGAAGGTAACTTTTCTTCGTCATTTGCATTTGTCACGTTCACGGGATTGGTTGCTTCCAACGCTTCTGTTAACTTTACAGAGTTTCCAGGCGATGCGGGCGACGTTGGTGGTGTTTCCTTCATTTCGGTATCCGAGAGATGTGCAGGAGAGCTGGAACTGGTAGGTAGAATAGAATCATGGGTTTCCTTCTTGACGGTAAAGTTGAACTTCGCTAGAAAATCCGATTTTGCGTATTTCTTCTTAGTGATAGCATTGTAAGCTAATTGCTGGTTTCGGCTCATTCGTTGCGTTTCCCGACGAATCTCCTCCTGTGCCTTTTTGCTTGCTTTACGTGTCGGCTGCGTAAAGCGCCGTTCAGCAGTATCGCTAATATCATCGTCGTCCTCCTCCATATCTCTGTTTTGCTTCTTCCTCTCCGCCATTCTAGTTGCTTTCTGCTTTTCCTGCTCTGCCTCACGAGCTAAGCGTTGTTCACGTTGTTTTTGAACGAGAGCCAAAAATCGTGCATTATGAGGGGCTGGCAGATCTGCGTCAGAGTCCTCATCTGCAGAATTTCTCGTAAGGTGATCCGCGGATGGCGAGACGAACAAGCCCGGGGACGGTGTTTGTTTTGCTGGGCTCGATTTTGGCGTTTCGGTACGGCCAGTACGGAGTTTCCTCTTCCTTGAAATCACTGGACCATCACTTTCGTCATTGATATCTGCAGTCTCTTTTTCTGCCCCAAGTTCCAAGGTGTTTTGAGGCGATGAGTCTGGGCTCCCTCCACGCCTTCGTAAAGCTTCCGTAAAAACATCTTCGTCGGAGCTATCCCCGTTGACTTGCATTCGCGATGCTAATCTACCCTTTGGGCGCACAATCTCGTCCTCCTCATCATCTGTTTGGGTGTCACCACCAACAGAACCGGCTCTGGGTTGAGGAGAATTCGCTTTAGAAGGGGAAGGTTTAGAGAGGATCGCCGTGACTCTCTCGCGTGCCAAATCGGATACACTCTCATCATCTGAATCTTTATCGAGAGACGCGAGAAGGGCCTTGACTTTTGATCTTGGGGTCAATTGACCTGGAGATGATGCGGGGGATTGGATTGCCGGTGACGACTCTCGTGGAGAAGACATGGTTGTAGTGAAAGGAATTGAAGCAAGAATTGCTACTGTACTAAAGAATGAATGACATATGGATGTGAAAAGTAATTGAAATACTCAATTCATGTTCGTTCGTTCGATGTTTAAGAAAGCTAGGTACCTTGAGTACAAATGTCGGGGAGGTTGGATCCAAAGCTTTGATAAATGACGCGACAAGCTATATCGAGCGCGTCGTTCGCGACGGGACGCGATTACTAAAGCCACGCCGCCCCGCTTTCTAAAAGCACTTCCCGAATCTCCGTGCCCCAACTTCGTCGTATCAGCAGCTTCGCGAAGACGGGTCCCACCAACACCAACTCGAGGAGTTACGTGTTGAATTACGTGGTGGATCACGATGCCATCCACGATTGTTACTCTATTGCGTCGGCGTTGTCTTTTTCCATCTTTTGCGATCCAGTTGTAAATTCAAAGTTGGGATCGGGTTTCTTTCTCATATTGGTCATCTTTTTAAGCAGGTTGCAAGCGCCCGGGCTCACCTGCTACCTCACATACGAGCAGATCAAGATTCTATGTAGAGGCTGTCACGATATTGAATCACTGAACGAAGAGCTTTCACATTTGTTTGCGGCAGTAAAATGTTCAAGATGGATTTCACACGTATCCGACACCTTCATATCAACAATGTCAGAACCCTGCGGAACAATCCTCTCGCTGAGATATCCGGTTCACTCGGAGATCTTGGGACTCTGTTACCTCTCATGATTGCCTTAGCGGTTGGGAATTCTATATCACTTTCAAGTACACTTGTCTTTTCAGGGCTTTGGAATATATTGACTGGGGTTTGTTTTGGGATACCTTTGCCTGTTCAACCTATGAAGGTACTTTTGGCGACAATCCTGTAATGATCACACCAAGCACGCTAACACTTTGCTAGGCTATTGCTGCTGTGGCCATATCTAGGAGATTCACAATCGAGGAAACTGTTTCGGCGGGTTTCGTCACCGCTGGTGTTGTTTTCATTTTTAGTGCTACGGGCCTTCTAAGATGGTTCACTCGCGCCATTCCAACACCAGTCGTCAAAGGCATACAAGTTGGCGCAGGCCTTAGTCTTGTGCTATCGGCGGGATCTGGTCTATTATCACATTTAGATTGGGACACACCTAATTGGAGAGATAACCTGACCTGGGCGATTTTTGCATTTCTCGCTCTTCTCTCGACACAGAGATTTCCCCAGATACCATATGCCCTTATCATATTTGTCCTGGGGCTTGTTATATCGTTTTTCTTGACTGGAATGGACGATTTACCGACATTTCGCATATGGCGCCCAGCAGTATATGTTCCTTTGTGGCGAGATTTTCAACTAGGTGGTTTTGACGCTGGCTTTGGCCAAATCCCACTCACGACACTTAACTCTGTGATAGCCGTCTCATATCTCTCAGCCGATCTTCTTCCTCACATACCAACTCCAGGAGTCACTTCTATTGGGTTCAGTGTAGCTCTCATGAATCTGATTGGGGGCTGGTTCGGTGCAATGCCTGTATGTCACGGCTCGGGTGGTCTAGCTGCCCAGTATCGATTTGGTGCTCGCAGTGGAGCGAGTGTCATTATTCTTGGAATATTCAAGATGGTACTTGGATTCACACTTGGTGAATCGCTTGTAGACCTCTTGAAAATGTACCCCAAGGCTCTATTAGGCGTTATGGTGCTAGCTGCAGGGCTGGAGCTTGCGAAGGTCGGCGAAAGTCTCAATCATGGCGCTCGTGATCTTTGGGAAGTTTCAGAGTCATCAAGTACTCATGGAACGTTTTCGGCACAAGATGGCCCAAAACACCATCGGATACTATCAGATGAAGAACGAATGGAGAGATGGACGGTGATGTTCATGACAGTTGGGGGACTTTTAGCGTTCAGAAACGATGGTATCGGTTTCATAGCTGGTATGATGTGCCACTTTGCCTACCGGTTTGACGCTACATCCTTGAGCTGGCTCAGTCCTCTAAGGAGGAGGCGAAACCAGCAGGAAGATCGCGCAGGTGATAGAATTTCGTCTGTAGACGAAGAAGAACAACAGCGGTTGTTGAACAACACCAATGTATAATCATCATCGTCGCATAAACTATTTGACAAATCATTCAATTATGTTACGCACCAGTCCCCTGTCGCCGTAGAGTTGGTCCGTAGCAACTCAAGCTCAAAATTTACCTGTTGCAGTCTGCAATTTGACAGAGCCGAGGAAGATTCATCCCTCTGTCAGGACTCGTGATGGAACGTTCTGAGTCCTCACCTCCTATCACGAGAGCAATTACTTATAGCACCCTATAGTTTCAATGAAGAAGCTCTCATTGATCAGAGCATCCATAAATCTTTACTAGGAGTAATACTAAGTACGTAAATGAATATGATGGTCTGCATTTAGCACCGTTCTCATCCTATCTTATTTCATACAGATATCCCAAGCAGGTCATGACTCATGAGACATGAGACATGAGGCATGAGAGTTGCATCTTAATGTAGCGAGTGGTTGGTATCATACGAGGGTCGTCTGGCAAGCGTATTTACGCTCGATTTGTATTAAATAGTGTGGTAGTCGACCGAAAAGGCTGCGAATCGCCTGTGATGAAGCTTTAATATCTTAGATGCTGCTTATAAATCTCCTCCAGGAGAATATCAAGAGCAGATTTTGGTTTTTGCACTCACAGAGTGTTTAAGCATTTCATAGTCTGAATCTCATGATAATATTACAGCCATATATCCAAAGTCCCCACCTATTATACCATATCCCAAAACCGCCTACCAAGTTCAAGGGGAAAGTCCGACATTTGTGTCTGTAGATCTCAGCGTACTCCCAAAATACACAGCTCTAAAACATGAAACAAAGTTAAGCTTCCACTTTCGACATCCTCAGCGTTTGAAACAGCTGACAACACACATGTAGATAGCGACAAGAGTTGCAGGAAGTCCAACCCCAATTCCACAACCGAGAGCAATCTTGTCAGCCCGAGTCAAAGGCCCCTCAGCAGAAGGAGAAGGAGAAGCTTGAGGACCACTTGTCGTCGCGCCCGGGGTTCCAGTCACCTTCGAACCACCACTACTCGTCGTTGCAGTCTCAGAATCAGCAACACTAGTCTGATCAGGCTCAGCAGTATTAATCTGATCAGCACCATGCGCACAAGTCCCGGCCTTACAACCCGTCCCATTAACCGCTACACAACCATCCCTACAAACCGTAGTCGACGAAGATGTCTGACAGCACGTCCCACTGCAACATCCAAGTCCCGTATCGCACACACTATCGTCCTTACAGCAATCGTGTTTATCAGTCAAGTCGTAGCATAGGACTTGAGAATCGGAAATGGTTGCATAGCCCACGCCGTTGCAACTCTTCCAGTTGGGTCCGCTGAGGTGGATGCAGCATTGGTCGTTGTCGCCGAAGTAGTCGATGTTGTTGCAGTGGGTTTGCCAGGCTTGGGTTGTCCAGTTGGCGGCGCGAGCGGCGAGATCTTTGGAAGAGAGTGTCTTACTCTGGATCCTGTTAGTCGGGGTTCAGTGATAGGTGATCAGACTGACTAAAAGCATTTTGTTTATTCTTGGAAGGGGCTCGGTATATGCCGGTTGAGATATTGCCAATAGCAGGAGTGCCGAAATCCAAGTCATCATAGTGGCTAACCTTAGAATTGCTAGAATGATATATAGAAGAAGTTACAGAGAATGTCAATGATCCTACTACCTTTGATCGCCATTTTATGTTCCTTTTACAGCTGGCATGATTCTCAAGTCACAGCACCATGTCTTTCATCCAATACTTAGAACATAAGTCCTAATACTCTTATCTGGCGGGATGGGCCGCTCACAATATGAACTCCTAAGAAAATCTCATGATCTGGTTGTTTTAATGTCAGCTGTACGCCACACATTGGTTTTTTGAGGCGTTGATTTATGCCAGATCCAATAGCCCGCGAGCGGCTGAGACATTGTCAATGCAACACCACTGTAAGATATTTATATCTGAAAAGACTTCAAGGAGAGTGATGTGGAGGTTGTTTTGGGGATCTTATAGCTCGTTTCGCAGTCGCCTTTTTCAGCCGACTATAGCCCATCGTTGGCTGGCGGGACTCTTTCTCGCCTCTCAAATGGGCATCGCGATGAGTGGGTTCAAAGAGGATTGAGGTGCTAGAAGCAGAGCAGAGATGCGTTGCGGAGTGGTTCCGGAATGAGGAAATGTACTATAATAGTACTTGAACATGACATTTCTATCAGAAGAAATCTAATGAGCAGTATCAGCACGAGAACAACATTCAGCAGAATTCAAATTTCTTCACACCCAACTACTCACTTCAAACAGAATTTAATCGCGCCACAGCGTTGTATCAGTTGCTGAGTTTGGTAATGGAAGGCACTAGTCGATCGTAATCGGTTTTCGGGAAGTTTCTCCTGCTGATCAAACTCTGAGAGATTGTTGCGTAGTTTCCAGAACCCCAGAGATAGTCAAGTAGGATTATTCAATGGAGAGAGTGGTGTATCAAAAGCAATATTTGACTTCTCCACGTTAAGATTCAATGGTGTTAGCGCTCGAATGTGTGATCACTCACCTCAAGATCGGACTCGAGCAGTCAAGACCCTTTCCCCTTCTGAGAGTCCAATTACACTTACAGCTTACCTCATTCAACTCAATATCCCCTATCAGCCGCACTGGGGTTCAAGCTCACGGATATTGTTCTGAAAATTTGGATGCGACATACTTTGAGTTTGGTGAGTAGCAGTTCAAATGGACAGATCGTTGGATAGTGTCGTGATGCATTGCATATCGTATTCCATGCTATCTTTCAAATTCATAATTTTCATCGCGTCTGATGCATCATTCTATCACGTCTTTGGCGCCTGGGATCGCTCTCCAACACCAACCACACCAGCTTCGAGCCTTGCCTTCGACTTCCCTAACCAAGAACTTGCCTTGCTGTTTCTCATCGGCCCATTCTGGCACACAAGCACCCACTTTGACCATTCGCACGAGTTTCTTCTTGACAACACCTCCTATTCCCTCAATCTCATGTCTGGCATAGCCCGGACCCAGGTGTCCGCTAGAGATGCTTCCATTCGAGCTTGATGGACTCGAAGAAGGTGTTCCGGATCTGCTGAGATGTTCACTTTCTCTAGCATCTTCTGCGTCGCAATCAATTTCAGACTCGACCTCTCTAGCTGCAACGCATTCTGGACCACGACCGCATGGAACTCCCCGGTCGCCTTCACCAATGCCAACTCCCAATCCGCCAAGGGATGGAAGATATCTCGTTCGCCATTTCCAGATACCTTCATATTCGGTATCTGTAGTTCGAAGGCTGCGGCCGCAAGGTTGACAAAGCCAGACCGCTTCCGTAGCACACTTACAAACAGCGCGTTTGACGGTTTCTGCATTTACATGTGGAGCTGAATCTTCTGGTCGATTATAGGCTTGAGCGATTGTACGACTGACGAGGGAGGAGAGAGGAACCCGAGAACATGCCATGCAAATTCTTCGGTGGCGGTTCCGAAGGAGGATTTTGGCAGGAGCTTTGATAGTGCAATTCTGTAATCTTCGTTAGCTATGTGGTTCTGATATTAAGTCCGGAATGCTTACTCTACAAACAACTCTTCCGCATCTTCGACAACCGCCAACCATGTCTCGTGCACAATCACCGACCTTGCCGTTTCGACTGCTGGTGTCCCTTCCCACATCTACGAAGTAGTAATCTGCCGCCCTCGCACGATATCGAAAGGTATGCTCAGGGTCTAGTTCGACATCCTCATTCTCGCAATGCAATGTCGAATTCAACAACTGCTTTCTGTATTGTAACAGGTTTGCACGAATCTGGCGACAAGTACTTGATAGCGCGTCAAGACTGTTGAGATCGAGATGCGATGCTATTGAAATGACAATACTGTATATGGTTTATCAGTGATCACTCGCGAGCTCACATGCAAGAGAATGGTTATTGCTAATATTTTCCATTTAGTATCGAGTTTTGACATACGGATAGCATCCCAATGCCTCTGCAATAGGAGTTCTGCATGGCCTTTCCATCACATCGGGCTTGATAGTCTCCGGCTGGATGTCCGCCACATTCTCAACGCCATATCGGCCTCTTATTCCATTATGTCCATGTATACCCCAATCGAGTCTTGATCTGATATCTTCTGGAGGTTCGCTCTCCTTGTCCAAGTCAACAAAGACAACCATTGTGCTTCGTTATCGTTCTGCAGTCGTTGGTTCGACGAGTATGCAAGACTTGGTATCAACGGATACACTACTGGCACCAAAAACACGTAGTAAAGAAGAAGATGAACAGCGGGCTGCTAAAGGAGCGCCCATTGAAGCTGCGGTGGCAGCAAGCGAGATATAAGAGAAGACGGCAGTAATTATTGGGTTGATGCAGGTTCTTTGTTAGACCGAACAGCCATCTTGTATGAGGGATATGTGACAGTCGTCAAGTCTACGGACTCTAAGCGGACTGAGTCGAGAGGAACTGATGGCAGCGAGTTGAATGGCGCGGCGCCACGTGAAAGAACGCGGAGTGTTGACGACTTTCGTTCAAGCAGCCCCACAAAAGAGGGGTGGCCTTTCTGATTCGTTTTTGCCTTAGTTATTTATGGGCCCGTGCTTGGCTAACCTTAAGGGAATATACATCACTCCCCCTTAAAGAAGAATTTTAACTTTTATTTGGCTTGGGCATAATTTCTCGTTCTTCCTTCTGCTGATACGAAGGGCATTGAAGTTCACGCTTCGAACCGTGGCGGCATCTGTGCAGCCACAATTGATTGTTGCTCACTTGAGAAGGCACAGCAACTGTTCCTCGGTACCTAGCTTACCTAAATCTTACGGAGTTCTTGTCAGCTCAAGTATAAAGTATCTTGCTAAACCCCGAGGACTTTGTGCCCTTACTCGATATTTGCGAATTGCCTAGTGATCTTTAATTTGTAAAGCTTCACAGGGGTTGGTCCAATACAAGCACCACTCCTTCAAACTACCTACCAACCAACAGCTCGGCAATATTACATCCCCAATTTCAGCGGATTCATTTTGGTCTCATTGTTTACCACATTACACAAGATGACCACCCCGAAACCTTTCAAGATCGCTGTTGACGACTCGCTCCTTGCTTTCGTCAACCAGCGTGTTGCTACTGGACGAATACCTGAAGGTTACAACTTTCCACCGGGAAAAGAATGGACTTACGGTGTTCCTTCTCAGGAGATGTCACGGCTGAAGGAGTATTGGACGCATAAGTATGATTGGAGGGCTGTTGAAGCACGAATTAACTCTTATCTCAAAATGTTTACTATTCCAATTGAACACAACGGAGAATCATTCTCCATGCACTTCGTACACCATCGTTCCGAGAAAGAAGGCGCAGTCCCAATGCTATTCCAGCACGGATGGCCAGGAAGCTTTCTAGAAGTCAGTTAAATCTCTCATTCGCGAACAACAAAGAACACCGCTAATGGAGCAGGTCGAGCCAATTATTGACTCACTGGTAAATCCCTCAGATCCATCCCACCAAGCATATCATATCATTGCTCCGTCACTGCCAGGCTTCGGATTCTCCTCTTCGTCAAAATCCCCGGACTTCACCTTGATAGACATAGCCGCAATCAACAATAAGATTATGCTAGCACTTGGTTACACCAAGTATATTGTCCAAGGCGGAGACTGGGGCTCTATGGTATCAAGATTCGCAGCGGTTGGACACTCCGATAATGTTCTAGCATGTCATGTTAATATGATTGTTGCTACACCGCCTGTGTGGTACACACAGCCGATTTCATTCGTGAGATTTGTGGTTTGGGCTATTATGAATGCGAAGAAGCCGGGAAGCATGCTAGCGAAAATGCTGTGGTGGAGAAAGGACGAAAATGGTAAGCAAAAGAGACCTTGACAACATTGAAATTCCACTACAGTTCTAGAACTCATCTGCTCGTGTGGTTTTCTGTTCGTAACTGACCTTGTCACAGGATATCTTGAAATTCAAGGAACAAAGCCCCAAACACTCACCTATGCCCTCGCAGACTCGCCATTAGGACAACTAGCCTGGATCCGAGACAAAATGCAACCACTCATTAGCAACGATTATCGATGGCAAGACGAAGATGTAATCACCTGGGCAATGATGTACATTATCCCTGGTTCTACCGGTTCATCTGCGATCTACACCAATGGCAAGGGCAAGAAAGCGAAAATCTTCCAGCAAGTACTCCTAGACAAACCACTGCCCGCGAAGCAAGACTTCGGTGCCTCTGTGTTCCCAGACGATGTCTTCAACGTACCTTATTTCTGGGCCTCAGCGTGCGTCTCAAAGAATATTGTGTTTTGGAAGGAACACGCTGTAGGCGGTCATTTCGCTTCCACCGAGAAGCCGGTTGAGCTTGTAGAAGATATTCGCGAGTTCACGAAGAATATTAGGAAGGAAAATATGACCGCATTGAAGCAGAGCGGGAAGTTGAAGCTGTAATGCTTGGCTTGGCTTGAAAAAGATTGTAGAAGTATATTCAGGTTGTGTTGTAGATGTTCGAACGATATTGTCATTGTTTCTTTTGGCGCTGTCTTCAGATGATAGACGGCAGCATATGCAATTGGAAAAAAGTTGGCAATACAATCAAGGTTTTGCTGGTCGGATGTTTGCTCTCAAAACGCGCTACATGGTTTTACACGGCGAATGAATTCGAACAATTCTCAAAACGGGCGCTGAATTCCCAGATCCGCTTTTACAGAGGAAGGTCCGAGTACACGCACTCCTTCCAAACCCATCACTATCACTATCCCCAGCTCCTATTGCGACACAAATCCTAGCCTTCCGCAGAATGTCGTCGTAACTTTGACAAAGGCAGTATTGTTAAAACTCTTGTTGCACATCGCATTCTACGCGCCCATCAAGAACAAAATCATAAAACAAATCCACCTTCTCCATCGAACGTCAGAGTCACAATGTGACTTGCAATCTCAATCCTCCCTGATCCTGAACCCTGCTCCCTCGTATCCAGCGGGAAAGCTTCTAGAATCCTTCTTTCGCTTACCTCCTGAAACATGCGGTGCAAACCTCACATTCGCTTTCATACGAATTGGATATGGATATGAGTGATGAAAAGCTTTTGTTGCATGTCGAATTTTAGACGCCTTTGTGAATGGAATGGGGATGAAACGTACACAGATGTTGTGAAGTTGGAATTTGTGTTGTTGTGGAATGTGGTAAGGGGTGAAGGAGGAGGTCATTGCGGATTGTGTAACTTGTGATTAGCCCCTGTTGGGGGCGGGATAATGGGATGGGGAACACGAGGATTTGATAATGAGCATAAGTTTTTGGGTTTGATGAGTTTTGTTGCATTTCGATATTTAGGCGCTGGTTCTTTTTGTGATCTTTATTGGTTGTGAGCAAGTGGATTGAAGAAGGGTTATTAGCATATATGGGACATCGAGAGAGTTGTGGTGATGATGATTGGAGAAGTACTCACTCAAAATTCATCGCCAGTAGGTTATCGTTTTGATATGAATTTCTATATTACTTTGGAGCAGATACTAATCGATCATAAATTGACTATTCAGACGTGAGTTAGAAAACCTTTGCTTATTTCACAATATGTACACTCTGCCCACCAATATCAATAACATCCACGTAACCTCATCTCATCCCACATACCCAAAGGAGCCCGAAGCTTCAATCCCATATCGCTATATCTTTTTTGTTGCACATCGACATTTACGCGCTCTCTTCATCAGGAGTCAAAAGAGTTTCAACAGGTCGCATCAGACAGTAGTAAAAGGATTTGCGGGATCCAAGCTATCAACCGTGCTTCGATACCAGATTTTGAAGTTGTAAATCTGACCCCTGTCACTATCAAAACTGGTGAGAGGGAAAAGGAGAAAATTCTCTTTGTTGCACATCGCAATTTACGCGCTCATTTCTCTGCTCTATTTTGCGTGTTTCAGTGGCTCGAATTGAGGAGGAGGTTTGCTGCAGGAATGATTCGGATATCAGCTGGCTCTTCCATGATGGATCCAAAGGAATTTCGCTACCCCTTGTTTGCAATCACACGAGGACTTCAGCCGGGTGGAGACGAAATTCGGGATGAAAACTTGAAAAGCCACTTCGAGTTTGACAACAATAGATGGGATGTACTTCGTGCATCTTTCGCCCGGGTATATTATCAATCAATAGGGCAACCTCGCGGCATGAAAGAGATGTTGGAGGACTTGGTGACTTTGGAGGTTGGATTGAGGCTCGATCACATGATTGCCCATGCAACTAATATAAGCGGGCAACCGGAGACCTCCCGGTCCCGTCCCGACCCGAGGTCTATTCGGGAGCGGGACGTTCCATTTTCAAACGCTACGTGGATGCAAACAACATGAAATCGAATTTGAAAACCCCTCCTCACTCTCACTAATACACTCTCACTAATAATCGCATGGAATCATGTATACTGCACATTTACTGTAGCTCAAAACCGGACAAGGCTGACATGATCCTTCGCACTGTTTTTATTCCTGTCTCCGTCACGCTTTTACACTCTAGCATCTAGATCTCGAGGACAAGCTCAACTACGACATATCAATGGCATCTCCTCGGGCTTAAGATTCCAATAAAATAGGAAGCACATAATCTCATTCAATCATCAACGTTCTTATCTTACACTACACGATCTGTACCTGTCTCCAAGGGACCACTCTTGGACTTCCTACCAAGCCGAAATCTTGTCGCTTCGTCAACGAGTACGTCGAAGGACTGGTCACTCTCAGCCTGTTCAGCAAACTGCCAGCAACTTCAATTTCCAACTTGTTCTCCCCTGCCTTCACCCAGGCACCGATGTCATGTGTCCACGTCAATTGGTCTACCGCCGGTAGCTGGACGCCGTTCACCTTGATTCTGAAAGAGCCGAGAAATTGAGACATCTCAAGACTAGCACCGAAGCCTGATGAGTTTGATGCTTGAGTTGGGTAGGTGGTTGGCAAGTTGAATGTGGTAGAGTAGGTGCCAATCCCTGACACATCCAGGAGGCCTGGCAATGCAGTCCATGGCTGAAGAGGGGCAGTGATGTCAAGCTTGTGGCGGAGGATTGTTGTGGTGGTGTTTGTTGGACCCGGTGTGAAATCCTCGACGTCGAGTGTCCAGCTGGATAGATCGATGGGAGAAGGCGAGGCATCGACTGTGGTTGTCGAAGTCTTACCGTTGCTGAAAACGGTACTGTAGCTTCCACTAACGTTGCTACGAATCGCCATCTTTTGTTGAGAGTCTACAACAACTGTACCAGTACTGCTAACCGCGTGAACGGCTTTGAAGTCCATTGGTACTATTGTCATCAGCATAGACTGGCCTGGCCTCAACTTCACGCGGAAAGAGATACGGCTGGCGCTGACTTCTGTATAAACTGGCAGAACTTTACTGGTTCCTGTCCAGGCATCGAGGACATATGGAACGGCTTGAGAGCTTCCGCGGAAGACTGATACGTCTTGATCGACAGCCTCGGTGGCAGAGTTGGTGACGAAGAGGTAGTGATCAAGTCGACCATCGACTCGATGAATATGGATCAGGGAAGAGTCGGAGTGTTGTACTTCAGTTGGAACACCAAGTTTGGCGACTCCGTCGGCCATTGAAGCTCTGTCGGGGACATTAACGACATTTGGCAGCGCAAGCATCTGCTTGAATGTCGAGGCTACCTGCGAACTCTGGTTGAATTCGCTATATCCGTATGCTCTCACAGTAGACCAATCGCCAACGACTAGAACAGGGAGGCCAGCTTGGGCATACGAGAGCATCCGTTGCGCAGTGTCAAGTGTGACGACAGGAATTTGACTGCTGAAAGCATCTCCCTCGAAAGCTAGCAAGCCAAAGTTTGGCCCTTCAGGTGCAAGTCGCTTATTCGAGACCTTTGCAATTGGCAGTTGAAGCAAGCTTGGGGCAAGAAAGTTCATGCTCCAGCCTGCTCTCGTTCCAGCAGCGCTGAAATACGAAGCTCCAAATCCGGAAGCGATGTACCCCTTTTGACGGAAGAACCCAACATCATGTTTTGGTACACCACGACGCATTAGGAATTGGACTCTACCCATGTACGCCGAAATGTCTGGAGCGTGTCTCCATGCGGGCTGACGAGGTCCCCAAGACTCAGCATATCCAATGTTACCAGCGCTACCGTATGGGGTAAATGCTGCAAAACCAGGCCATGCAGCCGATGGAGCCTCGAGGTAAGAGAACCCATGGAGAACTTGCTGATTCACGCCAGCTGCGAAAATCGGGTTGAGGGTCCGTAAGACTCTTTCCCAAGTAGTCGTGTAGGCACTTGTCGCGAATGCTGCCGCTTCATTAGAGATGATGTTGTGCTGACCCATATTACTTCCACCAGCCAGGGATCTGTAATCATCGAGGTTCTTAAATCCCAGAGACTCTCCTTCGGCGATATCCAAGGCAGCGGAAGCACCCATGGCATCTGTTGATAGTCCATAGGGCTGAACTCGAAGCTGCATCCCATGCGAGTGACACCATTCCTTGACGGGAACAACGTGGTTCTCAATGTATAAAGCACCAAGGACATCCCAGAAGTCGTTAAGGATGCCACGGGTGACTTCGGCATCAGTGAAAGCGATCGTGAACTTCTCCTTCTCTCTGACTATAGTAGGTGCGTATTTCATAATGTCGTATCCCATGCGGTTTCTGAATTCGGTTGGATATGCGGCAGTCCAGTAGGTTGTAGCTTCGAACTCTAGGGAGTCCTCAAACAGCGAACCAAAACCGTGGAATCTAGTGGTGAGAATCTTTTCGTCCCAGAACTTGGTCAAAATATCGGCACCTGCTTTTGAGAAATGATCAATGACATAGGCGAGAGGGCTCGTATGTGGTCCGGCTTCCGGCATCTGGCCAGTACCTCGAGTGCGGAATGGCATGATGACCCAATTACCTCTATCAGGTGCTGTCCAACTAAGCTTTCCATCGGTTACCTTGCTGGTGAGATCAATCATAGTGTTGGAGTCGAGAAGCATGGTCCTGGCGGTAGGACTGCTGGCATTGTTGATCCGCCATGCTTGGACAGCGATGAGTTTCTCTTTAGTCACACCCGGCTCTGGCTCAACGTATGAGTGAGGTAGCTCGCCAGAAAATTGAAAGTTGGTGGTAGCATTCACATAAGCTCGTCCATGAACCAACTCCTGAGCGGCAGCTTCATCATCTGGAGTGATGGTGGGAAGTGCTGCTGGCCATGATGGCCCAGCAGCAATATCGGTCCGGAGGCCTCTTTGCTTTGCTCTTGTTAAAGAGGCATATACTGCGTCGATCCAAGGAGTGGTTGCCCATCCATGACCTGCAGGGTCTAAGAGATTCGCATTTGTGCTGTGGTGGACGTCTTCTATTTCAACGCCACCGAACCCGGCATCCGCAATCTGATCGATTTCAGCCTGGACTTCGGCGATTTCAACTAAGCCATGTGGCCACCACCAGCGAAACATGGGACGAGCATCTGTGGGTGGGCTGATGAGGCTGGAAAAAATCCCCGCCGCCGAGTTAACTAGGGGGAATGCTACTGAGTACGCCTTTGTATCGGTTAGCGAAAGTAACTAAAGAGTATCGGAGGAACTTGCCATCTTGATTGGGTAGAAAATACTCAGAAGGAAGTCGTTTCCTGGTAGGAACAACCATTTTCTCAACTCTGGATCTTAGGTTCTTTATACCTCTCCTATACACCCTCATCTCGTACACTTTGAACGAGCATTGGTACTATTGAAGCACGAAAGTGCTCCATAACTGCAGTCTCAAGACAGGCAATCGCTGACTTCTGCACCGAAAAACTGGCCCTAGAACTGACTACTAGTACACTCAAGCAAAGCTAGGCTCATTTAAAGTCGTGGGCTCCTGGCAAAAAGCTGACATTTTCGGGCGCTATTGACTACACGTGTCTTTGCCCCTGACCAAGTGAGCAATGTACCTGTACGTCGGTGAGATAGCTCGCATTCATCAAGGGCGGTGATGAGCGGGGTAAAGGTACCTCGTATACTACTCCGGATATAAGACATCATTTATTGCATGTCGACATAGGAATAGAAGTCGAGGAGCGAATCACAGATAGTCCCAATTGTGTGCCTGTGCGGCACAGACTTGGTCTAGCGACTTACTTGGCAAGTCTCCCCGGAGTCCCCAGACGAACTTGACATCCATTATCCTGGAGAAAGGCGGGGTTACACAGAACTGAGGCTTGTGATTTGGATGCTCGGTCTCGCAATCAAATTTCTCCGAATACCTCCTACCCTTTTACGCAGCCTAGAATGGCCTTGCCAAGCAGCGGCACGGTTTAATATAGAGCGAGACTTAGGAGTATGACATACCCCATGGGGAAGAAGTCTTCCTTAGCAAGAGCTGAGGATTTGGCCAGAATGTATTTGGAAATAGAGACGCTATACTTCAAAGGTTTTGGTTGTCTTGAGAAGTGCGGAAATCATGAACTTTCCAAGATGTCAGGACTCGTTCAGAGTTGACAGTCACAAAGATCTTGTATCGCGAGCATTTAGAAGATACCTTCTAATTGGGAAACTACCCTCTGAGAAGCTGAAAGCTCCATATCCCTCAATTGACTAATGCAAGGCACACATCACCTAATGCATTGTTTTAGATTGAGGCGCCTTGCCACGGTCATCCATAAAATGGGTATGAACTCGCCTAAGCAATTTTTGAATTCCAAGACGACGCTAGCAATTTCGTAGAATTGGCCACTTCCCAGTTCTATGAGAAAAAGACACTAGTGAAGCTGATCAAGCGAGCTCAAACATATTTTATTGATCTTGCAAATAATTGTATAGCTAGAGCACAAAGATTCAACGTAAGTTACCTACCCAAAGACTCCGAGTATCACGAAAATCGCATTTGTATGCCACTCCCAATGCTTTTTTGACGGTCAAAAGAGCAGTTAATGTAGTACTCTCACTTCAAAAATTTGCTATGATCAAATGGATGAAAACCGAGGCCTCAAGCATGAGACCTATTGTCACCGCCACCCAAAGGTGCAGCCAAACCACACCACCAAGATTCAATAGTCACACCTGGAGTAAGGAAACACCTTGATATACCACCCCAAGACTCTTGTTGGTCTCTTGACTCTTGACTCTTGACTAACTTAGGAATCTTGCGTGAAAATCTTTGCTGTCAACTTGTCAGCTGTCCCATCCATTGGGATTTGTCACCCCTGCAACCATGACAACAATTGCGTAAGAACTTCAATGGTACCGCTTCAACACTCTTGGAATGGTTCTATAATGGACGAGATGAATATTTTGTTGCATCTCGCATATTAGACGCTCGAAATAAACCAAATCATAGGATCCGCTGAGATATATGTGGCGAAAGTCGCACGTCTAGAACTTCTCGCTTGTAAGCTGTCAGAATAGTTGTTACCCCTGCCTCTCCAAGTACTCACCGACGAGCCCTTAGATTGACTATCCCACCCTTCGAAATATCACTTATGAAAAAGGATAGTTTGTTGCATTTCGCAATTTAGGCGCTGCGAATTTTGGCTATGGTTCAGTTTCAGCCATTTCAATCAGGAATGTGCGAGTTGAGATATCATCTGTGCTTCAAAGCCGACTTTCATCACAGGTTCCATGCTCTGCATTTGAACATAAGCACAGCTAAAGATATCCAGAAATATTCGGTTTGTTGCACCTCGCAATTTACGCGCTTTCAATTGCACAATGAAAATCAAGTTTCAAGTCAAAGAATTGGGCTTTGTACGATCACAATCCCTTCCTTCCATCCCATGGCTTATACACCGTTTCCCATACATATGATCCTGAAACCCATCCCCATCACGAAAAACCAAACTCTCTTCCAATTACCTGCACACAGAAACTTTTGTTGCACTTCGCAAAATACGCGCCCTTATTTCGGCATCTCAAAAGTGGCCAAAGGGGATTCCAAAGATGGGAAAAGGTAAGGTGGAACTTCAAAAAATGCCTGAGCATCTCCATCCTCTCACCAAAATACCACTTTGTTGATACGAATCTGTAACAGAGGTCTGTGCTACGAATGGTGATGGGAATGCATGGAAGAATATGAAACGGGGTGAAAGGGGTGCGCGCCGTCGAAACGAAACATTTAAGCGAGAGCCGACGTTGCATTCAGGGGGGAGGGGCCGATCGCGCGCTTTTTGGTGAGTTGCTCAGGGGTATTGTGACAACAGAAGTCTTTCAGCTCAGTGTTTCAGTGTGATGTTGACGACAAAAAATTTACCTGGAGAATTCTAGCAAGCATTTTGGTCCAGACATCTATTTGTTCCTTTGCGACCAACCTGGGCTGAGATGCTTTCAAACCCATGAACCTTTGACTGCGATAACCTTAATCAAGAGAGTGAAGTATACTTAACAAAGATTTTGCCTTTTTATCAGCAGGTCAGGTTTTGTAGGAATCTGGCAGCAGATCCTTGCATGTTGGTCATTTTTGAACCCAGGTCGAGACCTACTTTGGCTTGAATTGCACGAATTGCTTGAATCTTTTTCGGACTCGAATTTCGAAGATGCTATTTTGAGCAACTCAGCTTCTTATACATCTGATTCCCGAGTGAGCATGCAACGGTCTTCACTCACAGTAGATGCAAAGGTCTCTGAACACTTTTTGGATTTTTCTATGTGTGATATGATCACATTACGAGGTCAAACATAGTAGAGAATGGTTGATCAACAAAAGATGCACAGGTGAAGAAAACCTCCTGGTATTGTGCTCTTGAACCTAACTAGCAATTCTCCTACTATAATCGAATCCGCGAACTCCAGCAGAGACGCAAGAATGAGAAGTTTCCAAATTATCCAAAAGATGCTCCAATAATCTTTTCTCTCTACTTATCACGGCATATTACACAAATCACCAAAAATCCAATACAATTTCCACTTGAATTTCTGGTGGTGGCTGTTGCCCGAAGTGGAGCTTAACCTCCAGCCTTTTGTGTTTCCTATATCCGCACTACTTCATAAGGCCGGCTCGCAACCAGAACTAATGTATGTAAATCCTCCGGAGATAAGCTGGTTCTGCGATAATCTACTCGCCTTATTAGTCAAAGTTGGTATTAGCCTCAAATACCCAGGACCGAAGCACACGATATTCCCAGGAGTAAGTAGGAAAAGAACAGCAATGGAGTAGCGCAAAGTGGGCGATCTGAGACTATAAACCCCCTCTCGACATTCGAAATATCGAGGTTATTTACACAACTCGTCGATTATAGCAAACTTGTTCATGTGAGCAATATCTGTATTATGCTTAATTCGAATAGAGAAATTCATGACGTAGTCAGACAACTTCTATCAGTTTCACATACCTGCACACAGATTCGGAAGTTTTCGCGGCATAGGAGGTATCATTTCAATTTGTTGTTGCGCTGTTTCGGAGATCGAAGAATTACATCTTCTCTAAAAAAAAATTTGTTCGGGTATTTTCTGCCATGACTTGAATTCTCACAGGGAATCTCGAGAACCTTCATGCATACCCAATCAGAAGACACCTCAGATAGGTATCTAGGCAGGAAATGAAGTTAAATTCCGTGTTTGTCTCTTCATCCTCGAGCGACAAATGGCCCGAGTCCCTGGAATTAACTCACCACTCTTTTGGCATGAGTAGTAAATCAAACTGATAGGTGTTAAGTGCTACCACAGATCGACTGTGCAATATTATATAACTGAGCAAGTAATTGAGTTTGCCTCTGCAAGTTTTGTGATTCAAGTAGACTTCATCTAGATTCATCTATACTGTGCCAGGTCAAGTCGGTTGTAACCCAGATATTATTTCGATTTCGTTCTTTGTCGGAAGGTAAGAAGACAACAAAAATATGCAAGCAAGATGTTCTGATATGTGACTAGTTTTATGCACGAGCCAAGGATAGCGAAATTTCCTGGAAATTGAAAGACGACGACAGCTACCAGAGATGTGACTGTCCTATGGTGTGGCAATACAGACCACTCACAGAATATTCGGTAACTTTCAAGAGTCCTTGAATCCCTAGGTCTTCTGAAATCAAGTTAGATAAAGGGGTTGTGACTCATGCAAGGCCGAGAATTCTTCTTGGTCGGTTACATTCAACTGACACCGCAGTCACATATTGTGTTTTGATGGTCTAGAGACTAGAGACTTTACAGATGACATGCAACACGTCCATGAACGATGATGCAATATTCTTTCTTGTGAGTATTGAAATTATTCGACTTTGACTTGCAACTATAGACGGTTGCCTCTTTGAAACTGAGAATGGCATGAGTAACTTGACGCATGATTCTCTGCTTTCTCGTTTTGCCTGTCTGTATCCGCTCTATTCTCTTCGACTTTTAAGTCGCTCTCGATCTAGGTTTGATGTCATCACTCTTCTGTAGTGCCACAAGTATGCCTAAGAGTAGTTCCATACACCTTCTCCCTACGTCTTCTTAATCGTGTGACTTCTCAACACTCTACTGCGTTGGCTCTCGGCTGCGAATAGTTTGTTTTCACGTACCGTGGTTCCCAAGATCAATATCATCTGGTGAGATGGACTTGATAAATTTAGTCCAGTTCGCACAAAAATGATAAATGAGACATCACGTGGTGTTTCATACCGCTGTTCTGAATAAGCTTTGCTATGTTTGTTTCCACAAGGTATGCAACTAAATTAAACTTACAATAACATCGATAATTATGATTGGAAGCTATATTTAATAGCTGGCTTGTAAATTGGTTAATGTAAGCAGGCTTGTCTGGGGAAAAAAAGAGCTCAAAAAAGTGGCTGCGAGTGAGATAGCTACCTAGGTGCCTACTACTCTATGAAGATGTTTGTGAGGAGGTACTCTTTCGAAAGAGATGTATAGCTCAGCCAACCAGACTATTCTAAAAGACCATATGATATAATCAGTGGAAACGCATAGGCAGAATGTGTGATTCAATCGTATCAAGATCTGAATTTTGTTGCGAAACTATCGAACCTGTCTGTGGCTCATCAAAAGCCCCATGAGTAACAACAAAGACCTTACTTACTTCATGAATCGAATATGTTTGCATACCTACTCAACCTACTCACTTACCTAACTCATGGATCTCTTCTGGAACTCTCCACAGATATTCATGGCTCACAAGACATGTGTTAATCAACATTCTGTGCCCTTATTTTATCAAATTCTATGTCGAACTCCAGAAGCAAACTGTCTTTACATCAAGAATACATCCTAAGACCACCCTTCTGACCACTCGGAGGAAGACACGAAAAAATGACTCTCAAAGACGAGCAGACCGAGGAGTGGAACACCGCTTCAATGGAAGAGATCAAATTCTTAATCTGTGTACTTCGACTACGCTGTCAACCTCCTGTTCCATATCCACACATCGAATCATATTTGAATCAAATTATGGGCCTTTCGCACGAGAAGCTCTCAGATATATTTGACAGAGAAGAAAGAGAAGAGACCAACTTATGGGAGGATGCTAAGACATGTGATGATTGGAACGTTGAGCGGATCTTGATTATTAGTGGGGTGGATAGAGAGGGGTATAGACTTGCCGAGAGGAAGGAGACAGATGCGCAAATTAAGTGGAGGAGGACCAAGGATTGGAAAGTTGGATCACTTCTAATGAAGCCTGATGAAGTTAGCCGAGTAATGTGATGGCTGGTATCATCGGTTCTGTCAGTGCAAGGCGCGCTTTAAAGGTTATGAAGGCAGATACTTTAAGACTTCTTCAACTTGATTCTCAACCTGAGATATGTCGATATGACTTGAGTAGCCGACAAAGAAGAGAATTGGTTCGCGTCACTCAACCATACTAGTCGATGACAGTAGTGACTTTCCTGCTAGTCTCTCTCTTCTGCTGAAGGACACATGCTACGAACAACCAGGCCATCGCCGATCTTCAGCCGAGACTGAATCCCGGCGACCGATGTTTTGAAGCAGAATCAACACCGTAGAGCAGGTGAAGATTCATGATCGATGAGTGGACGATGCGTTAAAACAACGGTTGGAGCTCGAGGATTGACGGGACTAAAGGAGAAGAGCGTTTTGTTGAACTCCTCGCAAATGAAGCCCCTTTCTATCCAAAGAACATAGCTTAATCCAAACGTGTGGATATATAGATTGATCGTATATTGCGGTGGATGTCGTCAAATACTTTATGCAATGAACTTTGGATTGTGGTTTGGTGAGAGAGTGAATTGTTCTGCAGATAAGTTAGATGCAACTAATGCAAACAGAATTGCTCAACTTTCTATACCTCGACATCCAGAGTCGCTTTTCTCGTGTATAAAAATTATTGATCGATCTCCGTTCGAAAGGCTCCAAGACACCGGTCCGTAAGAAGTTCCCATCGAGGGCCATCACAAATTCGGAGCCAAACATGTATGGCACCCACCCCTTAAACTACATCTTCTGATCAAATAAGTCTTTAGCGAAGCTATTGTGATACCTGTCTCTTCCGAAAGATACTTCGATACGGCGTCGCTCGTTGATATCGTCAAGTACCACTCCGACTTTGTCTTTATGAGACAGCCGGGTTGGTGCAGGTCGTGGATGATTACACGGCATCGATAGCTACAAGATGAGATATGTATGTACTGACATGGTTCGGGCCTCACCCGCCAGTGTTTCCAAGTATGGAACGCTCATCATTACGCGCCGACTAATGGGACGGATATAGATTCGCACGCTGCTCCGCCACGAAAGAGCATCGCAATATCCCAATCAGCAGCCGTCAGCTTGCTATGCGCAGACGAGTCTCCGGATGAAGTCGTCGCATTGAGGAAAAAGATGGATACCAAGGTAGAAATGTACCTGCTCTGGCAAATTGTATCGTGGTCTGAATATCGAGGAACTCGAGCTGGTCAGCCTGGTCGACGACCGAAACAGATCCAGCCCCCAATTTGGAAAGCAGGGGACGGGAGTCGACCCCACCAAGACTTGGCGGAATTCCCCTCAATACTCTATCGCAATCACATTCGCTCACTCGTTCTATTAAGGCTTCCATCTCGCCGTCCCTCTTTCCGTCAAGTCCATCCAGCTTTGTTGTTTGTCTTCCTCGTCCGCTGCTTCAATTTATCGCTATCCATTGCCTTCTTTCAGCTCAAAAGCGTCGACGTTTCCCGCCAGCCGTTTCGCAGTCAGCTCCATCCGACGAGCCAACAATCGTCCAACTGTGCCACCTCATCCCCATTACTCTTCCGTTTGCGCATACCCTCTGCAAAAGTACAGACTCTTCGGAGACGTGTGTCCCCTTCAGCCATCGATAGAACGTCCACGCTTTAAACCCGCATCTTCGTATCTGTCTTACGCTGGAAAACGACCATTCCACAAATCAGACCATCATGGCAGACCTCGTAGGGAGAAAGGTCTTCAAGGTCTTCAACCAGGACTTCATTGTGGACGATAGATACACAGTTACAAAAGAGCTCGGTCAGGGTGCTTATGGAATCGTATGGTACGTCGAATCTGCAATGCTTATCCTCTACTGTCGACTAGGACTACTTCATTCCTCCTGGGTCGAGCAGCTGCTGACAAGATTACCCTTCCAGCGCCGCCAAGAACAACGACACCGACGAAGGCGTCGCGATCAAAAAAGTAACCAATGTCTTCTCCAAAAAGATCCTCGCAAAGCGCGCTTTACGCGAAATAAAACTCTTGCAGCATTTCCGTGGACATCGCAATGTGAGCAAATAAGGGAGGGGGAGATTGGCGGGGCAGATGTGCTGACAACGATAGATTGCTTGTTTGTACGATATGGATATCCCAAGACCGGACAACTTCAATGAGACTTATCTCTACGAGGGTAACGCAGCTCTTCCTATCATTCGGCAAATCGTCCTAACATCTGCCAACAGAACTCATGGAATGCGATCTCGCTGCTATCATTCGCTCCGGACAACCCCTCACCGACCCACATTTTCAATCCTTTATTTACCAAATTCTTTGCGGGTTGAAATACATCCATTCTGCCAACGTGCTCCATCGTGATCTGAAGCCTGGTAATTTGTTGGTGAATGCCGATTGCGAGTTGAAGATTTGCGATTTTGGTTTGGCGAGAGGATTTTCCGTTGACCCTCAGGAGAATGCTGGATACATGACTGAGTATGTTGCGACAAGGTGGTATAGAGCTCCCGAGATTATGTTGAGTTTCCAGAGTTACACTAAAGCTAGTATGTTTTACGAGACATTTTCGACAAACGTTGGCTAACAGTAGCAGTTGATATTTGGTCAATTGGTTGTATTCTGGCAGAACTACTTGGAGGACGACCATTCTTCAAGGGACGCGATTATGTTGATCAACTCAACCAAATCCTCCACATTCTCGGAAAACCAGACGATAAGACTCTCGAAAAGATCGGATCACCAAGAGCACAAGATTACGTCCGAAACCTTCCTCCAATGGACAAGCAAGATTTCAATAAACTGTTTCCCGGCGCAAAGAAGGAAGCTCTTGATATTCTAGAGAAGATGTTGGCATTCGACCCGACACGGCGGGTCACTGTCGAAGAAGCCCTCGAACATGAATACCTTCAGATCTGGCACGATCCCTCTGATGAACCGGGTTGTCCAACCACATTTAATTTCGATTTTGAAGTCGTTGAAGATGTTGGTGAGATGAGGCAAATGATCCTGGATGAAGTCCATCGATTCCGTCAACATGTTCGTATCCAACCGGGTCAACATACCAACCAAAGAATCCAAGTTCCTATCCCGCAAGGTGGGAATGGGCAATGGAAGGCCGAAGAGCCAAGACCTCAAGAAAATTATGGGCACTATGGAGGAGATCTAGAGCATGATTTACAGGGCGGTATGGACGCCATGCAGTCGTAGAGCAGTTTTATGTTCCCGGGCGTTGAGAATGTGCTGTCATTTTCGTTGTTTCGTTAGGAGCGGTTGCCTCCGACATTTTGGATGTTCAGCGAGAATAACATTTGAGGAGGAGTTTCGAGGATGGCATAAAGAATGAAGGCAATCTGTAGCGTGATGTCGTTTGCTGATGGTTGTGGAGATTGTAGGTTTTGATAATCTCTGTGGTGTGGAGTTTGAAAATATTTAGTTTCCCAATCACGAATCCTTGGACCATTCGGCTCATTTATGTTCAAACCCACAGTTCACTGTCCTATCTTTGCGATGCTTATCGTAGCCGCTATGTTTTCTCAAGGCAGCCTGCAATTGAATAGTGTCTAGAGCAGGTTAGACCGGCATATGGACTATGGATGGTTAATTTGCGAGAATACAGTAAATCCAGATCGAGGCAAGTACCTGGTTCCTTCTCTGAACTTCAAGCAAAGAAGCCGTCATGTCAACATGCTAGACTAAACTTAAACTCTTTAGTTCCCGTTGTGCAGCTCGTGCTGGCGGTGTGGGTCCACTATGATATCAATGCTGGTTACATCATTCATCAAATTCCATTAGCACTACTGCTACCCCTCATGAATTTCTTTCCTAAATGCACTTTCGAAATCATACCATCTTTGTAACACTGCTTCTAAGAATATTTGCTTCCTAATTTGAAGATTCCAGAACGAACGATTCGACATCAAAAACAACGCATTATGTCTTCAACAAACGACCCCCTCGCCGCAGCAAAGCAAGCTGAGAAGGATCTCAATTCCCCTGCAATGAAGACGGGTGCCGCAAATAAGGGCAGTGATAGTGGTCAGTATGGCTTTTGCTTTTTACTCCCCTCGTTTGGAATTCAAGGATGGATAGACGAGTGAGAGTGAGCAATGCTTGGGTAAAGAGATTGAAAGGACAGCAGAAGTTTCGGTGGTTCACAAATCGTGAGCTTCACGGTTTGTTGTTTCTTGCTCTCTCTAGTTGAACATTAGAGTACGAACCGGACCGGGTGAGGGAGTGTGATGATATTCCTGTTGCGGATCCGATGAACATCATATCTGTGCATCATCTCATTTGCAGCTCCAACTCGGCGCGGTTCACTTCCAACTCCAATTATCGGAGACCGAGAATTGTCGAGATACATGTTGCTAACCTCAAGAACTCTCACAGTAAACGAATCTGGCGTTGACGAGAGCGTAACCAAGAAATTCCCTGGCTCAACCGTAACAGTCGGATCTGCAGCCAGTGGTGCGGGTGATAACCGTGAGGTGCGTCTGCAATCCTTTACCTGTTCTCTACTATAGAGTATTGCGACGAAGCAAACGGACTCCAAACAAGACACGTATAGCCGAAGATCATGGAGCCACCGAGAACAACATATGTTCTTATGTCCATAAACCTTTCCATGAAACTCGACGATCGCTCTCTCATATCCCATTACTTCTCTTCCCACTCAACTAACCCCTACGATAGATCCCAGAGTCGGAAGGCGGGGACATCCTCAAAACCGGCAAACCAACAAAAGCAAAAGATTTCGAAGGTACAGGTGGCCCGGAAGACAAGGCCAGAGAAGACGCGTATAACAAGGGCGGAGATGATGATGTGACTTCCACAGTCCGGTACGTTGAAACATCACATTAGAATAGTCTGAAACCCTTTTAAAGGGATAAGAGCTAACCTGCAACCGTAATAGACAAGGAGGTGGAGGTGACGGAAGTGTTAGGGTCGCTGGTGGACGATAAATCTCACGTGACATGTATTGGTTCCCATATACAACATATTCAATATCTCTATAAGATTACATCTCAAATAATGCCGACTATCAGTAGGTGAAGACCATTTGTTCAGTCAACCATTGGAAATGTCAATATGTCCCACGACTATACTAATACTGTTTAATGAATGATGAAATTCGTCACTGGGACGTCTTTTCCGTTGAAACAAGAAAGAGAGGCGTCGTTAGGATAACATTCACCAACCATAGTTAAATGTTGACCAATTTCGTTGCTCTCAACATCTCCTTTCGGCACGGCCCGACAAACTAGCAGCCTCTCGGAACCGAACAACGAACAAACTATGTCACCATTTTGGGCCGAGTTGGGAAGGAGCCCAATATCGAGCTTGTAAGGTGGGGGACCTTGATACGTTTTTTGACCGTTAATCTTCGGTTGCGCCTTTTGCTTCTCCATGATTGTAATGATTTGTGATTCGAAGTTGAGAAGTCCCATGCGCTGGCCATCGACAAACCGACAGCTCTCATTCAGAAAATTCATCATCTCCTCCTCGCTTTTTTCTCGCCTATACACTTTTGGGTCCAAAACATCCTTAAGATTGAAACTATGGCCCATACATAGACAGCACATGATCGCCATGGGATGGAGCTTGGTTCTTTCATACCAGACGTCGCCATCAGGTTTCATGTTGACAAGGTCTAGAATGATCTTTCGGAAGCCATGACTGTAATCGTCACCGAGATGCCTTTCAGACCCAATCGGTATCAGATGGTCCTGCAATTCAGTCTTCATATGACCCAGCCAATCGTTGTATAGGGTCGCGAAAAGGGCGTCGACGAGCTGATGGATACCCCAATAACCATCTCTAATAACATGAGGAGCATGAAAATCTTGAGCACGATTCACGACATCTCTCCATGCCTCTCTAAGCTGGTCTTCAGACTTCGAAAGATACGAGAACTTGTCACTCAGCCCAGAGACAGTTCCGAAGAGCCACCCTGAGCAAACGAGACGTGCTGGTAATTGTTCGCACGGTCTGAATGATGGAACTAATGTTTGGTATAGTGATCCACAGCATGATGCCCAGGTGACGGGAGCTTTGTTATCCGACCTGTCCAGATTCCAATCTGGTACCCAAGAAGGTAGATTGCGGGTTCTCTTGGTAAGGTCGCCTTCCAGGACCTCGTCGAGGAAGGCGTCGAAATGCTCTTTCGAATGCAACACTATATATTGGGCCGCTTTGGTAAAAACCTGAACGGTGCTCAACCCATAGTCGACTCTTAGATCACCTGGATCTTTTCTATAGTCAGACGCGATTCCTAGAAGCGCAAAAATTTTGTCTTTCGAAACTGATGCATGGCTGTTTCGTCGTAGCGAGAGTAAGTCAAGCAGATTATTCTTGGTCTTATCACGTTGTTTGTTGACAGCAGGGCCTATATATCGATAATTATGATCATCCGCAAGAGGAAGTAGAGCAGCCTGAGGGTAAAGCAATCTTTGACGTCGAGTTTGCATTTTCTGCAGAAGATCCAAGCCCTCGGGTCGTGGCATGATAGGCCAGAGTTCTTTGTGCTCTCTGTGCGCAAGCTGCTCCCACACGCTTCTGGTTGCTTCACAGAATTTATCCCATCTCGTTCTCATATTTCCACATTGCAACCACGGATCTCCCGAGCGCATGAGTTCTTGAAAAACCCAAGCTCGACTGAACCATTGGCAAGTCAAGACATCGCTTTCCAGTATATCCCAGAGCTTTTGGACATTATCAACACCTGATTTCACATCGCCGGCATCCGTCTCGGAAGCAGACTTTCCTCGTTCTTTCCGCCACGACCGAAGCTTTTCAAAAGCCCAATCAGTCGCCTCAGTCGACTCACCAAGATAAATAACAGTATGATGAGCCGTAGCATATATTCTACCCATCTGCTGAACCTGCGTATTCTTCTCCCCCTCATTCTCCTGATCAATGCAAATTGCATCCACCCAAAGCCGCAAAACTCGACCCGGTTCCTCCTCGCGCAGATGTCGAAGAGCGGATTCGAGATTCGATGTTACGCCGAAAACACAGCCATCGACTGAGATTTCGTGTGTTTTGGTTGGTGAGCCCCAGACGTAGGATAGAGCGGTGTAGTGGTCTCGTAGCTCGTGTTCGAAGCGGGTGAGCGTCGAGTGCTCTATTGAGCAGCATATGGGAGAGTCTCTTGGGGAGGGTTCGAGGAGGATTAAGCGTATAGCGTCTTTTTCGATGAGCGGTCTATAGTTGAAGATCTTATCCGTGCCGAGCGAAGGCATCTCGACGCTTGAATTCCCCTCCATGAGCATCTAGCACAGTTCTCTGCAAGCTAATGACTTTCAGTAGTGAGCGATTTGATAGCACAATTCGAAAGTTCAGAGATCATGCTTAAAACTCAGTTCAAAAGAAGGCAATCCCGCAGGATCTTGCCAGCCTGATAGCCACCTCATGTCTGTTTGTCGCTGCCCAAACAACTGTGCCAGAGACTGCTGCCTTCATTTGACGTTCCGAGACATGGCAAGGTGCATGTTGCAGAAAAAGGCCGCCAACATGTAACCGTCATGTCAAGGTCTCCATTGGCCGCTTAAGCGATGCAGAATATACTTGATTGGTAGAAGCACGTTTGTTGGCTGCAAAATCAACATGTTGGAATTCTTTAATGCTTGAGTGAAGATGAATTGGGTTTCGGTGTGGAAATGAGGTTGGTTGCTAGGTTTGGTTGGTAGGTTAAAGCCTGAACATGTACCCAACTTGATATGATATTCGTTAGCTGACGCTGTAGAAAGCAAAATCGCGTACTTTGGTAACATTGCTTGTTGACTGATGGACATCTATCATCAATGAGTATCCGTAAAGAATTTTCATTGTCTGCATTGCCAAATCAGTGCGAAAATGTTCTAGTAATGTCGTCGTTTGAAATCGCGTAGCAAGAACCAACACAATCAATCACTGGAGGATGCGATGTAAACCATGTGTTAATAAGTCTAACGATAGGAAAACACGGCGCAAAACCAGTGGTCCTCCTAATGAATAAAACCAGTAAGATCCAAACACAATTCAAACACATCTAATTGCTAAAAATGCGATACTTGGTCAACTAGATGAACAGAAATCGGGTTTCCACCACTACACATATTTGCTGTTGTGGCATACTGTGATTTTACGAGAGGCTTGCAATTGAATTACCAATTCGAAAGGCTTCAGTCAGTTCAAACAACTACGAAGTTATTGTAGCGATATCTAATTTTCTTATTACTTCAGGATATAAACCATGATCTGAATTTTGGAAGACAAGAAGAAGTCTGCAAAGTTTCATTAAACATTAGACTTCATCTAGAGTATGCTCTTGAACTCTTCACTTGCACGTTCTCCTCGTCAAAGGGTAGAAATTCTTGAAGTGGAAAAACTAAATACATAAGGAGCCTATCGAATTTCTACTTCAGATGCTAAAGTGTCTTAGGTGAAGGCAATTTGAAGTGAAGCTAAATACGAAATCTTGGCATACACCCACTTAGCCAACGAACAACACTGTGGGGATTGCTTTAAAATACTAACTACAGTTGTGCATACGAACATTCAGGTTCACGCAGACCTTTGTACAATTTGAAGATGAAATGTTAATTGACATAACACCCCCGTTATATGCCTTGAGTCACTGCTGTAAGTCCGTTATTTCACTATAGATATTATGTCCTCAAGCTACTCTCACCTGTACCACTCCCGATTTGTAACCTCACCTAGAAGAGCGAGAATGACCTGAAACTCACCATCACATGCCCCCCCTCTCCCACCCCCAAAAAAAGAAAAACAAAAGAACATGCCCCCAGCTCCTATCTCTGACGCTAGCAGATTATGGTCCCATAAGTTCTGCTCGTAGACAGATACTCATGAAGTTCTAACCATAACCATTTGGCTCGGGGGCACTGGTTTATTGGGCTGATCTCATTGGCGTGCAAAATTTATGCTTGATTTGATATATAGATAAGAATTTAGGTTTATTAGAGTGGGGCTGAGAGGGCCGGCGGAGGGGAGGCAGTTGGTGAATGCGGATGTTGGGGGACGCTCAATTCTACAAATTGACCACAAGCATCTAGCATCTGGAATCCCCCATCTCGAGTTGAGCGAAAACTTTTCAGGTTGCTGCTCATGTTGCCCGAAAGCTAGGCGTGGAATGTCTTTGGATAGACAGATTGTGCATTATTCAGGATTCTGTGGAAGACTGGCAGACGTAGTCCTCTATTATGTGAGACGTTTATGAAGGCGCATACTGTAACATCGCTGCTGCCGCTTCGGCTTCAATTGACGAGGGTTGCTTTCGAGACAGAGACCCGCATCTGGTTCAGCCATGCCGGGCCGTCTCAACAAGCAGTAACGACATCGAGTACTTGGTAGACGAGTATTCGCAAGACCTCCACACGGACATAAGCAACCCTTATTTAGACGTGCCTGGGTTGTTCAGGAACGTACCCTGGCCCCCAGAACGTTGCGTTATAGAAGCCAGTATCACTTCTGGAAGTGTCAGCCTAGATGCGCGTCAGAAATATATTTAGGCAATATTTCGGTGGTGAGCAAGCGGTGACTTCAGCTGAGACCTGCTAAGCGGGACGTCCGCAAGCAGAAGAAATTGGAGCCTGCTGGTTGATGGAGAGAAGTCGTTGAGAAATACTCTAAATGCTGGCTAACGGGGACAAGTGACAAGTTGGTTGTCATCTACGGAGGGGTACGAAAATTCGTATGTGGCTAGACTACAATCTAGCTCGGCTACTATGGATTGTAAACCTGGCATGCATATACCTCCAGATACCAGTCTCTTAAGCGGCTATACCAAGCTCCTACATGGTCTTAGGCTAGTGTCGATGTCCTTATATTGTGGGTCCAGTCTGGACTCTTTTAATCATTATCGACGTCTACACTGCGTCACTACCCAAACGCAAGCACTTAACAAGCTCCGCGATGTTCACATCGAACATGCAACACATGACCAGTTTGGCGAGGTCAAAAGTGCATTTACAGTTCTGTTTAAAATTCTACGAGCATGCTCTTTCGAGGAGACTGCCGATAGCCGCCGCACGAGAGTCTCGCGATCCGCTCATCGACCATCACCCCCTATCCAACAAGCAAAAGTACGGATACACACCTTTTAAGGAACAGTACCTATTCCTGATGTCCATAAGGAAGTTTCCTTTTATGACATTGATTTTGTGTCCCACGGGGTTGGTCAAAGATCAATATACACGACGCGGGATCATGCGAGGATGAGGATTTGGATTGGTTGAGAGAAGCGCCTTTTCTGCCTTCGGAAATTGCAACGGTATTTGGAGTTCAGGGCATGGAGGTTGAGCATGCTACTTACAGCGTTAAGCTTCTTTAGCTCTACCACACTAGCATAATACAAAACCGACCAACACTTCCTGACCATAAAACCATAATCCAGTTCACTCAACAAGCTCGCAAACCTAACTCTTCTAAACACAGCTCTACATCCTCTTCATAATCATCCCCATCACACCTCTCAAGAACCATTCATTCAGAAATTCCTCACCAGCAAAAATACACCACCATCACTTCAACCCACGCTTCTCGCATTTAGCATATAAACCACGAAATACACATCTCAAAAAGCAGAACCCGAATGGGAACGGCTAAGAGTCGATAAAGAGATGAAGCTAGGAGTGAAAGAACTTCGAAATCTTCACACTCGTAAGTTTAAATTTGAAAATCTCGTTATTTATGAAAAGAAGGTGTCAAATTATGTCTCCTACCTACCGACTCCCATTCCATTCCCCAACCCCCAACGTCGCAGATCGCATTTCTACTACCATTCGTTTCAGTTATCAGGCCGTGACCTCCATTTCAAAAACTTCCAAAGTGGAGCATCTTTGGAAACCTCCAACACTCCAAACCACACCCCATACTCCTCTTCCCCCCCGCAAAACCGCAAACCCAAAATTCATCTCCACCACCCGTGCTAACAATTTACTCTCCATGATGCTGGGATAAATAGCAGATTTCAGTACACAGTTTGCACCTCACACCATCCAAAGAGGACGCCTTTCATACCTAGATATATAGCGATTTTCTGGTTTTCTATAGTAAAATAAAGGTAAACAGAACCGTGATAAGTACCAGATATACTGTTATACGCAAGCCATTTCGATGATCTCCAACATTAAATACCCTTTATACAATAATACTATAACAGTATAGAAAAATACCTATCCACCAAAAATCCCGTCTTCGTTACGGTAAAGCTAATCTCCATCCCCATCCCCAACACCAACATAAACCCTAATTTCCATGCTCCAACACCAACACGCATCCCAGTAAAAGGGCGAAACCAACACGCGCGCATAAGCATGATATGATTTATTCATCGTACTGTAGCGAGATATTTTGAAAGGTAGGTAAGATGACCGTAACCAACTTTAGCGCCGACCCGAAAAGCGACCTTTGATCCACGTGTTGGGGTTATTTATAGATTTGGGTGGAGAGATTGGGTTTGCGATGGAGTTTGGAAAGTGGAGTTCACGAGGTGTATGATGATAGCAATATTGAAGAATGTGTGATGTGTAATCCTTCGATTCATGATAAATTCTGTAGCTAGCTAAATCTACAAAACCCCCATCATCTCATCCCCATTCCCTGCACACCACCACATCCTCCCATTCCATCCCATCAGATATACATCCATTAAGTAAAAGCCAAGCTAAGCTAAGTAAATTTTTGTGAGGGAACAGCCCCGCCGTAAAAAAGCGTGTCCATATTTTGATGGTATCGACGTTCTCTTGAAGTAGAAAAGAAATAAGGTTTATAAATAAAAAGGTAGCGCGATGCTAAAAGAATGCAAGAAAGGTTGTGATCTCTTTGAGGAGATCGGTGTTGTATGTACATCTATGGGTATGTTTTTGTAAAGGTCGTGCGAATGAGGGTGTGGGTGGTATGTCGGGGTTGACTGGTTGTTTGGGTTGCTTGATGCTTTTTGTGTGCTCGCCATGTGTTGCGAGGATGTTGGGTGGAAAGATTTTGGTTTAGAGCGACGAGGCAGATTGGTCGTCTAGCTGTAGAACCAGTACTCTGCGGCGTATGGAACGGAAATAACTCCACTGTCTGCGGTGCAAAGTGTTGACACTCCACCAGCGGTTTCAATACGGTAGACAGCTCCGAGTCCCACGCTTGTTCCAAATGAGTATGGGACTTTGTTTTCCAACTTAAGCCACTGTACCGCACCAGTTCCCATGGGTCCCTTATCGGCGTTCGCTGGGGCGTTGACGTTTTCTTTCTTGGCGGCAAAGAGAATCTTGGACTCGACATTGAGGTCGAAGACGGGTGTTCCGTTGAAGTCGAAGTAGTGGTGGCCAATTGGTTTAAGGTCGAGCGCCTTAGCAGCTGTTCTGTATTTTCCGGCTTTGTCTTCTGGCATGTTGACAGCGAGGGCAGGAAGAGTGTGGAGCATCTTCTCGTTGGAGTAGGCTAATGAGGTGGCATCGTAGAGGGTTGCGATGGCTCCAATGGCGGCTCCTACTGATCCGGCTTTGCTACATGTGTAGTTCTGAATACCCCGGCCAATGACTACGTATGAGAGAGCAAGAGTGGTGCCGTTCAGATCTGGGATCGCTATTGACTGGTTAGTTGAGTTTGGAAGCTCCTCAGAAATATCACTAACCTCCACTCGCTGGGATTCTTGGAACGGCAGATGCTGTTGGTGTCGTGGTGGACGAGCTTGCTGTTTTCGATGGTACTGACGAGCTACTTGTAACCTTGATAGGTGCAGTAGTAGGTGGGGTTGGAGGAGTTGGAGGAGAAACTGGTCCACAGGCATCTCCTTCTTTTACTGGCGCAGCCGTTGAGAAGACGATGAAGCTGGAGAGAGCAAGTCCCTTGAGGACGTTTCTTAATGAAGGCATTGCGAGGTGGTTGTGATGAAAGTGAAGATTGTTGAAGAAAGCGGAACCAAGTTGGGAGGAAAGGCTTAGATGAAGTTGGAGCTGGCGAAATAAGATGAGGCCGAGTACAACAGGCGCTTGGGTGTATCAGAAATGAATATAAGAGAAGATAGCCAGGAATTCCGATGCGATTGATGAAAGGCGATGAAGGCGATGAAGGCGATGAAAGCGATGAAAGCGGATGATTATTATGAAATAGCAGTCGGGAATAGGAAAGACTTATACTTTTCTGACTTGAAGATGAAAAGGAAGCAGGTCTGGCATTCACAGCCATATGTATGAACGGCCAGACCAGACCATCCTGGGCAGGTGGTCGATGCTGTACATGAGAAAGTACAGACTCAAGCTTGCTGTGCTAAAATTGCTCCTGCATTCGGGTGCAGCGCGCTAGTGTGGAGCTAGTGTCTGCAGGAGGACGGCGGCTGACCAGGATGGCGCCGAGGGTGTGAGTGTTTTTGTGCCGCTGAATGTCTCTTGCACCCTGGCTAAATGAGAAAAGGGAGGGGTGGTGTCTTCGCCCTTCCTGGCTCGTGCTCTCCCAGATTTGACTTCCGCGTGGTCCCTGCGATCGGCCCTTGTCTGCCCACTTATCCCCGTAAACTTGGCGGGACTAAGCGGCAAACGGCCCACGAGGCCAATCACTGGCCTCAAATTACAGTATTAAGCGGGTCAGGTATAGAATGAATACTTCCGCCAACTTGGCCCTTGCTCAGCAACACCTTGCACCACCAACTTCGACCGACCAACAATCAACACCAGCAAACACAAGCATCTCCTCGTGGCCGTTAGACCAAAACACCCGTCCAAGCGACCGAAGCGATCTCTTCTCCCAGATGGAAGCGCCCTCGATTGGCCATCCTGACGCGACCCAGAAAGACGCTGCCAATTCATAGACTCTTCTTGGGATGGTTCTTGGGAGCAAAACCCGACGAGTAAATGATTCCATTCCAACCTTGGCTGCGTCTACAGCACGCGATAGAGTAAGTAACCTCTCTCCGGCGTCAACTTGGCCACGAAAGGTTCATCGTGGCACCCGTGGATGTGTTGATGCACCGACAAGACGCGGAGACATTAGCCGGCGGCAGTTTACAGTGCGAATAGCAGACAAACGCGACGAGCAACAGAATTGGCGTTGCTTGCGTCGACGCCTCTCTCTGCAGTCCAGCCAGGTCGATATTGACCAGATCCCAGCTCGTGCTGCTTCGTCGCACCCACCTTCCGCCATACGGGGCACCCAGTTGGACCTTCGTAAGTTGCCCGTACGCTTGACGCATGGTCGTCCAACTCAACTTCAATCTCAACTTCAACATTGAATGAAGGCCAAAGCTGCAATGCTCAACTGTGCCTTTGCTGCAAAGATCACAAAATGGTCGGTGTTGTCCCTCCCTAATGCTTTCTGCTCCTCCAGAGGATGCACGAGCTCCACCCCGAGGGATTGCTTTTTATCCGGGGAGAAAAGAAGCTCATTTTGACGTTTCGATCAACCTCGCTCTGACGGTGCACGTTTGATGTTCAGAACATTTTTTTTGAAACATCACCACATCAGATAAAAATCATCTGTGCGACCCAACACGACGTAACCATTTTCTCCTTGAGATCCCGGCACTTTGGGGATCTGCTGTTCAGATGCCATCTTCATGTCTAGCCTTACCGATGGTAGGTGATAAAGGCATGGATCGCATAGCTGGGATTTCCAGAAGAGCTTCACGAGCATGAGAGACGAGCACTCCCTCCACGAGCAGCGTGCCAAAGACCTAAAGGGGTGCATTGTTTCGACGTGAAGTTTCAACAATTACCATCGGGTTGTTGGCTCACGATTCCGAATTGTTGTTCGAATGGCTTCCAGATTCCAAGATGCTCGAGAAATCGACGAGGATACTCGTACCTGCAGTTTCACGGCATTTACCTACGAGCTTCGCCGTATGCCAACGGATCGTCTAATGTTCGTCCGAACTCACGAAATCACTCACTCATTTCAAGCGAAGATGGGTGAGATCAAACTCCCACTTTGACATGGAGACCACTTGGAGCTGATTTGCACACCGCTGTTGGACTTCGTTTCGAGGTCGAAAGTCCTTCGCGCGCTCCTCCACCATTACTACTGTGCAACATCTATTTTCTCCATCATCCGTAATCTGTCATCCAGCCCAGTCTTCACAACCAGAAGCGAAATATGGCTTAGCGAACATCTATCATCAGCAACGGAGTGTAATATCCACCGTCTCCAAATCGAGCTTGCACTTCCCGTGACCGCATCTCATGAGATTGGTTAGGCGCTATTGCTACCACACCTCAATGTCGCAATCAGGATTCTTCATTGAATTCTTGTGGGTGTAACTCGTTCCTTCCGTGTCCAGATCAATTGGTCGGAAATCAGATCGTCTTCGGAACTTTTCTTTTCGAGAAGTCCTTCCTCCACGAGTTTCCCTTGCGTGAGTTGCGTAGTTTTCCGCATTGGTAACCCCACGCCTCACCACCACGTTCAAGGAGTCTGGAAGCAGACTTGTTCGGTTACCGTCAACACTTTGACCTCCCTGTCAGCCATGTGCCTCGACGGGACGCTCTTCTGCTGACCGGCTTGCTCTTCTTCGGTACACCATCACCATCTCGGCGCAGATGAAAAAAGCACCAAGTTGCCCTCTGAATCGATTTTTACGCAAACCACATGCACCCAAGCAGCGGAAGCTTCACGACTACTTTACCCGAGTTGATGTCTATCGATGCACCTGGTCGCATGCGCTTAGACCGGGTCAATTAGCAGACATTATCTCCCTCTTTTAGCGCGATGCGGGCAGCAATCGAGCAGCGTTCGGAAGGGATCCAGGCGGGATTTGACGGGAGGGGCGGCAGCGAATTGCACATAATTAGCAACCAAAATAGAACGGGTTGGCCTGACCCCGCCAGGGAAATGCAAGCTAATTGAGACCAATATAGAAATGGAGGGAGATGACCACGAGAATGTTGGTTCGACAGCGGTGGGGTTGTGCGACGCAAGGTGTCTGTTGGAATCATCTGATATGTAAGATTGATTGATTTGCAAAAGTCTAAACCGATGAGGCAAGGGAAACCAACTTGGGATGATTTCTGAGCTTTGATCCTCTTCTGTCAAAAATGGGGTTGAGTGTTGATCGTTGTGGAGGTGGCTGTGACAGTTTCGAAACGAGGAAACGAAACGAAACTTTTTGGTGGGGAAAATCGTCGTCCTTCAACGACACAGTTTAATCTCTACGATACACCACCAACAACAACCAACATCCAACCGTCTACCGAATACGCCTCTGTAAAGCGTCCATCCTCATCCCAACTTGTACCACGATCGACAATTGACCACGTTTTCTAAATTCTCAGAGGATTCAAACACCGTACCGACCCTCTGGGTCACTATTTCTCAGCTGACCTTTGAAGGAACGATCCTAGAGCCTCGTACTTCGTACTGGTTGTCGAATCAATTGAAGAAGGATTTGTGAAGCGGTAGGGAATGGATACTAAACCAATGACTTTCCAAAGTATAACTGCACCTATGCAACTTTCGCACATGGTCATGCAAATCAGCTTCACCATAACACTTCACAGCCTCTCTGCACATGCACAAATTCCTTCTGGAAGCTCTAGACTTTCAATCTACTACTCTATCTCTATCTCTCTCTCCTCTTCACTTCCTCCCTCTCACCTTTCACGATCCCACCGGTATCTTCCCCACATTGGGATTCGGGAAGTGGCACAACGACAGTTCATGCACGCAATCGCACTCCTCCGGCCTGAAACACTCTTGCACACCCTCAGTACGAGCCGAAAACCGGGCCAGAGCCTCACGGTCGGTACGGTGTCGATTAAAGGGTTACCTCGACTAAACACAGGTTTTTGTGCACTTTTTGGCTCCTCCCGCTCTCGGTGTTGTCTTTTGAAACGGTCGTGTTTCAAGTCGGAGTGTGGATTGAGAATAAGCAATTGATCGTTTTTGAGGGAACGATCTTCGCTGTGGGGTAATTTCGATCTCTTGGTTTGTGATGACGGGATTCAGATATATTGCGCCAGGGTTGGAGGGTTTGAAGGTGTTTAGGCTGAAGAGGTTGGTGGTTTTTGGGTGAGTGGATTTTTGGTTCTTGATATGCGGCTACCGGGAACAATAAACTGGACAGCTCTGGAGACACAAAGAAACACAACAAGGTCAAATCACGTCATCGTCTACTCGCAATTGTCTTTCAGGTGTGTGAGTATACAGGTGCACACGATGTCAAATCATCTCCTTATCCACTCCTAGTCAGAGTGCACTCCTCTTATCCACCTCCTACACCTTGTCACTCCTACACTAGTATTTCCATCATCAACGAAAGCCTAGTTTCCGTCGCATAATCACATGCCTTATACAATATACTTTTTCCATCTAATCTACAGCTTTAGTATTATCTTCTACTCTGAAAGATATAGTTCTTCAATCCTCATTTGTCACGCCAGGCATAACTGGTTTCAATGGATACGAAGAATTTGAAAGCCGAGTGACGGAAGATAAGTCTGGACGTAGAGAACCAGCTAATTTTAGGGCTGAAAAGTTGGATGGTGTTAATGATCGAGATGCGATTTGCCTTGTGGAATTGACAAGTTCCGGCTACATCAACCTACATGTAATGTCACTTGATCTTCGTAGATACATTCATTGCTAGCCAATACCATCCTCTACTTTTCCTCTCAACGCAGGCTTTCAAGTTCGATCTACACATTCACGATTCAGATGTCCTTCGATTTTACACACTCTTCTAACGTGTGTTGTTCAAACACCACATTCAGATATTTCTATTCGTCTGATCTCATCTATCTCTCACTTACTCTAAGCTCCCTCTACTACGTCGAAACGTCTCCATATATACAAAGCGCTTGGGTAGGATTAAGTGTGAGTGAGAAGACTTGTTGGTGTGAGTATACTTAGGTAAGATGGGGCTGTGTGACTTGGTTTGCGAGGAGGCAGAAGAGTTTTGGGTTGTTGGTAATTGGTAATTGGAATGGTGAGTGGTGAAGAAGAGGGAGAGATTGATGATGGTTATTTAATGTGATTTATGCTGCGATACTGTTGTGATGGATGTAGGTACTTTCTTTGACAGGTGAGACGAGGATTCTCTTTTCGCATTTGTCTTCACGAAGGGGATTCCTTGGCTGTGAAAGAAGAATGGAATTCAAGAGAATTAGTATAGTGCCGTTGGTTTATTGAGAGTTTATACGGTAGCTCAAGTACTCGTCATCTATTAAATGAAGAGGTATACACTAGTTGAAATAAGATTCACATGACTTACTCAACGACACAAATGGAAGGTATATTTTGTGCTTTAAATCATATATCAATCAACCCCCCAAGTTTAAGTTTCAATCAACTAGATATCTTGGTTCGATACAGTTGGTGTGAGGTAGCTATTTACGAAGCACGTGTTATAACTGGGGGAAGACGTGACGGTTCCGAAAACAACTCCAACGACCAACCAACACAAATACTGAAACCCCGCCGAGCGGCACTCAACAGCAATGACTTTAAAGGCATGCAGTTCTCGCTATTTTGATATACACAACCCCTCGGAATCTATTATCATTGCTCGGTTGTTAAATGATGCTTCTTTCGATCTTTAGCGCCTGGACTGTTTCCCTTCCACTCCTTTGGGTCTTTGTAACATGCGCACAGTCTAGCGGTACTCAAGAGCCATCCCAGGCAGCCGACGTCGAAAATCAACTACAATCGCTATTTCAGATGAATCTGGACGAAGGTCCCATTCTCCTTCACGAAACTGGCCAATGTCCTACTTCCCCCAAACCAGGCTGTTCCGACCCAACGTGCCTTGGACCCGACTACATTTCCCCATTTCAATTTCAATGCCAAGCTACAGCAATTACTCAACGAGAGGGCAGAGACGTTATCCTAGCAGGCTGTCGCTGCTGCCCGCCACAGATCGATGTCATGTGCGACAACCACGATTGTCGTGCCCCCGAAGGAAGCAGAACGTGTATCTCTGAGGAGCTGCAGGGGTGTCCTTGCGACACGACTGAGGATATGATAAGGAGATATGAGACCGACACTAGATTTGAGGATTATGTGTTCTACGGGGAGGAAGAGTTTGAAGATATTATTGAGGTTAATGATGATGGGATGGGACCGTGGTTGGCGGCACAAAGTGGCCAGACACGAGTAAACACACCAACTCTGGGCGGTTCTTTTCATCTACAGAATGTGACTACACAAACCTCTAACGTGGTGGCGCTGCCAACGTTAAATATCAATCACCACCTTCTCCGCGTCAACAAAGATGCTCCACTAGATCGCCTTTTATCATCATAACTACGCGTTCGCCATGTTACGGCAGACCCGTTGTAACGTTCCAGATTGTTAGAGCCATATATATCAGCAACTGAATAAAATCCTCAAGACGTCATTTCTGTTACGTGAACAACTCATTTAAACAGCCAGCAAGATGGAGCGCCTACAAACACAGCAATGAAAGACAGTACTCACTTTCTTGAAGTACTAATCTGGCTAAACAGCAATACCTCACTTGTTAGGGCTAGATGAAAGTCTTGGAATTGAGGTGTTGATGGGTATCGGTAGAAGCGGAAGGCAACAATGCCAATCCATCCCGACTTCGCGGCCTTGAAATATCAAGGCCTTTTCATCACTTCCATAAATCAGATCCATATGGAGAGCTCTGGATTTTCTCGCACAGGTATCCTCCGTCAGCCGCTGACACGCAGTAAAGTTTGACCTGCCTCGTTGAGTTTTCGAATTCCACTTCCCTGATTTGGGAATTAAGATTAGCGGCTAGAGTCCTTAGCTAGTCCTTGTTATCTTCACAAAAACTAGCTGTGGCCTTAACTACAGAAGCCACGATCTTGACCTTCACACCTCAGTATACAGATTCGTTTGAGGACATTAGGCGACAAATAGGATCTACAGCTATTTCTTCCTTGAACTTAAGGGACAGTGTGATGTTTGTTTAATCTAAGATTCCAATTGAAAAAGTATAGAGTGGTAAGATCTGGTTTTATTAAGGGTTATAGTAGAAGTTATACCTCTTCGGTGCTATCTTGATGTTGCCCTCCTTAAGCGAGAAGTCAAAAAGGGGGGGTCGATGACCAACAAAACGATGAGCCGACATCCGGTTGGTCCGATAGTTAGACTACTTTTTTAAGGGAAATAAGGTGTTAGGCTATTGCGCATTAAAGAAAAGTATGCAGGTACCTACCTCTCACGTTAATAACTACAACATTCCGCCCATCAACTATTTCCTTGACTTAGTAACTTAGTAACTTAGTTTACACGGGTTACTTTTGCTTTCTTCTTCTATTTATGAGAGTTTGGGAGGTTTCAGTTCGGATATGTTTAATGTAATCGAACACTTATAAATCGCAATGCTCGGAGGACTAATACGCACCTTAACAGGTATGTTCTGCTTTAGGTAAAACATTGGACTATGAGTCAGAAAATGTTTAGACTCTGTGTTGTTCTACTTTAGAAACGGCTAACATATATCATTATCACACTTCAAATCTTAACAGGATACCAGATTTCGTTTCCTTTTACTGAGCAGATCGTCCTACTTTACTTATTCGTTCTGTCCTCATTACAAATAATCTACATACACTGCCATTAGACAACAATCCGAGTCTCAACAGCCATCTCACCAAGCCTTGCACCTGCGAAGAAAAACTATACTATTTACCCATGCCTAAAATCTCGTCAGCAAGATCTCAATGCTAGAGAGTATGTCGTTGAATAAACATTGCGGTAATTTGACAAAATAGCTACCCTTTATGACGCTACATACATACATCATCCCCTTAACACATCCAACTCCACAACCAAACCCCAAAACATCATACTCCATAAACTCAGCTAACCCCTATATCAAAACCCATATCCAACGACCCGGGACGCTACAATTACCAATCTAACCACCGAGTCTACCAATATACGCGCGATAGCAGAATGTATTCCCCTTCGGTAGAGGAAAGGATCATCTCATGAGCAGGATTCTGCCAGTATCAAAACCAAATCAGGGATATACAGATGATGGGATTTACAAAGCAAAGGGCCCCACTGAACGGGATTCAAGTTCCTATACCGCATTCCTTGAAACCGGCAATTCTGCACACGTATTTCACACCTCGAATCCGAGGCAGAGACGATGTGTTTGTTTGGAGTTGGAAAGGCGGGTTAAAACGGCCTTTTTGGGGAATATAAAGGTTAGGAGGTGCTACATACTTGAAATAGTCGTTATGGATGAAATAGTGTCCGACCTAGGCAGGCTCCCGGATGCAGAAGTAGGCGCTGATTATACTTAAGGGGTTTGAGGTACTTAAAAGCTTGGGTCAAGGTATAAGACGATTACAGACCGAGGTCCTGAAGTAAACAGAGGCTTGAATTAAAACATCGCTATATTCAAACTTTAAATCACATGTCATCGGCCCCATCACCAATTACCCATAAATCCAAAGACCAAAAGATCGACTGCGTACAAGTTCATTTTGTTATACACACTCGTATTCCAGGAGTGAAGCGGAGTATTAATTACAAAGAAGGTCGGGTAGGCACGATTTCGGTCTATCTCCCAGTCGCCCAGTCCCATTCCATCAACACGATAATCAAACCATTCCCGTGACGTCGCCATCCATCATACACACAAGCCCCCTCATAGCCGTTGCATCGTCTCGAGTCTTGCAAAAATCTAGTTGCTCATTTCCAAAAGCTCGTTGCGACAACATCAATTCGGTCGACATTTAAATTCTTTAGCGCATAGGAGCCATACCTCCACTCATTCCCTGTAATCTGTTTGCGAGTTGTGGGTATTTCTCTTGGACTTCTAGTTGTGTACGGGTGGCTTCGGCGTATGAGAGGGCGTTGACAATTTCGCCCTCGGTTCGTGAAAGTTCGGCGGCACGCTCGAAATATGTGAGCGCCTCTGTAACCTTACCCTGTTGAAGCAGTAACTGAGCCATGGTTGCAACGGCAATGTCGCATTCCGGATCGACTATACCATGTTAATAAATCGTACGATAAGAAAATGTAATACCGAACTTACTTATGAGCGCCTTTTGGCAAAGTTTCTCGGCCTCTGCGAAATCTTGCTTCCATTGGAAGAGCGCTAGGGCTTTATTGATGAGAGGGAGAACATTCATGCCCAGAGGCTTTGTCTGCTTCTCCATCTCAACTGCTGTGTCGAATTTCTCGATAGCTTCCTGGTATTTTTGTTGATCCAACAATAATTCTCCGTAGTAGTTGTATACGTCTGGTACCTGAGAGAAGTTCTTGATACATCTTCTAAATGTTGCCATTGACGAGGCAATCGACCCCATCTTATATTGTGTGACACCGAGTTGAATGTGAGAGAAAATGAATTCACCATCAAGATCAATTGACTTTTGATAATCCTTCGCCGCATCTGGGAATTCTCCAAGAATGAAGTGAAGTTGTGCGCGGTGGTAGTAGATGTCTGGGTCTTCAGAGTTCTGTTCCATGGCTTTTTCGAAATCATTTGCCGCCTCGTCCTTGTTACCTACGCACACGATTAGTACAAGCTGAAAAAATAGCGCGAATTTACCCACCCAGCTCGAGGTGCATGCTGGCACGCTTGATATAACTCTGTGTCAAGGATGGCTGCAGCTCGATACTCTTCGATAGATCCTCCAAAGCCTCCACATTATCTCCACGAAGATATTTGAACGTTCCGCGCATGTTGTATGCAAAAGCTTCGTGTTCGCCGAGTTCGCCCAATTCGAGTGCCTTTTCGAAAGCAGCAGCAGCTTGTTCATATCCATCACCAGTTTTCTTTTCTACGGATCGAAGACCCAGTTTCAATTGTCCTACACCAGACATGTCGAATACCTCGGATTTCTCGTCTAATCCTTCTGGCGCTGGTCGAGCTCTGAAACTTTGCAAGTAGTTGGTAACGAATGACGCGCTTGGAAGCTTCTTGTCCTTTGTCTCAAGAATGGCTTTTCCTTTGGCCTCGGCGACTTTCTTGAGCAGCCTCTCTACAGCCTGTGCGCTCGACTCGTTGCGGAAACTGTCGATAATGCAGCTTGCCGTGAAATCTAGCAACGCCTCGCTGTATTTATCAAGGGCCTCGTATGCGTTTGCTCTTCGGTTTAGTGCTTTGACGTACTCGTTATCCAAGTTAATCGCAGCAGTTGTGTCTTCGATGACCTTTTCGAACTCGCCCTGGGCGTTATAGCATGCTGCTCGATTCGAATAAAAGATTGGGTCGGGCTTGCAAATGATGGCCTTTCCGTAAAGGATAATAGCTTTGTCATAATCCTTTGCACCGTATGCAGTGTTACCGGCCGCCTTCAGTTTTGCAGCGTACTCTTTGCGTTCCGCCTCGGATAGATTTCCAACTGTAGTCTCGTCCACCTCAGGAAGCTCATCTACGGTCTCGACGGCGGCGGGTTTGGGCTCGGTCCTTGCTGGTGGACCCTTTTCAAGATCTGGCTGTTTCTTTTCTTCTTCCTTCTTCCTCCGCTTCTCTTTCTTGCTGGACTTTTTTGGTGTGTCTCGTACAGATGTTGCTGGCTAATGCTACAGTTAGATTTCCTTACAGTGTAGACTTGCCCAGGAGTTCCCCGACTTACTGCATCGTTAAGATAGTATACAACCCCGGCGCCCGTAACCACAACCGCAACTCCTGCAATTGTATATACCACAGCCTTGTTCTCCGAGGCCCAAGTGGTTATGCGATCCCAAACTGATGAAGGAGGTGTTGATGACGCGAAAGTTGGAGGACGAGTCCCAGCTGGGATTGGGATTGGCGTGGTCATCGTAAGGGAGTGTGGTGGTATTAGGGGAATGTAGGGAAGAGAGAAATAAGAAAAACAAGGGCGGAAAGGGGTGGTCGACACAAACTCGATGATGGGTCGATGATGCTCGAAGCTGTTTCCGTTCAGAAAAAGATTCGCGATACGGCCACGGCCCAGCGAGCCAGCTTCGGGAGAGCCTCGGCGTGATTGGTTGGGAGCGACGTCACGCTAGCCCAGTATGACAACGACAACCTCCGGGGTGAAGAGGAATTGGTCAGATGTTTCTCGTTTCAGTAATTCATTCTAAAATATATCTGAAGCACGAATTCTTCAAATTGTAGACGCAATCTATTCTTTTAGATTATTTGCATGTGAAGCACCGTTCCAATACGGTCACGTGGACAAGAATGTGACGAAGAAGACCCACTCTCTGCCGGCCTATTCCTCTGTCTCTTTCCACTGTCAGCTCCGAGTCATCGCGTCAATTTTTGATATATCATATGTCTTCATATATATAAACTTAGGCACACTCAGTATATCTTCATCTAAGGGGCGAGTCTCTTCATTTACTTGGAACCAATTTGAAATCCCGTCGTTGGTGAGCACGCGAGCGCGTTCGGTCTGCAACCATCAATTGTACGTATATATTTCCTAATTATACAGAGTTTTTTTCTGAATATGTTTTGGTTCCCTTTATACAGCTTCTGGGTCTTTTGTTTTCTATAGTACCTGTACTCGTTTTAACTTCGCTTCCAAAAAGTCTCCATACGAATTAGGAGTCGGCGTATTTTGTCAAGTAACTCGTCGTTGATAGCAATAACCACATATTCGAAGGACTTTGATTATCCCGCTGCACTTTGAGAGCGTGTCTCAACTGTTTTTAAGTATTGGTTCAGCTAGTATTTTAGCACTATTTCCCGCGCTGTAAATAAGGTTCCTAGGATTTCGCTGTTTCTATCATCCGTTCGTTTACTATCTCTTTTTTATTACTTCAGCCCTTATGATGCTGCTATGAGGAACAAGCAATACTTTCTAGTCTCAGCCACTTGAAATTTTTTTTTGATTGCCTCTAAACTCCTTCTCCTGGATACAAACCACTTGTCAAAACCATCTTTCATTTTCCCGAGTTATGACTCACTACAAGAGACTACCACTTTCTCATTTTCAACCAGAGTTTCAGCAAATACTAACAATTCCCAGTCCACCTCCCACGACACCATGTCAGACCCATCACCACCCTTCCAACTCTTCACCTCCCTCCGCTACGACCCCCTCCTCCTCACCAGCCCCCAAAACCTCACACACTACTCCCCCCCAACCACAACCCCATCCCCCTTCTACATGCTCCCCCTCCACCGCGACCGTCTCCTCCTAGCAGCAACACATTTCTCCTGGCCCCTCGCCATAACCCTCCTCACCGGTCCCAGCGGCCTCACCACCCTTACCAACTTCCTAACCACCTCCCTCCCCACCACCTCCCCCACCCCCCTCAAACTCAAAATCCTGCTCTCGGAATCCGGCATCCTAACCCTCGAAACCACCCCCGTCCCCAGCGTATCTCTAGAAACCCTCTTCCCAACCCGTCTCCCGCCTCCAGAACCCATCCGCCTCAAAGATATCCCGCAAGTCTCCCCCCTCACAGGCGGCGTCCTCACCTCAAGCACCCTCCACGGCGACCCTCCCACCACAAACCCATTCATCTGCACTCCCGACCCCCAACGCACGACGCCCTCCTCCTATAGTTCCTACAAAACCACATCCCGCGCCATCTACGACGACGCACGCACCCGCATCAACCTCCTTGACTACACTTCCCGGCGGGAAGTCCTCCTCGTTTCGACGACCGGGGAGATCATGGAAGGGAGTCTGACGAGTCCCTTTTTCTGGCGGGATGGTGCTTGGGTTACGCCGAGCACGGAGAGTGGAGGACAGATTGGGACGACGCGACGGTGGGCGTTGGAACGGGGGTTGTGTGAGGAAGGGGTGGTGAGGGTGGAGAGTTTGGTGGAGGGAGAGGAGTGTTGGTTGGGGAATGGAGTTAGGGGGTTTCAGTGGGGGAAGATTAAGCTGGAGGTGTGATTTGGGAAGTGATCGGGTGGGTGGTTAAGTAGGGGGAGTAGAGATGTAGAAAGGTATAGGTGAGAGCTTAGGCCTGGGAAGATGTGAAGGGGCTAGACGAGCAGAAGTGATGCTCTGTGATGCTTGTAGGAGAAGAATGCAAAGGCGGATCCAACAATCATGTACGCGAGTTTCCCATTTAACAAAAACATTATTCATTACACATATCCAACGATACGATCTCCATCTAAAGCACCGCCATCCCCTCCATCCCCGCAAACCTCTTCACAGGCGGCGCCGTCCCATTCCCCGCCGTCACATTCGGCTGCGGAAACGGCTGCGTCGTAAACGGGCTCATACTACTCAAACTCTCCACCCTCCCCAACAAAAACTCCAAATGTCTATACGCCGCACTCGGCGCATACTGCGGAATCATATGACCACTCAAATCAACACTAACCCACGTCAGTCCCCTCTCCGTATGCGTCGTTCCCAGCACCCCCGACGCAGCGAGCGTAGATAGACTCGGATCATCGTGATACGGCACGTAGAACGGATCAGAGGGTTTACTCTGGAAGCCCTGCGCGCCGTTCCACGTCATATTCTGGATCATAAGCAGCGTGCCGTTGGAGATGAGTACAAAATCGAGGTCGCCGTGGCCGATTATGGTGCGTTTACTGCGTTCGATTACGCCGGGGAGGACGGAGAGGCCGGAGGGGAGAGAGGTGTCGGTGTTATTGATGAAGACGTCTGTGTTGGTGCATTCGGCCCATTCGATTAAGGGCGCGTTGATGGCTTTTTGTACGTCCGTTCGGTTGAAATAGATGGATGCGCCGGCGGGGAGGTAGTCGAAGGAGCCTGGGAAGCCGAGGACGTCCCAGAGGACGGGACAGGTGGTTGCTACTTGGTAGATGTCCCAGCAGGGGTTTACATAGAAGATTTCGTTGTAAATTAGGTCGAAGATGTCGCAATCGGGTGTAGTTACATTTTCCTCGTCTGTGCCAGGAAGTTTGACGGGAAGTGGTCCAGGGGGTGGAAATGTGAAGTATTTCTCGTTGAATTCGGTGTAGCCACATGAGTCTGTCATGTTCTGGAGAACGGCTCTGAAGCTGTCATTGAATGGATGTAAACCGTCCCAGTAGTTGATGAAATCCATGGCTGGAAGTTGGCGTTGAACTACGTCCGTGGAGGTAGAAGGGTCATAGATCATGGTACCTTCAAGGTTGTGATACTAAGTCATGATTAGTTTTATTCGCAGCTACTATGAGGATGATTTTACCGTGGTATCATTTTTGTTCAACATGGCATCTGCAATGTATGGAACATAAAAACCAGCATAAGACTCGCCAGTGATGTAAACCTTTCGGCCCTGCAGGGCAAAAGTATTGACGAAATTCTCCCAGAATCCTAGGAATTGTGCAGCAACGTCTGCCTCGCTGGTAGCTGTTGGGACTCCTTGCGAGAATCCAGTACCAACGGGCTGTTCTACCCACACAACCTGATAATTTGATTAGCTTCGTCTCAAATCCAGAAGAAAACATTCTTACATTTGTCAAGTTAACCCAGGTATATGGATTTGGAACTGGTCTATGATTATTTAGCATTTTACAATCAGCAATGGTCAGGTGGTTCATACTTATATGTCCCGTACTGCCAAGTAAAAGGTCCATTCTCTTGCAAAAGCCCCTCAAGCGATGAGCACCCAGGTCCACCATTAAGCCAAATCAAAATCTCATCACTGGCTTCCGTGTTTTCCGATGGGAAAAACCAAAAGTACAACTGCCTCGACTCATTGGCGGCTTTCGAGATTGGCATCAACCCAGCATAACTCTCGCCAATATCAAAGTCGACCTCTGGGATTGCGGTTCCATTGACCGAGTATTCTAAGTTTTGTGAGCTAGGTTCTTCAAATGGCTACTTTCGTAATTGATTTCTTACTTTGAGTCGAATTAGTAAGATACTGGGAAGTATCACGACGATTGAAGCTGGATTTTGGTAAAGACTGTTTTCTAGCTTGCGGGCGGATTTTGTCTTCCAATCCAACGTGCTTTAGACTCCTACCGGAATGGCCCGCAGCGGAGACACCAAGTGCGACTGCCAGAGCAGTAACGCAGGTTGAGAGACGCATCGTGAAGGTTCAATTGACGAAAGATGCTCGAAACACGAAATCACTACTCCGAGGATAAAAGTAGTTATGGGAATCAATTGAAAAAAAACTCAAGAAAAGCAGTCAACCCCGGGGACCCAAAAGTTTCCCCAGCTCGATGACGAAGAGGGGAGGGGACAGGCCCGCTCCCGACCTCTCCTCTGCAGCCATGATCGGCCAAACCTGGTATCACTCTACCGCTGAAGACCGTTGGGCGACAGCCAGAAGATGCTTAACTTGAATTGGGTAGCGTTCCGATGGGACCTTGCAGCACTTATCCGTAGAGTGTTGAGCTCGCGTCCAGCCATTCGTACAGAGCTGTCTCCTGCAGAATGTACGACGACATTGGTGACCGCCACTCTGGTGCTATGGTCGATATTGTGGCGGCCGGTAAAAGCTTGCTTGTGCTCCCGAGTCCGATGAGGAAGATAAGATATGGGAAGAAATGGGAGATGTAGATTTAATTCGTAAGTGTTTGATAAAAAGGAGAGGGGTTGTGTTGTGAAGCGGTGGGGCGATTGCTTGCGAGAAGCTTTGCCAAGGTACGGAGGCAGAAAGCTTGAACTCATCAGCCGGGAGCATATTTACAAAATATTTTCAATAACTGCTTAATGCTGTCATAAAGCACAAAATTTATTCTTTACCTTGAAATTAGAGACATGTATGAGATAGAGATAAGAGGTTATGGATACGAATGGTATAGGCACATACAGTATGACAAACAGAAAAGCTCTACCTTCCCAATCCGGTTATCCTTTCGAACCTAATCGCTTTAGTACTCCGGTGTGGTCATGGAAAGCCTTCGGAAGGATCTTTTTTGTGAAACACACTTTGCCTATCAAAGTTCTGACGATATTTTATCTGTGTTGTAAAAACGCTCTCGAAGTTGTCGTCCAAATGTCTCAGATGACGAACATGTGGCGTACGCCACGATCTCAAAAGATGGAAGATCTCTGTCTTCTCGAAATCAGACGGAATATGAGTTGAGAATGATAAATTGACCGATCGTTGTTTGATTACACCGGTGGAAACAAGAAGAACTCGCCGACGACTTGTCGTTAAAATGAACAAAACAAAGGGGGCGAAAAATTACATATATTAATGGTTCGACTAATTCGATACAATTTGTATATATCCCCTATGATTTGCAGTAAATATGAGATGTTTACACCGAATGATAATTCGACTTAACACTTGATTCTCTAGTCGGATATTTACAGCCATTAAGCTTGTCCTCTCCTCGCTACCTTCAAAACAATATCCCAGTCTTATCATCAAACCTCTTCTCAATCAACACCTTCTGGATAGCCCCCCAATCCCGACACCGATGCGTAGCATTTCCCCCATTAAAGCCATACCTCCTCTCACTTCCATCCGGATTAAACTCAATCTCAGCATGATCAAGCGTCGTATCACCCGCACAAAGAACTGCTTGTCTCACTAACCCACTCCCATCAGCATCACCCCTTAAACCAAGACCCGATGTTAAATAGATAGGATAGTTTGCTTACAATAATCAATACAATGATACTCATGTCCCTCCCCGGCAAAGCGAGATTTCGATCCCTTCTCATAGTAGATGATCACATTTCTTAACACGGCGAGACAATGGAGTTGGTGCGTCATGGATACGGAATACAATTCTGCGTCTTCAGGATCGTTTTCGATTTTTTTGCTCCGTGGCATGGCGTATTTACGTGGGTGAGGGACGCGTATGAAGCCAGCTCCCACTTTGTACAATCAGAATTCGGAGCTTGTTGAAAGAAAGGGGCTATATAACTTACATGGCATCAACTCATCCCACATTTGCTCAGTCCCCGGTGCGCTGCTTTCATAGCCGCTTGGGAATTTGAACATCACGTCTTTTTTGGGTACTGTGATTCTCAACTAGTGCTTGGTGAATATTCAATACTGGACGATATGTAGGACTTACTAGAACCAATAAAAGTTTGCGGGTCGAGAAGTCCATCGCCTCTGTCCCTCTGATGATCATGATGATAGGATTCCCATGTTTGGCCAACCCTCATACCAACAGTAAAAGCTATAAGAGTTAGGGCGAGAAGACAGAGTGATATGCACATGGAAGTGGGCGTTATAGTGAAGTTGCGTCGTGGTTGATATGTCGTCCTTGAGTCTTTCTCATTTTCACCACCAGGAACAGGTGCATAGTCCTGACTCGACATAGTGAGATTTTTTACATCGAATTGCTCTCGATGACATCGAGTCAAGCAGGATGTGATGTTCTGGCTTCACGATTTTTGTTGTATTTATCCATGGCGGCTGAACGAAACTATGTATGGTAGTCGAACGCCATCACGTGTAGACTTTTATTTTCATCGACTGTGAAGCAAGAGTATTGACGTAGAAAAAGTGTGAGAGGTATTCTTTATTTCTTTTTATTAGGTAGAGGTGCTTTACTTGCCTCCTGCTCTTCAGCTAACAAGGCCTGCATCTCCTGTTCTCCCATCCATGCTTTGACGCTGTCGATAACTTTATCTAACTCAGGACCTCCTTCCATAACATCATCAAGATTGTGTACATTGATCCCACTACGGTGATCTGAGACGCGTTGTTGCCCCCAATTATAGGTTCGAATTTTGTTCTCTCTGCCCATCTTCGCAACACCAATGACACCACGTCTAATACTGGAGACTTCCGCTTCTCTCGCTTCTCTTTTAGCTTGAGCAATCTTCGAGCGCAGCAACTGCCATGCCTTTTCTCGATTTTTGTGTTGTGATCGCGAATCTTGCATTGCGACAACTGTATTGGTTGGGATATGCGTGAGCCGAACAGCAGAATCTGTGGTGTTGACGTGTTGGCCACCCGCTCCTCTAGAACGATAAACATCTGTCTTAACATCCGCCGCGTTTACGTAGTAATCACTCTCTGGATCATTCATGTCCGCCTGTGATACGTCTGTTTCGCTGCTGCCGGTTGCTGGTAGACTTGGAAGTACCAACACACTGGCAGCACTCGTATGTGTTCGTCCCGATTTCTCCGTCGCAGGTACACGCTGGACGCGATGTACACCAGCTTCGCTCCGTAGTTCCCCATAGGCGCCGCTCGCTTCAATTTCCAGGATAGCTTCCGCCAGAGGAGCTTCACCATTATCACCCGATTCTCCATCAGCAGTATCATATTTCATCAGTGACACCCTGTAACCTCTCCGCGCACAAAATGCTCGGTACATTCTCAATAAATCCCCAGCAAATATAGCAGCTTCTCCACCACCTGCGCCAGGTCTGATTTCCATCAAGCATGGCATGTCCTCGAATGGATGTTTTGGTATAAGAGACTTCGACAAACTCTGGGATAGCGTTTCCAATTGCAATTGAGTCGCATTCATATCTTCCGTAGCCAGTTCTCGTAGCTCATCGTCCGTTGTTGGATCTTGAAGAAGCGCATGTAGCTCCTCCATTGCGGATTCGCTTTCCTCCCATGCTCGCAACGCGGTGGTGACATTTTTCAGTTCGCCAATTCGTTTCGAGATCTTTGCATCGAAGGTTTCCGCAGTCTCTTCGGTTAGCCGATCGTGCTCTTTCGCCATGTTACGCGCTCGTTCGAGCAGCACCGGTGAAAAGGAGCCATGGCTTGCTAGACATGATGTGAGTTAAAACGCCATTGAAGAGGCATTGGTGCTTACTGGTACTTGCAAACCGTGTGATACGCACTCTACCGGGTTTCGAAAGAATATTGGCACATCTTCTGCATACCCAAGGAGCTCCGAACATTCTTACTTGAGAAAATCAATAAATAAGTCGCATGAGACTTCATACTCCTCACATGAGCTTTCCCCTGTAATTTTGTACACCGCCTTGATTCTGCCGCTTGGCCGCTTCTTGCCGCGGCCAGTCCAGATGATGATCGACTTGAATGACAAACAACCCCTCGATGTGCCGAATTCGGTCATAGACCCCTCCACTGGAATGTTTGTATTCCCTTGAATCTTCTTTTTCATTTCTCTTTTTCCAATTTTATTTCATGCCAGTCCTGTTATTTCATTTTCCCAGATACCAAGCTCGCAATCTCGTACTCCTGAAGATATACAAGCTCCCGCTCTTGAGTTACAGATAACCCTTTTCTCACAATGCCTCTCAATCTGAAATCTGTTTTTCCGGCGTCGGATCCGGAATTCCAATCTTTTCCTAGCAGAAGAAGTGTTGTACATAGCACGGAGGGTATGGTCGCTTGCACACAACCGCTAGCTGCAAGATGTGGTCTTAAAGTTTTAGATGCTGGTGGAAATGCAGCTGTAAGTAATTATACATCCCACCCTTGATGTTTTACACTGAACAGTACAGGACGCGGCTGTGGCTGTTGGTATGTAGAATTCTGGCCTACTGTTACTATTCTAATGACGAGGTAGCTGCTGGCCTGAATTTAACAGAGCCTACCTCAACCGGCATTGGTGGTGATATGTTTTGTCTTTACTATGATGCCAAAACGAAAAAGATAGAAGCTATGAATGGGTCCGGGAGATCTGGTATGAAGTGCACGCTTGAAAACATACGAAAAGATCTTGGAATGAAAGATGGTGACGAGGGAAAGCTTCCACTCCGTAGTGTTCATGCAGTCACCGTACCAGGCGCTGCTGCTGGATGGGTCGACACGGTTGAAAGATTTGGTAGCGGTAAAGTGACCATGGAACAGATCCTGACACCTGCTATTGAGCTTGCAGAGAGAGGGTTTCCTGTGTCTGAACTATCGTCTACAATGGTAAGCGGGACATACTGTCCAAAAAGAGTAAAGTACTAACAAGTGTATAGTGGCGGTCTAGTGAGGCTGAATTGAAGCAAGCATCACCCAACTACTCGGAACTTTGCAAAGAAGACTCCAGTGCGCCAGATGGCTGGAGAGGGCCAAATCCTGGGGAAATCATCAAAAACCCCAACTTGGCTAGTACTTTCCGAGCTCTCGCCAAAGACGGCAAAAAGGGGTTCTACACCGGTAGGATTGCTGAAGAAATCATCAAGGCCACCAGTGACAGGGGAGGATTTCTTGAACTTAGTGATCTACAAAAACACTTAGAAGCAGGAAGTGAGCCAGTGGAACCCATTTCATACGTATGGAAAGGTCAAGGTTATAGCGAAACGAAGACCAGCTTCATCGATGGCATATCAGGTCAAGGAAGCAACGAAGACGATCACGGCGTAGAAATTTGGGAACATCCACCAAACGGCCAAGGAATAGTAGCACTCATGGCCCTCGGAATCCTCGAAGCCCTAGAAGAAGACGGCAAGATCCCCAAATTCACACAAGACCAACACAACTCCCCCGAATATCTCCACGCCATCATCGAATCCCTCCGCATCGCCTTCGCCGACGCAAGCTGGTGGATAGCCGACCCCTCCCACTCCCGCGTCCCCTCCTCAGAATTAACATCCAAACCGTACCTCTCCCAACGAGCCAAACTCTTCAACCCCCTCAAAGCCTCCCCGCAAATCTACGACCGCGGCTCCCCAGCCCACAACCACAGCGACACCGTCTACTTCGCCGTAACCGACAAGCACGGCAACGCCATCTCCTTCATAAACTCCAACTTCCACTCCTTCGGCTCCGGCATCGTGCCCAAAGGGTGCGGTTTCGTCCTCCAAAACCGTGGCGGAAATTTCCAACTCATACCCGGCCACCCCAATGCCATCGCCCCCGGAAAGAGACCGTACCATACCATTATCCCGGCCATGATCACCAATAAACACGACGGCTCGCTACACTCCGTCTACGGTGTTATGGGCGGCTTCATGCAGCCGCAGGGCCACGTGCAAGTCCTGCTTAACATGCTCGCCTTCAAATACAACCCGCAAGCGGCGCTTGACGCGCCTAGGTTCTGTATCGGCGCCGAACACATGCCTGGGGATAATTTCGCTAGGAAGGTGTTTCTTGAGGAGGGGATTAGTGAGGAGACGTGTGAGCGGTTGAAGGAGATGGGTCATGAGGCGGAGATTGTGACGGGGTATGCGAGGGGCGTGTTTGGGCGGGGGCAGGTTATTAGGAGTCATTTTGAGGATGGGGTTATGGTTTATTCGGCGGGGAGTGATCCTAGGGGGGATGGGGCTGCGTTTCCTGGGTAGATTTTGGTTTTGGTTTCGGTTTGGGAGAGGCGTGTGGGTGTGGTGTGATGAATCTGAGGAATTCGATGTAGTGTGTTCAGAATGGGAGTGAGAAACCTTAACCGAAGTAGAATGGACTTCAAAGTTGATGTATCTTGAAATCGGGGTATATTTCTCCTCAGCTACCTCTCTATAACCTAACCCGCATCCTCGACCAACTACATCCTAAGCCGAAACCACCAACTCATCCCTAATCCCATCCCATCAAATAAATCAGGTATAAGCACATCAAAAAACAAAGATGCCCTTCCCAAATTAAAAAACCCAACACCCGAACCCCTTGAAGCCCCAAGAACTGAAAAAATGGAGACAATATACACAAAACCAAAATAAACTAGCAAGCAACGCTTCAGAATGCAGATTACCAATGCAATATGCTCCTCATCCGAAAACGTACAAATATACAAATCCACCTGTCTCATGATTAGACACCTCTAAACATACGAACGATCAAGAACCACATCGCGCCGATGAATTTGAATAATGATAGTCCGGCTACTGACCATAGAACGACAGCCATGTAGATGTTACTCGTGGTATCATCGTCCAATTCAACCGTGTCCGATTCTTTGGTACCCAGTCGTGACAGACCACCGGTATTGAGAACGACGGCTGCGAGCGAGAAATTGCAGACAAGCCAGAAGATGACGACGCGGGAACGGAAACCCTTGTAGTAATCCTCTTGAATCTCGTCGGCTCCACGTTCGCGTTTCTCTGGTGGTGCCTTGGAGACGATCTTGCGCATTTCGGCTTCGTATTGAGTGTTGAGATCTCCATCGTCGGTTGGGATGTTGACGTCGACTTTTCCGCCTGGTTTGGTGGACACAACGCCAAGCTTTTCGGCTTTGTCGTCTCCTTTTGTTCCCCATGTGATATCGTGGGTATTGCAGAAGGCATAAACGTTGAGAATGTTTATGTAGGTTGGTGTGAGGAGGAGATATTGAAGGAAAGATGTAAACATGTGCCACGGGTCGAAGAACAAGAATGACACAACGAACCATAGCAGGTATGTTGATGCCAAGGAAATAATCAAGGTGTAGAATATTTGGTTCTTGAAAATGTCGGCTACGGCGAATCCGGTCTTCGTCTGCTCCTGAATTGACCTGACCGTTATGAAAACGGAGGCAAACATCAAATAGCTATCGAGGTTAGCAACTCATAATTAAAACATGGATTGATGTAAAACTTACCACATGATAATAGCCCAGAAATAAACCATGGCCATGTATGCTCTGTTTGATCCTTGAGGCCTATTTCCCAATGCGAGGACAAAACAAGTAAGAAGCGTAAAGAGGTACAGCCATTCAAACACAACCCCAAGGACTTTCCCCACAGTACCCAGAAGATTATCGCCACCCAGGGATGTTGTCAATATATGGAATACCAAGAAAAAGTTGCCGAGTTGAAACCATGCAAAGATCATGTTGATTGTCTGAAATATGAATTCAACCAAGAACATAATTTTCCGCATGAAGCTGTGGTCGCTACGAAAAATCTCGTAGAAATGAGCGAGAGCATAGACTGCCGCGAAGAAACTACCGTTGAGCCATCTTCGTCGTTGTAAAATCAGTTCCGCCATTTGATCGGGCACATCGGTTTCTCCAGTTGCTGATTTGACGTATTGAAGAATCCAGTGACAGTTCCTTTTGGACACAAGCTCGAAACACAAAATACGATCCTCGGCCAGATACATGTTGGCAGTGAAGATACCGGCATTGGCACCGTGCATCTTTTCACCAGCAAAGTACTTTTCCAAGGGACCATTTCCAGCCTTGTCGTTTTGCAACGCGACATAACGATATGCCGAGAAAGCTCCAGGTAAGACCGAGATGAATCCAAAAGCCGATTCGAGAGGTTTATCCAAGATATTACTCATTTTGTATTCGAAATTCTGCGTCGCGACCAAAGGATTGATCAAGTTCTTACCTCCAGTACCCAACATAGCTTTGATTTCACCACATGCTCCGGCGCACATAGGTTCCAAATCGAAAGCCTTCCACAAGTGGTAAATTGAGTCCTTCCCAGGCTTAGTACCGGCATCGATAAGAACACAGATGTTTGGATCGAGAACACGCCCAAAAGCTTGGAAGAACCATCTGTGCGAGTTGATCTTTTTCTGATTCTTCTCCTTCAAGCAGAATAGAATTTGTACTGGTTGTTGCTTAGGACGAAGCTCCACCACTTCCTTTTTCACGGCTATTCCAACCTGGGTAGTATATTCGTAAATATGTGCCGTGACATCTTTGCCGTTAACTTTCTGCTTTGCAATTCCATCTTGGTAAACACCCAATCCTGCCAAAACGGCTCTGGTCCTTGGGTTGATCTTAGCACGACCATCGCTAACAACGCACACGACAATCTTCTTCCAAGCGTCTTTGCCCCAGGTTTTACTATCTTTCCGTGAACACATGTATTCGATATTTTTGAAAACACCGCTCATTGTACGGGCGAATAAAACGTCATCTTCGTTGTACATAGTGACTACGATAAAAAGCTCCGTATGTCGGGGCTTCGCAAAGAGTCTCTGTCTCAACGTGAAGCGCTCTTCGAAGAACTCGCTGGGATCGCACGTTGCCGCAGAATATCTCATGTGAGTAAATTCGTCTCGTTCAGGTGGCTCGGCATGAGGAACCATGTTTAACAACTTTGGTGGAATCGGACAGTCCAGTACAAGATTTCCGTTGAACAACTGTACCTCTTTTACTGTCTTCCATCTCCGCAACCCTGGGCCGGGTGTGGGCGTAAGAGGGGGGTCTGCAGCAGGTCCATCGTAATCTTTGTACTCATTTTCTAGAGTATGCGGGTCTGGCCCATATGATGTATCTGACTGCAGTATAGGTCTGTGATCATCATCGTGGTCGTAGTAGCCTGCCTCATGCTGCTGGCCAGGAAAAGGCTGCATTGGATGCTCATCTGGTGACGGTTGATATGGTGGTTGATAGTAAGCATCGTGATGCTGTTGGGGATTTATGGCGTAGTCTTGTTGGTAGTTATGGCTTTGATCCAAGGGATGGCTTTGATCATATTCTTCATTATGCCCATATGAATTACCGATATTTTCCACCGAGTACTGCATTCAACCCATTAGTATATAAGATCTATGCGATGAAGCAGATTCCCAAATAGTTCTTACCGTAGGTTGTACCTGCAACCGATCACTGGGTGTACCATATCGTCCTGGACCCATAGGGATCTCGAGGTTGTGCGCGCCAGGAGCAGGAGCATTAGAAGCTCCACCATACGGAGAGGGATCTTCTAGTTGATAGCCATGCATTCGAGGATCGCCTGGCGAAGGAGTTCGGTTTGGGCGAGTGTTCGCCATATCGTAGGAGTCTTCGTGGTGACCGAAGCCAGGACGGTCTGTTTGGGGGTATTGTTAGTTACTGTAACTCAACAGTAGACAAGTTGCGATTTGCGCAAAGCAGAAGCGAGTTCCAAATGTATAAGCAGACGAGCTTCAAGTCATTCACTGCTCCCTACGAGTCTTCTTCTTCACTGCGCCGCTTCGCACATTCAATCCTTTCTGGACGTGAGTGCGCTGATGCACAAAGAGAGGGCTCAGTGAACTCGAATAGCCTTGGACAGGGGATGGCAGATGTGGGTGACGCAGTAGTGAATATATAAGTGAGACTGGCACACGTACCTAGACGATTATATGACATGGTTTGAGATGTCCCTGAGAAGAGTGAGGGGTGGTGCTGCTACTTGTTGGTTTGAGGGGCCAAAGGCAGGAATGCGATGGTGAAAGGGGAAACACGCGATTCGTCGATGCGTTTGTCCTCGTCTGGTAGGTATGCTTTGATGTTCTGCTTTGCGCCCAACTCGGCCAACAATACTCGAGGCGGTATTTCTCGGCTCTGACTTTGTTGGTCTTTGCGACAGGACACGGCTGCAGTTGAGGACAAAGTAACGGAAAAGGGGACGTTCTGATCTCGAGGAGTGGTCCCGAGATGGTGGTGTTTCAAAATATTTCGCGGCAGAAGACAACAAGGGTTCCCACAGTGACTTGGATGCCAAGAAGGAGCTTGCGTTTCAATGCGGAGAAGAGCACAAGCCAATCAGCGCCCACATGTGGGGCATGACGTGCAGGGCAAGCGGCGGATGTTCTCGTGACTTGGTGGTGATTGGGTTTGGATGCAGTTGTATTCGGAATGGTATGCAACAATTTATTTGTACAGCTGGATCAAAGAAAAGCTGTGATGAGTATTGTATACGGCTTGTGAATTTGGAGCAAACAAACATCGTTTCCGCCCAAGATCCGTATCAGTTCGTACAGTAAGTGCGATACGGGACTATCCTGGTGTCAAACGGGCACCATTATTCCGGCTAACGGCCATTACGCCTCAGCGGCACTCTTCGGTATTCAGAGCTATGAATTTAAAAATAGCATCAACTTCTTCACTGTTTTCCACCTTCACATCGCCGTCCGCCACCAACGACACGAATCACCCTTCGAGACACTAGCCACACTTTGCCAGTCAGCACGAAAGAGCCAACCAAATGATGAGGAAGTTTTCATTGACTCGCCTCCTTCAGGCGAGTACGCACGTCGCTAAGCGAGATGAGGCTGTGTCGGTGTCGGTGAGGTTGATGAGATCTGTTAGGCGATCTTGGGTAGCCAAGAAGAGGTTATTCATGATTAAGCCTTGTGATTACGACGATTCTTAAAGAGGCGGTTTGGCTGCCTGGTGGGATTCATGGGGATTATTCTATTCGGACGCGAAAAACCAGTAACCCAAGCCCAAAATATGTCGCCACATATTATTTACAGCTCAGCAAGTTGTAAGTACATGCTTCCTTCGCTGCTTGAATGGCCGTCAAATAACAGAATGATGATTGGTTGGTAGAGGGTTGTTGCAAAGGGACTAGACGACCTACCCCCAGATGGCCCAACTAGCAATTCACATGTGCAGGTGATATTGTCCAACAGCCGCAGGGCGAGCAGCTTGAAAGACTCTGTTCATTTTCTGACGAGAGAGATTACAGCTTTTTCCCTGATCTAATCGTCGCTCCTCCACCAGTGACAGTCACCAGCCTTCTGGCCCTTCCACCATCCTCAGATATTCTGGCGTAGTGAGGTTAACTACATGCTTGAGATGCAAGTTCTGGTGACATCCATACAGCATGGATGGTCCATCGTTCGGGTATCCAGAGAAGTGCAAACAACTAGTAGGATGCCTACTGCCACCCAACCTCATATAACATGAGCTTCTGCCTCTCTGATCTACTTCAACCCAAAATCACGTTTCTGGAGGGTGTAGAAATCTATCGGCCTCCTACCAAAGTTGCCCTTGTAAACCTTCAAGACTTCACATCAGGAAACGTCTCCTTCAAGAAGTTCTTTGAAAATCTTGTACACTGCTCATAGGCTATTTCGAACCCATCCCGAGCACCATAGTACGGATCATCAACTTCCTCAGCCTTTTTCTTGCCGGAAAACTCGCCAAAGAGCATCACCTTGGCTTTGCCACCAGTACGTTGGTGAAGGCGCTGAAGGTCACGGAGGTTGTCACGATCCTAGTTTTGTTAGCGCCGACGTGGTATAAGCGGAATGAAGCGTGATAGAGTTTTGAGAGAAATATCGTAAGAAATCCTTGTATCTCCTCGTAGGGCTGGTTGAATTGCTAGACTCAGTGTACTAGCACTTGCCAGAATCACTCCCTAAAATTTCAAAGCAAATCTCTTTCACTTCTGACTATGAAAACAAATCCTACCATAGCAAAAACATAATCAAAATTCGTGAAATCCGACGTCTGAGCCTAATCACTTATCAGCTCTATATCCCAATCTCACACCACGACCTCAAAACTCACCTTCCTCGCCGCATGCTCATAATCAGTAATCCCATTATCCTCCAACGTAGACATAGTCCTCGAATCAGGACTGGAACCGGTATGATATGCACCTGTTCCGCACGAATCCACCTCTGAAATCAGGGCTTGATAAGGAGGTTTTGCGACTATGGATCGGAAGATTCCTTCGGCCATGGTGGAGCGACAGATGTTTCCTAGGCAGACAAAAAGAACGGAGATGGGCTCCGAGGCCATTTTTGCGGTTTGGGAGTTTTTGGTTGGGGTTTATGATGAGTTTGTGATCTTGATATCTCTGGGGCGTGAGACGAAGTGGTTGGTGGTCAATGTCGACCACCGTAGTTGAAGGTCTAGCTCAACTACGGCGGCCTAACTCATACGATATTGCTTCCGACACCTCTTGCTTTCTTTCCCGATCACATCTGTTGAATCAAACCTTCATCATCAATCTCCCAATCGATAGGCCACTTCAGCTGATTAATACTAGTCCCATTTAACGATTTCTCTATCGGTCTGATCAAGTTCGAGTATGTCGCACGACAGCTTCACGTCCTCTGATGAATGGTCATCTCCTGGGCTAGACCATCTACCTTAAGGTTACTGGAACACAACGGAAAGACGGTATGAGCCTGCCTCTCGATGTATTTGTTACTGTACAACCTTCTCTTTGCCGGCGTCGCTTTCTTTGCTCAACATTACACAAGCTTTAACCCCGCGATGAGATCAGTCCGTAACTTTGCATTCTCAAGATACGGCAGAATGCAGAGTCGCGGACTGCATAATAAGCTAAACCCAACCTTCCTCTTTTGTATAGCTCTTGGCTATCCTCTACCTTTCTGTTAGTTGCACTGGGGTTCGCACGTTGCGTTTAGTTATCGGATCTGCACATTTATATAGCTATATCCCACTTTCTCATCCTTTATGCTCATCAATCAATCAATTGAGCGTAGCGATAGGCTTATAGTCCATGCATCTAGCCTGAACTGCATTCATAGATGCTGCCAAGCCTGTACGATCTTTACCATGGATTTTGTACATTCCGAATCTGCACCAGTACCAGAGTACACATGCAAGGAACATGCTCAAAGACGGGTATTTGAGCTGGGCGGCCCCTCCTCCGCTGCTTGATTTTGCTTGTTTTTACGCCCAATACTCTTGGAGTTCTTGGAAGTCATTCCCAAGCTCATTCTTACCTTCTTGGGACGACTTTGTCTCAATCGAGATATTCTAAGGCTCGGAAAAGCAGAAATACCGTCAATTGGTGCAGACATCCCAAGTTCAACCAGAATGCGTTCCTTCAGTATCCTGGCTGCGTTGGCAGCAGTGGTGGGCAACGTGGTTGCGCCAAATCCTGCGGTCTACAATGCTGCTTCTTCCTCCATGCGGATTTTTGAGGCCCTTCGTGGGGTTCCTCAAGGATGGACAAAAAGAGACGCACCTTCGCCTGCATCTCGTATTCGGTTGAGAATTGCACTTGAAGAACCAGACCACGAGTTCTTTGAAAAGACTCTCTTTGCTGTTTCTGACCCGTACCACGAGAGCTATGGGAATCATCTCAAGCGTGAAGAAGTCAAAGCTTTAATCAAGCCTCGAGACGAATCAACCGAAGCTGTACTTTCCTGGCTCAGAAGCTCTGGTGTCGCTGCTGCCGACATCGAGAACAATGGCGAATGGATCAACTTTGTCGCTCCGGTCTCCACGGCGGAGAAAATGCTGGACACAACATTCAGCTACTTCACGCAGAATGCCGACAAGTCGCAAACTAAGAAACTCAGAACCCTGCATTATTCAATTCCATCAGATGTGTCGAAACACGTTGCTATGATTCAACCAACGACTCGATTTGGACAAATGATGGCTGAGCGAAGCAACGTTTTCATTGTCACAGCAGCTGAGGAGAAACCGAAAGCGCCAGCCGATCCCGTGCCTGGTCTGGCCGTTGATCCTTCCTGCGATACTCTAATTACACCAGCGTGTCTTAGAGCTATGTACAATGTTGGAGATTACCAAGCTGATTCCCATGCTGGCACTTTGCTTGGCGTCAACGGATATCTGGAAGAATATGCCAAATTCGATGAGTTTAATGAATTCTTAAAGACCTACGCACCTTATGCTAAGAAGCAAACCTTCGAGTATGTCAAAGTCAATGGTGGTCTTGATACCCAAAACAACGCTAGCATTGACGATGTGGAGGCCAATCTGGACATCCAATACGCTGCAGCGCTAGGATACAAGCAGAAAATCAAGTTCTACAGCACTGGCGGACGAGGTCCATTAGTCCCTGATCTAGATCAACCAGATATCAATGAGAACTCCAACGAGCCCTACCTCGATTTCTTGAATTACCTTACAGCGTTGCCTGACCGGGAATTGCCCCAAACCATCACCACTTCTTACGGCGAAGATGAGCAAAGTGTTCCAGAGCCTTATACAAAGAAAGTCTGCAAGATGTTCGGAGAATTGGGTATGAGAGGAGTTTCCGTAATTTTCAGCAGCGGAGACACCGGTGTTGCTAGTGCATGCCAAACGAACGATGGCAAGAATACCACAAGATTTCTTCCTATCTTCCCTGCCGCTTGTCCATATGTTACATCTGTAAGTAATGTCCAAATTACCGATCATCACAGACTTCAAATTGACATATGCTTAGGTGGGCGCTACGTACCATTACCCGGAGCGAGCCATTGCATTCAGTTCTGGGGGCTTCAGTGACCGCTTCCCTCGTCCTTCTTATCAAGACGCAGCAGTCAAAGAATATCTCGGCATCTTAGGTGATAGGTGGAAGGGTCTATACAACCCTGAAGGTCGTGGATTCCCAGATATCGCCGCTCAAGGTTACAACTATTCTGTTGTTGAGAAAGTGGTTGGAGCCAATGGTAGCTACACTGGAGCGTTTGAAACAATCCTTGTTGGCGGTACAAGGTAAAGCATACCACCTGCCAGCCCTGAGTCTTTCTTTGCTAACATGTTTTCTTTAGTGCCTCTGCTCCGACAGTCGCAGGTATAATATCTCTCCTGAACAACGCTCGCGTCAAAGCGAGGCAAAAGCCTTTGGGTTTCCTCAACCCATGGTTGTATTCCAAGGGTAAAGATGGGCTTAACGATATCGCTCTGGGTGGTTCGAGAGGCTGTGATGGTCGCGACGACTACAGTGGTCTGCCGACTCCGTTCGTTCCTTATGCCTCTTGGAATGCTACGGCTGGATGGGATCCTGTCACTGGATTAGGAACACCCAACTTTGGAAAGTTGCTCGAGTTGAGCACCCCAGGATCTAAGTTGCCTCATATCAAGGGATGTGCGGAGTCGGACTTCTGCTAGAGGCAAAGTGAGATAGTCTCAGTAGGCTGCATTTATGACAAAAAGTATAAAGCTTGGGTTGAACGGAGTGTTCAATTCTGTTGAAGTTTCGATTTCAAACAGTAAAGAGTTATCTACTGTGTTACCTACAAGCTGGACGAACGTGCAAATGAAGATCGCCAAGAACTTTACTTGCGGAGAAATAAAACGTAGTAGTTCTATTTCTTGCGCCATTGCATTTTGCCACGCATATATTAATTAGGCAGATGGGCAACTATTCTTACTGGGGATGACCGGCCCGATCATTGAGCTGCACTGAAAATTACAGCGTATTTCTCTCACTTACTAGAAATAGATACATTCGCAAACTCTCCAAAGACCCGCACATCACCTTTTTGTACGTTACTGGAATTGTATTCCACCAGATTTTCTAGATTTTCTCTTTCTGTGGCAAAATCAGACCAGGGTTCGGCGCTTCCCCAGATCTCTCCGCTTCGGAATATGTCCTCCGCATATTTCAAGATTGAGCCTCAAAACGGGTAAATACCCAACCACATATTTCCCATCTTGCAAGTGGACCATAACGAACAACTTGGTCAATCATGGTTCACGAGACTTAGCAACTGACGGTCCGTCATCCCCTCGCAGGTTCGCGACTGAGAAATTGCGGAGCGTCAGGGGAAGAGATTGACGAGACCATATGACCTGCTTGCAATATGAAAGTTATGACCTAGTGTGTTCTGAAGTATTTAGGTCTTTAAAGGATGGACGTGCCTGTTGAAATTAAATCTTGGAGCTTGGTTGTATACGTAGCTTGAGTAAATAACTACCACGACTCAATACTGATCGACCCGTAAACATGCGTTTCTCACCACTTCTATTTGCGACTGCCGCTCGCGCAGCGATTCTCTGGGATGGACGTTTCAATGAGATGTCCAGCTCTTCAGACCTTAATACCTGGTCGTGGAGCAACCAAGTCGGGCCTTACCAATACTACATTGTGAGTACGCTTTCCTTACTATTCACAACTCGTCTAACACTGCATCTAGCACGGTTCCGGCACCGTAAACAAATACATCAATCTCTCCCCAGACTACAAGAACCCTGCAGACGGAGGAAGCAAACAAGGTGCCAAGTTCACCCTCGACAGCACGGCATTCTGGAACGGCCAGACTATGAGACGTACGGAACTCATCCCCCAAACCAAGGCGGCGATTGCATCCGGCAAAGTCTGGTATCACTTTTCGATCAAGAGAAGCGGCACCAATGCTCCAAGCATCTACCGCGAACATCAAATCTGCTTCTTTGAATCTCACTTCACTGAATTGAAAAGCGGATGGATTTCTGGAGCCAGCGGAAACAGCGATACCAGACTCCAATGGTTCGTCGGAGGAAAGAGCCAATGGAGTGTAGAATGGGCCCCAGACGTCTGGCACAACGTCGCCTACGAAATCGTAAGCCCCCTTTCCCCCCCTTCCACACATCCAAACTCACATCCTCAGGATTTCTCCGCAAACAAAGTATCCTTCCACCACTCCACCGGCGCCGACCCCCTCAAACTAACCGCCGGCCCCGTCTCCGCATCCACCTCCTCCAACGGCGCAGACTGGCATCTCGGCGTCCTCGAACTGCCCGTCTCCGGCCGCTCTGACAGCAACGAAGATTTCTATTTCTCGGGCACTTATATCGAGAGCGGGAGCCTGACTACCTCGGTTGCGGGCCCGGGCGGCGTGGTTGCGAATCCGGGGAGCTCGACGTTGGTTACTAGTACCACGAAGGTTGCGAGTTCGACGACGAAGGTCGTGAGTAGTACGAGTAAAGTCACGACGCCTACGGCTGAGCCGGAACCACAGCCTGAGCCGGAGCCAGTGGGGACGCTGCAGAAATGGAGTCAGTGTGGGGGCCAGGGGTGGACGGGGAGTGGGTATTGTGTTGAGGGGACGAAGTGTGTTGCTTCTGGGGACTTTTACTCGCAGTGTTTGTAGAGCATGATGTTCGGGTTGGAAAATACAGGAGGATTTGGAGGGTCAAAATCACTTGCATATCGTGGGATTATGTGTTGTAAATATGAGTTGGGTTCGAAGTGTATATAGGAAACAGCAATTGAGTATCACGCTCTGAATAATCTCTCTTAATCGCAGTAGTCTCTGCTCCTGTTATCAAACAGCAACAATATCCTTTCGAATCACCTGCGTGCAAGGCTTGTTGCTTTCAGCCGTTGCCTCTAAATCTCAAGCCATGTTAGGTTCATCTCTGCTTCTTCTTTCACCGAATAAAAAGCAAACACATCCAATCCGCGAATCAATAGAAACTATAGCTCACATGATTTTCGAACTAGATAATCGTACTTTCCTTTGCTGGTGCTTAATTCCTTGTTATGCTTATAGTTTATGATCTCAACTTTACTTCAAGATCTGAGGACGTTTCAGTCTTTCTTTGAGAATTTGATGGTTGATCATGCTTTGATTCTTATATTCTTTGAAATTAAATGAAGCGTGCCTCTGCCTTGATGAATTTAGAGCTTCCTCATTCGGTAAGTGATGGGAACTTGTAGTCTCTCAACTATTAAACATTATTGTCATTTGAAATTATAACTTAAATCAGCGTGTTACTGTAGTTCAATGAGGTTGGGTGTGATGTTATAATTAAATTCAATTTTCACGAGTTAGTCTAAGATCATCTTAAAAGACTCCAATTTGAATCGCCGTCAAGACGTTTGAAACTTTGAGTGGTCAGGTACTATTGTACAAGATAGGTGGTAGCAATCTTCTTCAAAGCAGAGTTTAGGAATATTCTCCCTTATGAAAAATAAAGGGCTAGAACGATATTGTACATCTAGTCGATTACAAAATCGTGATTTGACTACTGCTTATCCTGGTTACCAGATGGCAGTTTCGCTCAGGTGACCTCAAACCAATAGAATTGTTAGATTCTACCACTGCCGAGGAAGCCGGTAAGTTTTCGCTTAATATATCAGCTGACTCACCTCCTCCTTCTCCTATTTAGATGACTTTACAGTCTCTTCTTTTCTGGAATTTAAAGCTTGAAATTGAAGACATAATACTAGCTTTATGTTTTTTTCCAATGCTTTGGATTTAGCTTCTTGCAACAAGTTCGTTGAGTAACTTATAAGTTAAAGCGGTGCTACTGACCTGACAGAACACAATTTATCATCTGTACCCGAACCCACTAACATGCGAATTAGTAAGGACCGCTTTGCTTAGTCTAAGCCTCTCATTATTGCGCTGAGTTGCATGACTTCCTTGGTGCATTGCCCTTCCTTGAATAACTTTTGGCTCATTCTTTCTCTACTTCGTCAACCATTGTTTCAACAAAGTCCTTACCTTCTCAGAACTCAACGTCTATGATCTCACTCCTGCTGTGACGTTGACTAGAACTTCCCCTCACTCATCTACTTAATCAGTAGAAGTTTCTCTTGGCTCCATGATCTAGAGTCTCGAATTCTGTGATTGTGATCTCATCTCCCGATGAGTCTCCACCCACCCCGCCTACTAACAGTTTTTAGCATCAAGTGCCGGTATAAAGTGAGAACACCGGCCTTTCCGCAAACATTTCCTCTTGTGCAGCCTTCTTGACAGACAGGTTGATTGCAATGTCGCCCACCACTATGGATTCCGCCACGCAAACAACATATAACGAAACAAAGAGCTTGAAACACGACGACCTAAAAGCCGAATCGGATTCCGACAATCTAGTACCAGAAAAAACAGTAACGGAGCTGCTATGTGACGACCCAGCAGCTGAGTTCCACAAGAACGTCAAGGAGAGGTCGGCAAACCATCTGAATGATTACATTTTCTACTATTCATTGTGCTTCCTTCTGTGGTATATAGGAGCCGGTCTCTCCCTCATTTTAATGCCTGATAATTCCAAAGTATATGGGTCGCGGTGGTATGAGAACAGAACCAAACTGATCAACACTTGCGTCTCATACCTCGCAGCGACAGCCATAGGATTCGAAAGCTTTTCCCTGGCCAGTATGATGGTGCCTGCGGCGTCTAAAATATTGAGCAGGCAATTCGATACTGTGGAGAGGCTTCGTGGAAACATGAAATTTGAGGCACAGATCAAAGACAAGGAACATGCCATGTACTTCTTCTTGCGACATGTTGCAGATCCAAACCTCCCAAACATATACAACTTTGACCAGTTGTCACGCGTCAAAATTTGGGCGTCAATAGTTGCGGGAAATCTGTTGAAGGTCTGTTGCTGGCAAACGATTGGCTACATTATTGAAGAAGATTTCTCCACGTGGGCAGGAGTCATACTCATACTCGGAATAATTGAGGCTGCTTTCATGGCAAGATTGGGTTGGTTCTGGGGCCACGGCAGAATCGCAAGAACTATCCGGAAACAATGCTTGAACATGTCTACACCAGTCGATGTTGAAAAAGCTTTCGGGATCAAGCATACGCCTACAGACCATTTGGCATCTTATCTCGAGTTTTTGATGGTGGATAAGAAGGGATCTAAAGAAGCTCAGCGGAAAGAGAGAGTGTGCCTGAAGGTTCTTTTGGAGGAGATCAAGGTTCCTACGTTGGAGGGAACATCCAAGGAGTAGAGCGGCTTTTTATTGGAAGGAATTGGAGAAGCCCTACAACATTTCATTGAGATATAATAGTAGAGTGGCAACGTCGACTGCAAAACAGCAGAATTGGTGAAGGGTTTTATTACTGTTTGGTCATCAATATTCTTCTGTAATCATTTCATTAATAAAAAAATTTCAAAGCTTGAAGTTCAGTTTCATAGACTAAGCTTATAATCAAATTGAAGTAGAACTCAATTGGCAATCGACTCCCTTCTTCGACCGGCGTTAATGAAAGATATTTTGAGTTTCTCTAAACATGTGAGGAAATAATAAGGTCAAACTTTGCATTATCGATTAAGATTCGTTCTTACATGTTAGAGGAGCCATGGACTGACGACACAAGATTTGCAGAGGTGTAGTGGGGCTTCGGCCCAGAAGTTGACCAGGGATTAAAAATCTATCACCAATATTTTCAGCCTCTCAGCTGCTGAAAACTTTAGATCTGTCCAATTTCGGACATTTACCTTTGTGACCGTCGAGGCCTCGCCATCTATACACCCGGCTGGCCGCTAGGACACCCTTTCCAACACTATAAAACTGCCTCTTTCGCCTTTTTCTCAATTTGAAAATTCCCAGTGACCCTGAACATCCCAATCATCTGACATAAACTTAGAGGATTTACCGTTCGAATAACAGACCAAGAATGATAGTTGACCTGTTCCATATTTATACTCTTCGAAATTCCTAACTGTTTCTATACCATTTATCGAGCAATGCCAGGGTTTCAAAACAACATAGCACTGCTCTCATCTGAGCAGACTTTTCGACATCTTAACCCATCCCCTTTAAATCAACCCCAAAAATCCGACCACACCAAGGAACACTGAGCCAGCAACACCCATCTCGACCGTCCTCCCAGCAGCAGCATTACCACTAGTAGTCGGAGCAGCGTTTCCGGCTGCAGTCGACGCAGTCGTGCCGACTGAATTAGTGTTTGCAGCTACAACGCCAGTCGAAGTAGCGGTTGTGGATTGGACACTTCCACCTGCGAGAGTTCTAACGGGAGGTTAGTTCATTTATTTGGATATTGAATGAAGGAATGAATTGGAATCTTACGTTCTACCAGTTGATACGGATGTCGTGGTGACAGACGCTGAACCTGCTGCAGAGGTCGAAGCGGTTGTACGCGCTGAAGTTCCGGCGCCACTGACGAAGACGGTGGTTGTAAAGGAGCAACTACGGATGAGGTCGTTGACGTCTGTTGTGAATGGTGTTAGAGTTGTAGTTCAGACTCCAAAAGTCCCACGGTAGACTCAGAATGTAGGAGTGAACATACCATTGTCATGTCCGTCATTAGTATCATAATTTGCAATACAAGCTTCACATGCTGGAATCAAAGATGCCGCATTGTTGTATGAGCAGACGCAGTTGATGTAGCCCGAGTCGATGTCGTTATTTTGAGTGTCACATTGTTGGGTGAGCTGGGTTACTCTGAGAAGTTGTTGGTTTTGATATCGCTAGACATTGGAATCTCAGATGGAAATCGATGGCATAAAACAATACTTACACTTGGCAAACGGCTCGGCATTCGGTAGGGACATCATTATCGTCGATATCCTGAGCTGCGGCGTAACCGGAAAGAAGAGCAAGAAGAGAGATCTTGATGAGTTGCATATTGATTACAATTGATCCCGGTTTTTCTGAATTCTGTTGTGTTGTGTGGATTGTCTTTAATTATTGTTTCTATTATGAAGTGTAGTTCGAAGACCATTACCCCAGAGCAAGATCAAGCTTCTATATGAGCTCCCTCATACCTCCACATTTCCAAAAAGCGGAGAGGAAGCCGTGACCAGAATAGAAAGAGCCACCCCGCCAAAATTAGAGTAACAAATGAGCATCATAGCTATCCACGTAGTCGTTCTTGGCGACGACGTTGCCCAACTGAGCCACGAACGCAAACGTCAACGTTTCAAATCCAGCAATTCGATTTGTTGTTATGGATTTCAATTGGAGCAAGTGTTTGTCTAGTCTTTTTGTGTCTCAAATTAGAAATGAAAGATGCTGTGTTCCATGATTTGAAGATTCATGACAACAGCATATCAAAGACATGATTTGATTTCGAAAATGCCAAGTTCGCCGTCTCCCCACACCAAACTCTAACAAAGTTAGGCATCAGAATACGCTTAAATCTAAATGGGCACTTAAATTATATGTTCCATCTTCATGATACAGCCACTTCTCGATTTCGGTAATCGTCGGGTTCTAAACAATCCCTCCATCGTCACCGTTGGAGGGCTCGCTTAGTATTAATACTTCATAGCGGGAGTGGCTTTTTACAAACCTCGAAATACAAGATTTAAATTATAACAAGTGCGATGAACATAAAACATTCGGCTAAACCCACCATGAATGGCCCGTCGAGGCGTTGCGAGAGAAGTTGAGTCAGGTTCAGGTTGACTACAACTACCATGTACTAAGATCAACAGAGGGAACGTCATAGAGACATGGATGCATGGGGCTCCAATCGCGAGACCAAAGCGCTCATGTACACGTAAATCGAGAACGCGAGCCCAATCTAGGAAGCATGAAGATGGAATAATTATCATTTGGGAAGGCTCGTTTCACCCTACTCGGACGATCTAAAAGGTTAACTGCAGCCTGATCACTAATCAATAATCACTACCTTAATGTTCGGTTCACATCACAGAGAATGCAGCGTGATAACGTAGGATGCAGAAGGTATCATCATGACTTCAAACATCTCGCTCTAACTGAATTCACCACCTAATTTTCCTAGCTCACTCCCCAAGAACTCCTGCGCATTAACCAGCTCCGTACTACCATATACAACCCTCCGCTTTCCAGCGCCCTTCTCGGCACCACTACCTCCAGCCCCCGTTCGTTTTGCCCACTCCTGGAGATTACCATATTCATCCATACTGCCACCGCCGACAGTGAACACAATAGCTTCACTGAAGCCTTGTCTCCTCTGGCCAAACGTAGCACCAGTACCGGGACCGTGGCCACCTAGAGAACCCGGCATTTGGTCGCCCTTACGTGCTACACTCGGAGGTGGCATCGTGCCTCTTGCATTTGCGGATCTTGGGTCAAAATACAGATAGTCTTCTGTCTTAGCAATCGCACTGCTGCTTGCGCTTGCGGGGTCCATGATGGATTCAGTGATTTTTGTTACTGTAAGATCCCTATTTGCAGGTAAGAAATTCTTAACGCCGGAGATGAGATTTTCAAAGTTGGCACCAACACCCGACTCTTTGAGAGAGGAGGTCAAACGAGATGAAATGCCGCTGAATTGGGAGAATAGCTGAGTAGAAGCGGATGACTGAGGTGCGGCTTGGGAGGTGGTCGACATCATTGTCTTTTTGGTGAGTTTTGCGACTCTATGACGGACGTTAGACAATACTTTGACAAAAATTGAAGTGGGTCTTACTGCTTGATATATGGGAGAGACGAGATGTCTGCTCCCGCTGTCTTCAATGCTTCCTCAAACTTCTCCTGCTCCCCTCGTGAAATCTCTTGTTCTGTACTCAAGTACCAGATGATGAAAAGTCGTAATTTATCTGTTGGATTGTTGCCTTTGCTTTCATCACTCAAAACCTCCAACATCTGTGCTTTGGTCTGCTTGGTGATGTTTTCCTCCAATTGGTAGTAGTTGTCCAACTGACGGTTCTTGATACCGGTCAAGAGACCAGCAAGAATGTTCATGTGCATATCAAGCACCGCCTTACGTTCCCGTAGCTCGGGCAAAAGTGTAATTGCAGCTTTCAGATGCTGGGCAGAAGCGCTGGTATCATTCTGCAGGTCCTCAATAGACGATGCTCCTGTTTTCTTCGTAATGTCATTTGCATCGTCCTTATACCGAGACAATTCAGCATCGATGTCCTCTGCCACCTGCGGAAATGGTATACTAGCATTCTTGCTCCAGAAGAAATCGTTTGATGTGAGGTCATACGCTTTCTTCGTTATGCCTTTCGATGGATTTTCTTCGTCGACAGGATTCTCAACTGTTATACGGTTGAGCTTCATATTGAGAACGTCATGGACTAATGATTGGTATGTCCAAGAATGGGAAAGCATGGGTATCAAATCTACATTTCGGTCTAAAATAATGAGGACTGGTCGCGATGATGGCGTAGAGGAGTTTCGACTTGTGGGAGCCGAGAACAGATTGTCTTTGGAATTCAGTATGTGGTCTCGCAATTTGCGATCGAGCTTAGCAGCTATCATTTCCGCCGCTGCATCTCTTGGACATCGTATGATCGGCATAACAGCTGAATCTATTAGTTGGTATCACGGCAGAGGGAGTAAACAGACATACCCATGGTGGCCATAACACTGAATAATCCGCTCACTATCTTGTCTATTACATGGTCCAATTGTGCGTCAGTGGTCTGCCCACTATTCAGCACATGGTACGCATTCTCGTTCCTCAGTCCGAGACTGAATAAATCTGGCTCCCCAACGATAAAATTCAAGTACTGGTCGTAAAATTGGGCGATGCTTTCCGAAGTTCCAGCTTCCGCCGTTTGCCTAGCAAAGTCTTCGAGGAGTGGCCGAGGTATCGAGGAGAGGAAGTTGATATACGCCGGGGAATATAGTCCGCGGGAGAGGTCTGTCGTGATGGCTTGTAGATTAGAGGGTGTGGGCTCGACTAGATATAGCACTGGAACATCTGGTATGGGGTGTCGATTGGAAGCAATGTGCCTGGCATGGTCAACACTGCTTTGCGACGAACGCTTCAACAGATTCCATGTTGCGAACCTACATGTGCATCGTGACCCCCCATGTCCGTAGGTCGTTGACTCTTAGGACGCTGCTAATTACATCTCTTCCAAGGTCGTCGAAGACCAAGACTTTCCAGATTGGGTCTCCATCTGAGTTGAGGAGGGGCGCAGAAGGTATTGCAAGCCCATTCGTGTTCTGGTCGTGGGCGTTTTCTGGTTCTTCAGATTCGTGATTCAGGTTGAGCATGCGCTCAATCGATCCTATCACTCAAATTAGCTACAAATAGCTGTGAGCGTACTTTGAGAGCCTACTGATCTGACGGTCCCGGAGAGAAGTGTGGCTTGAAGCCATGATTGACGGAGGAGCTGTAGAGGGCTGCAAACAGCCAGTACAAGATTATCGCGGCATGTAATATAGATCAATGATGGCGGGTCAAGTCAATGTTTCAGGCAGAAGCTCCACGAAGTATAGGACAGATGTGTTCTAGATGCGAACATCAGAATTCACGATTCCATGTGGTTGCCCAACTAAGATGTTCCCAGGCGCGTTACCGGTAAGGGCTTAGCGCGACAGAGCACTGGCCGGTGGCTGTTCCCTTGTTTTCCACGACCGCAATTCCTTTCTCCTTCATTGCAACGACACGTCAACCAACTTCCATTGCCAACGCCTTCATTCCCCTTCTTTGGTCATCCTGACCGCAACCTTAATACACATACAATGAGCGTACATTTGAACTGAACTAGTGAATCGGGATTAAGAGCTGCTGCGGCTCGTGGAGGACTGCGTATGAACAAAAGGGTATGGTGACACCGCGATACTTCATTTTTGCTCGTCTGCCCGCCCTTGAAGGCGGCAACAACATCAACCTCCCAGTCCAGGAAGTGCGGGATCTCGCGCTTAAGATACATACAACCTGCTAGACCTAAACTGGTGCTGCTGCTTCGGCTGTCCAAGCAGATTTGATTTGGAGACAGGCACAGTACAGAACAGATACAGTCCAGATATACAACCCCTGAACACTACAGACACAGTGCAGAACGCGCGATAAAGCAGTCTGTCTTCTTGTGGTCGAATTGAAGTACAATCACGCTGGCATTTTACCCGATTCTGCTGCCCTGTTGTGAATGCAGGAGGAGGTGGCGTTGGCTTCCAAGGCGCTCTCTCAAATCCGGCATTCATCACACATATCAGAGGATACACTTTGGGGCCACTCAAAGCTGACAGGAACAAACTCATCAAAGCAAGCAAAGGCAACGGCGGCGGACGACACGGGTGGGAGTGTAACACGAGTCCTGGTCTGCTTCTGCTTTGCGCTCTGTTTGTTTTGGCGTGCATCTTCCTACCGCATACATTTTCATTCCTTGTCCGCGGTTGCGTCTGGTGGTCGAGTCGGCAACCGGAATCACCCCAGGCACTTTGTCTGAAAGCGTCAACATCCTCGGTCGAAGGCTGATCAATTTGTTCGTTTAGTAAACCAATCACAATCAAGAAACCACCACCAAACTACGATAAAGACCCACCCTCCTTCTTTTATCCACACCCTCTCAGCTCTCCACCTCGAATAGTCGGACTTCTAAATATTAATCCCGTCCACTTGTCAGACCCATCACGTGATAGTTCAAACATACACCACGGGTCCATTGCTCAGTCGACGCGATGGATGGGGACACTGGATATGGATATATCCCTGGGGATCAGACCTACGATGATCTGATCAACAATGGAGTCTGGCCTGGCGCTGGTGACCAGTTTCTGTACGGGCAACCTCAGCAACAGCAACAGCAACAAACCCATCAACCCCAGGACCTGTATGCGAGCTTTGGCAATAGCCAACCGCAACAGCAATCCAGCTTTGCAAACACTGAGATATCTATGCAACACCAACAACAACCATACACATCGTCTCCATACACGTCGCAATATGTGTCTCAATACCAACAGAATCATCGACCGTCGGCATTCTTTGGGGCAACCGGTACCAATGTGGATCCATCCATACAGACTTCTTCAGCATCCCCATATCGCTCTGGTCAGGATACTGCTTTCACATCCCAACAATCCGTGTCTCCGCAATATTTACAGTATGGATTGTCAACACAGCACCAGCCCGTTAATCGCGGAGTTCAGCAGCAACTGTTCCAACAGCAACAACAGCGTCAGCAGTCCCAGTCCCAGACGAAGCCCATTACCAACACTTTTGACCAGAGATCTCATGACCCGTCTGCTTTGTACTTCAATAATCTTGATAATGGGAATTTGCAACATAATGTCAGCAATCAGGTTCATTATCCTGCGTTGCCAGCTGAAAGACAGAATAATGACTTTAGATCTACTGTCAATCCCATCAACGTGAGCAATAATAGCCAGATCCAGAATGTTCAGCGGCATGCAAATTCTGCTTCACCTCTGAATGTTCCCCTGCACCAGCAAAGTAGACAGAGTCAGCCACAGCGGAACTCGTTGAGAATACTAGATCCTGAACTGTTAAAGGCTGCGGAAGGGGACGCTGCTCGTCACCCGTTGGCGCATGCTCCATTCTTGACTTTCGAAACCACTCCAGTACAAATCACCCTCACTCTGAAGAGTAAGTTCCCATGTTCTAGCTCCGATGAGGAGGCCGCGCGTGCCCGTGAATTTCCAATTTTAGCTAACCGGTTCCATAGATACTGTCCCAAAGTATCACCCACGGAAATCAAGAAGCGGAAAGGAGCTTGTTCCAGGGTTTGATAGTTCACGTAAGTTTGTCCATATAAATCCCCGCTTTAACAATCAAACTTTTTCTAAATCACGTCTAGAATCTCTGATACCCGGTCGTGTTTCAGTCAAAAAGGAGCGACAGCCAAAAGCGGCGAAACCTCCTACACCCAAGTGGAAAGGAACAAGTTTTGGAGCTAAAATATTAGTTGGAAAACCCAGTACGTCCCGTGAAGATGGGACAGGAAGCACTTCACGCGGACCAGCTACACCCACCGAAACAAGCTCTTCCGAAGAGGAATCTAGCTCCGAAGAAGAGTCTGAGTATGAGGATGAAATTACCTTGAAGGATGTTAGTGAGGTATGTATAACATTTCTTTTTGCTAGAGGCGGCCAGCTTGGGTATCTGGATGGCGATCTGGTTGTATTGCCCATGCTTTTTCCTACACCCTTTTGTGGCTCAAGTAGATACCGTATGCTGACAATTTTAGATACGAGGACCGATTCGACCATCTTCCGTGCCTTCTGCTGCTCGCTGGGACGTGATTGGGATCATATGGAAAGATCCGAATTCTAGCCCCAGTAGTGATGCGGTCAAGTCAGCTATGGAAGAATATGGTAATTACATAATTGGATTGCGCACCAAAATCAAATCGAATAAGGAGGCAATCGCCGCACGGCCAAAAGATTCTGCTCTCACAGCTGATCGAACGCAATTACTTGAAGCTCTCTACCAAGCAGTGGCAGCCGCTAATGAGTTGGGATATGATGGGATCGTTGAAAATTTGGGCGGGCATCTAAGATTTGTAAACGGGCTGACTACAACCTTGATCGAGTGCATTAAGGCGGAAGATTTCCTAGGAAAGCTTCCTAGAGCGGTCTTTACATTACTTGCAAAATTTCAAACAATGACTGATGAAGTGTTGAAAAAACTCAAGTTTGAGAGTATAACAAAACGTTGGATCAAAAAAGGAGATCCACAAATTAATAAGGATATTTCCACTATTCTTGCGAACACCATTGACGCGAAAGAGCGTGCCAAGAAGGGGGAAAAAGACGCTGCAAAGCTTGCCTCACAGAAGAATACACTCGAAAAAATCACACAGACGAAATTACGTACAGTAGATGCCAATAAATCATCTGTTGTCAGTCCAGCAAAACGACCACACGAAGGAGATGCCGCCAACGGAAAGCCCAATAAGAAATTCGCATCCGATGCTTCTGGTACGCCAGTTGTCAAACCTGCAATGCCAAAAAGAGCAAATTTGCTTGGAATCGCTTCAAAGCCAATGGTCAAGGTAGCTCCTCCGAAGAAACGCGAGCCTTCTCCGCCTGCAGCGTCAAGACTTGGTGCTCTTCTTGCTAGTATTGCAGAACCAGCAAAACCTCCAAAAGCGGTTGAGGCCCCAATTCGACCACCTGAGACACCAGAAGAAAAGGCGCGACGTGAAAGAAAGGAGAGTAGACGACATTTGAGAGTGAAGTTCAAGGAGGGGTCAGATCTGGAGGAGATTAGAGAATTTACCCACGAAGCAGCGGAAGATGAGGGCCGTCAACACGACATGTTGAAAGATGCTCATGATGATCGTAGCGAGGGTATGATGCACAAGAGACGGGTAGCCGAGGATATTGACGATGATGACGATACGCAACCTGGTGACTTCGAGGATCGGACATATCGAGACCTCATCGAAATCGATTTCAGTCAGATGGATATGAAGACTGCATTCGGAGAAAAGTATATCACCCGAGGTGGAAACCTGACATTCAAGACACCGGAACAGGAGGCACAAGCATTACGAGAGGCCCATGAGATTATGGCTATTTACACTAGCGATGATGACATTCCACCAACACCAAAGGAACCACCTCCACTTGCCCTGGCCCAAGTTGACGGAGCTGCGGAAACTAAACTCGTGGCGGCACTCAAAGAGCCTACAGAAGCATGGTTATTGCAAAGACTTAATGAGGTTAAGCAGTATGGCCCAGAATACGCTACACAGGTCTTTGTCCGCCGTTTGGAAGAGCAGCGGTCTGCAGCCAGCCGAGCGCGCGGTATTGCTCAAACGTTCAGCGCCCCACAACCTCCGACAGCCCACGTTGCAAAACCACAGCCGCCTACCATGGACGTGGCTGCCTATCAAGAGCTTCTTCGTATCGTTGCATTACTGCAAGGCAAGCCATACCCGGCAACAGAGCCTCCAGAATGGATGACCAATCAATCGCAAAGGACTATCTGGTGGGAAGGATACAACAGAGACAATGTTGGGAAGCCCCAAGCTGTACCCGTTCCAATCGAACAACCACATTATGCACCACCGCAACCTACCCAAGCACAACCAGTGCAAGCTCAAGCACCCATGCATCAGCCACAGGTATATCAACCACCACCACCCCTTCCACCGCCTGCCAACGTACCTCTTCCTACGACATCCTCTGACATCGGCGCCCAAATTCAACAAATGATGGCGAGCTATAACGGCAATAATGCTGCACCAGCTGCCCAGCCATACGACCAAGCAGCACTAATGGCAGCTTATTACCAAGCTCAACAGCAACAAGCGCCCATCCCTCCCCCACCACCACCTCCTCCCCAAAGATGGGAGGGTTCAGGCTGGGATGACCAGCCTTCCGAAACAAAGAATCATAAAGGCAAACGTGGCTACGAAATGAAGGAGTGGGGAGGAAGCAACAAAAACGACTCCCCGTTCGATGAAAACGGGGAGTACAAGGGGAAGAAGAAACCATGTCGTTTCTTCCGCGAGGGCAAATGTGCCAAGGGTGCTAAATGCACTTATCTACATGATTGAGCCTAACGCGGAAAATTATTGTTCTGATTATACCGCCAACGACGTAGCTTTCAGCTCAAGAGTCGCTTATCTCCTATGTTTGGCGCTTGGGAGGACGCGATACCCTTAAAAACAAAACTTTTTCTTTGAGTCGTAAATGCATAAGTAGGGACTTTCTTGTAACATGTATACCTTGAGCTTGAAGAGGGGTGCGGTGCCGAGTTATTTTGCTTTCAGGCGTTACATACATTGCATTATTGGTGGATAGCGTGGAGGGGGTCGTTGCATTTACTTTTTTTTTTTGATGCGTTGGTTTTTTGGAGGGGAGTGGGGAAGGATGTATGATAGAGTGTGTGGTATGAGGGGGTGTTTTTGTTGGGATGGGGAGAGATGGTTTAGGGAGTTTGGATAGATGATGGGGAGAAAGCAGGATAGGGGGATGGGAGAGAGATGAGGGGATTAAGGAGCGTGATGTTTGTATTTTAGATACCTGCTAAGAAAGAGGTGAGGAATAAGTAATGAAGAAAGAGTGTTACTTTATACATTGTGTTTGTTTTGGAAAAAAATGTAAGAGCTGGTTGTGATATGTGATTAAAACAAAGAGCCTTTAAAATTGTTGGAGGACTTAACCCAAGCGACAATATCCAAATTTCATCTCTCATTTCCTGTTTCTCTTCTCCACCTCTGAACATGTAGTGTCTCGAGCATGAACATAAATCATTTCTTAATTTTAATAAACTATATTTGCTTTAATTTTTAAAACTACTCAAGCTCATCCACGTACCCATAAATTTCATCTCTCATCTCCGCGCTTCAATATCCCATTCCGAATTCTCAACATCTAATATCCGATGGTAGTGAAAAAGACCTTGTGATTTGCATAAATCACATTGCTAATTCCACCACCTGATTTAAGCTAAGAGTCACCATCATTAATTTCATCTCTCATTTCCTCATTCTCGTTCCAATTTTCTCATTTCATTTTCATTCCCATTTCCTCATTTCTACTCTCATCTCTCATAACCCATCCCCATCTCAACCCCTAATACCTCGCCTTAACAGGCGGCAAATAATTCAGCGCCGTCGGATTTGGTGGCGGAATTTTCGTAACCCGACTCTTCGAAACCGAGATCTCACTCAAAGTCTCACACACGAACCTCAAAACGTCCTTCACCATCCCTTCGCTAAAAGCATGTCCCACCCCCGCATAAATATTATCCTCCAAATACACGCCCCCCTCCTCCCACCACCCTCCCTTCCCCGTCGCCGCCTTCAAGAACGACAGGAATGGCTCACTGCAGCGGTATGGAACGAGCTTATCGTCACCGCCTGAACATACTAAGATGCGTTTTTGGGCGATCTTCGAGGTCAGGAGCTGGCGGATGTGCGGCGAGGAGGCGCCTTGATAGGGGATTAAAGAGGAGGGGGTGGAGGGCGGGATGGGATTTGTGCCGAAGAGAATGGCTTTGGGGTCGTAGAGGGTGGCGGCTGTTATGAGGGGGTTGGGGAAGTCGGGACTGCCTAGGAAGGAGGGCCCTGCTGTGGGGAGTTTGGAGAGGCGGGCGCGGTCGCTCATGAGAAACATGTAGTCTGGACAGCCGATTATACTAATAGCCGCGTGAACGCGAGGGTCGGCGAAGAGGACTTGCCACGCGGAGTGGCCGCCTAGGGAGACTCCCAAGATAATGTGATTGAGAATCTGAGGTGAAGAGGGTGTGTTGAAGATGTATGAGCCTAGATGGTCGATTAAAAGACTCGTGTCTAGGGCTGTGCCATGAAGGATACTGTAATGGTATTAGTATCAGTTTTGATATTATCACGTGAGAAGGTAATACCTGAACATATCCTGAGCATGAGTTTTATTTCCTTCTCGCCATGCTCCATTTGCAGCTTCATTTGCCATTCTTGTCCCATGATTTCTCTGGTCGAAGGACACCCCTATCAACCCTACTTTATTGTCGGTTGAGGGTTGCATGTTCCATTCCCCGATGCAGGAGGCTGCTGTGCTTTCCATTGATTCTTTGGTTTTTAGACGCGGATGGAGAAGCCAGAGACATGATATCGATTTGCAGTTTGCTGGGATTTCTTCAAGTCCGTATACGTCTGTGAGGATTCCGGCTATGTGGAAGGTCTTCTTTGAGACTTTTTGAGGTGGGTTGGGGTGGGAATCTGAGAGTGGGTTGGGAGTCGCCATGATGTTAGGATGGCTTCAATAATTCCTTTCTCCTGTTGGAGAAGTTTTCAACTTTTTGGATGAAAATCTCTTATTCGAGGTTGTTGAATGTGAAAACTAGATCCACATATAATTTGAAATGGGGAGATGGAGTAGTTATGGGGTAGTCGGGCTATTCGGGCATGTCGGGATGATTCTCGGGAAGCTCTACCGAGGCTTTCTATGCATGTAAAAGCAGCATGTCCAGATTGGAACACGCACGTGAACTGTGTTTGAACCTTGGAAACCATGGCCAAGATCTTACTACGTGTTAGTGTTTAAGTGATCAGGAAGAGTTGAGTGCGCTGTTTACACATATCCGTGGGTATTTTCGCTCATCGAATAATCTATTGAGAGCCATTTGTTTAAGCATTTATCTCTCCTTCTGTGATACAAAATTGACCGGCTACCTGGTCCTCAACTTCTGGTAGCGCAACGTCACTGATTAAGCTCCGGACAAGGGGCATGAACACGGATCTCAAGGGTCTCCGGGAAATTAATCTCTATCTTACTGTAGAAGAAACATAACTACAGTAGTCAGCTCGACGTGAGACTTAGTTCAATTTTATTCGGGATCATAACCACTTCAACTTTCACCTTCACAATTGCTCTACTATCAGCCTGCCTTCGCTCATTTGTCGCTTCGCCAGTTGTGTACGGTCAGTCGTTCGACAACAGCATCCCAGAACGCCAATCGCGAAATTCTTCCTCACACTTTCGTGCAGACCGTATCTGCTGTGCGCCTAGATATACTTCGAATCATATCCAGGACCATGATCGCTTCGCAAGAGCTGTAGGAACACAAGATTCGGTCCTCTAGGACCACTGCGCTGCCGGCCGTCGCAAAGGAGAAGAAGGGAAAGTGTCCAACGTTGTTCAGGGAAGACGGACGACACGAGAATGGCACAACAAAATGGGAGGGTTATCTCACCGACTGCGAGAAGTCGCTCACCATCACCTGTCAATCATACACATACGAATGGCTCCCCAGTCGTGCGACACCCCGAATCGCAGCTAGCAGTCGGCTTGGATGGGACTTCTGATAGTAAAGAGCCCTCGCAACCTCTCACAGCCATCAACGGCAATGTCAGCAGATCTCCGGGCGAAGCCGCAGATTACTTCAATGGGGATGTTCCACACGACAATTCGAAACCAGCTGCTTCTTCTCAAAAGCCATCGGCGCTGCGTCCGCCGCCATCTCTCAATGATGCTGCATCTCCTGGTGGAGCAGGCTCTTTAACCCCTCCTGGGCGAAGGAGCGTTCAGTTCGCAAGGTCAGATACATGGCAAGAAAATACAGGACATGCCAGACAGAATTCTTGGGCTGGAGGGGCGATGGACGATGGCGATGGAGTCGGAGGACCTAAGTCGGGAAGATCTTTGATGTCAAAGTTGAAATCGCTGGCATCTTCCGGGGCATTGCAAACGCACAGTAGGAATCAAAGCGCTGCAGCAAATTCCGTGAGCGAAGAGACTCCAGCAGGTTCGGCCAACTTGACACCTGCATTCGAAAGAAATTATCGGTTCCCCAATTCCCTACCAGAAGAGGGCAGTGATGCAGACGCGGAAGAGACTGCAGATGAAGAAGGTTCGGCTGATGCGACAAGACCAAAGAAAAAACGGCGGATTCGAAGACCAATGCAAAGCCAAAGTATGAGCCATACAGCACCGAACACTCCGAGAAATAGGGTAATGGGACAAGCAGATTCTCCGAGCGGTAACAGCAGGCCATTTATGTTTAGTCGCCGCGCTACAGATGGGTCTCTTGAACAACGTGGCGGTTTGTCCGAAGGGGAGGGCAGAGATAGAATGAACGGAGGCTCTAGTGCTTGGAGGCGTGGAAGTGCTTGGATGACTGGAGGGCGAGGATCGATCCAGGATCCTGATAGCGCACCAACTACACCGAGGAGACCAAGTAATTTTAGACGTGCCATGACGAATCTTGGTGGGCAAAGCGATGGAGATGCAAATACTCCTAGACGACCATTCCTAGGAGCCGAACGCGCAACTACATTTGGAGCTCAGCGATGGCGGATGATTAAGCATGGATTGAAGCTTTTAGGCCAGAAGAAAGAAGAGCACAAGGTTGATTATCTCAAATCAGCGGAGTTGATGGCAGAACTTCGTGCTGGAGCCCCAGCAGCATTGATGTTGGCTAGCATGATTCAAAGGGACGAGCACGGCAACAAAAGGATACCGGTCCTCCTTGAACAACTAAAACTTCAAATCACAGATAGTAGGCCAAGTGATGACGATCCAGGTGAAAATGAGCGCCATCTAGTCTTTAGAATTGAACTTGAATATGGAAGTGGTCTAAATAGGATGAAATGGATCATCCATCGATCTTTAAGAGATTTCGCGAACCTTCACTTGAGATATAAAATTCAAGCTAGTAGCGACAAGTACATCCAGCTGCGAAGCGACGTCGACGCAAGGCCTAAGCAACCTCGGTTCCCTAAATCAGCTTTCCCTTATTTCCGTGGAGTTCGTGGCTTAGGCGACAGTAGTGAAGAGGAGCCAGACCAAATCCGTGCTGATGAGACCGTGGGCGAGGCAACGCACAGTGAGACTGAGAGGAAAGCGAAAAAGAAGCGAAGGCCATCATTGACTGCTACGGGCAAGAAGAAGTCGAGTTTTTTCAGCCCTGGAGGACTCGGGCTTGCTGCTGGCGGCGGCGATGAGACACCAGGCGGAGCATCGGCCAGTGCCCAAGCTCGTTTATATAACGAGAGGCAGCGAAGACGTCTCGAACAATACTTACAGGAAATGATTCGATGGCTGATTTTCAGAGCTGATAGCAATCGCCTGTGCAGATTTCTAGAGCTCTCTGCAATGGGAATTCGATTGGCGGCTGAAGGCAGCTACCATGGTAAAGAAGGCTTTCTGGTCATTCAGTCTTCTAAGGGATTAGACTTTAGAAGATTGCTTACTCCACATAACGTCTTTTCTCGTCATTCGCCCAAGTGGTTCCTTGTACGACACAGTTACATTGTTTGTGTTGACTCGCCAGAGAATATGCATATTTACGATGTACAGTTGGTAGACTCAAAATTCGAGATTCAGAAGAAACGCCGCAAATTGAAAGAAGTCTCGGGGAAAGAGCTCGTCTCCAGGGCAGGGGCATCGGCAAAGCATCCACAGCATCACAGTTTGAAGATACAGAACTCGGAGCGCAGGATCAAACTACTTGCCAAAAACGAGCGTCAATTGAGGCAGTTTGAAGAGTCCATGACATTCATGTTGGAAAATACACCATGGTCAAAGCCAAACCGATTCGGCAGTTTCGCACCAGTTCGTACTGGCGTGTACGCTCAATGGTTAGTGGATGGTCGGGATTATATGTGGAACGTGTCTCGAGCTATCAACATGGCCAAAGACGTGATCTATATTCATGACTGGTGGTTAAGTCCTCAACTTTATATGCGAAGACCAGCTGCTATCAGTCAAAAGTGGCGTCTAGACAGACTTCTCCAAAAGAAAGCACGAGAAGGTGTCAAGGTTTTCATTATCATCTATCGAAATGTTGAAGCTGCGATCCCTATCGATTCACAGTTTACAAAATTCTCGATGCTTGACTTGCATCCCAACGTATTTGTCCAGCGATCGCCGAATCAGTACAAAAAGAACCAATTTTTTTTTGCTCACCACGAAAAGCTTTGCATTGTTGATCATACAGTAGCATTTGTTGGTGGTATTGATTTATGTTTTGGCCGTTGGGATACTCCACAGCATTCTGTTGTGGATGACAAGCCTACTGGATTCGAGCAATCCGATCTTCCCAAAGATGCTGATCACTGTCAGTCATGGCCCGGAAAAGATTACTCCAATCCTCGAGTGCAAGATTTCTATCAATTGAATGAGCCGTACGCTGAAATGTATGATCGGTCAAAAGTTCCTAGAATGCCATGGCATGACATATCCATGCAGGTAGTTGGTCAACCAGCCAGAGATCTTACACGTCATTTTGTTCAAAGATGGAATTATGTACTTCGAGGTCGAAAACCAACAAGACCCACGCCATTTCTCCTTCCTCCACCAGACTACAATGCTGCTGATCTCGAGGCTCTCGGACTCAGTGGAACCTGCGAAGTACAAATGCTACGATCAGCGTCAGACTGGTCTCTTGGTCTTACCGATACTGAACACAGTATCATGACCGCTTATTGCAAGATGATTGAAGAATCGGAGCATTTCGTCTATATGGAGAACCAGTTCTTCATCACCAGCTGCGAAACTATGAATGTCAAAATTGTCAACAAGATCGGTGATGCCATTGTCGAGCGTGCAATCCGTGCTTACCAGAACGGAGAAAGTTGGAAGTGTGTCATTTTGATTCCTCTGATGCCCGGCTTTCAGAATACCGTCGACGAACCTGAAGGTACGAGTGTGCGGTTGATCATGCAGTGTCAATTTCGAAGCATATGCCGTGGGGAAGGCTCTATCTTCGGACGTCTTCGATCACAGGGCATTGAACCAGAGGACTACGTGCAATTTTACAGTCTCAGAAGCTGGGGTAAAATTGGACCCAAGAAAGCTCTGGTTACGGAACAGCTTTACATTCACGCAAAGTGCATCATTGTGGACGATAGGACTGCATTGATTGGATCAGCGAATATCAATGAGAGATCTATGCTAGGAAACAGAGACTCTGAGACTGCGGCTGTGGTTCGAGATACTGATATGATCTCGTCGACCATGGACGGAAAGCCATATATGGTAGGTCGCTTTGCACATACTTTGCGCATGCGTCTTATGAGAGAGCATCTTGGACTTGATGTTGATGATATTATGGAAGAGGAACGAAGGGCAGAGCTGGACAAGGAAGAAGATGAGTACGAAGCTAAGATGAACAACATTTATGGTGATCATAGCGAATCCGAAACTGAACGACCCCGTACTGGTGAAATACGGCCAGTAGAGCAGATAAATGCAGAACGTATACTCGAGCACGAACACATACACAGCTTCAACCATGATGCGGACTGGGAAGCGGAAAAGAACCCTAATATTCAGCCCAACAAATTCAAATCTCTGACGACCGATGCCCGGATTATTGACAATAAAGAACATGCTGCCGATGTAGATGGAAAGGGCCCCGATCATATGCTAGCCGCAGAAGCCTCTGGCACTGCGCGTGGACGAGATTCTATCCTAGTTGAGGGTGGCCGAGAAGTTTTGGTGTCTGACATTGCACCAGAAGGTCATGGCACAGTTACCCATCCCATAAAGCATCGCTCCAAGCGTTCGCCACATCGTCACAGCTCCATAACAAGTGGCACGAGTTCCGACATGCTTCCGCCAATGCCACAACTTCCCCGAAGGACTACTGAGCAAATGGGTCTTCCTCAATTATCTCAACTTCCCGCTCTACCGCTCACGGATGACCGCGATATTGGTGGACCACCTGTCTTCTTTGACGAGTCAGGCAATGCCGGGCCGAGGCCATTCAATCCACTTACAGCTGATATCATTCCAGCTCATATTCACAAAGACTGCATGCGTGATCCTTTGGACGATACATTCTTTGAAGATACCTGGAGGTTGATTGCCGAAAATAATACCAAGATCTTCCGGCGCGTATTCAGGTGCAATCCTGATAGCGAGGTCACAAATTGGCACGAATACACTGAATACGTTGCTTATGCAGAGCGATTCTCACAAGCTCAATATGGCAATAAAAGCACAGATCGAGAAGGTCAAGAGGCAGCAGGGAGAAGTGGTCCTCCTGGGGTTTCCATCACTTCACCTGGCCCTACTGCCGTTGGAGCTGGGATTAGCAATCTGTCAGAAAAGTTGAAGCCTCACCGTGGAAGCGAAACCCATAATCCAATGGGTTCCGTGGCTGAATGGGCTGAAAATGCAGAAAAGGCTTCAAGAAATCGTACGGGCACCAATGTGTCTCAGGGCACAACTGCGTCGAACAATACTACGAGGTCTCGTAACCCTGCGCTTGACGGTCAGCTCGATGGGATAGATGAGAAGGAAGCCATGCATAGAGGATCAGAAGAAACCTCATCAGCAGGCCAACCAGCCGGAGATGAAGTTTTCCCCTCTTTCGAAGCAACTCTCAACCCACCAACAGACAACGAGAAAGTCCCTGAAACAACCGGTAACGCCCCTCGAAAAGCAACATTCACCGAATCAGCACCACCAGCACGTTCAGGTACAAACGGCGTCTCAAACCAAGGTACTATGAGAAGACGTCGTCGTGCCACGAGCAAAGCCAGTCGAAGAGGATTCTCTGCCGCCGACGACCTCATGAGTATCGCTGACGCGGAAGAGCTTTTGAGTATGGTGCAAGGTCATCTAGTGCTGTTTCCTTATGACTGGCTCATTAAAGAGGAATTGAATTCAAACTGGCTGTACCAGGTGGATCAGGTTGCACCTTTGCAGATCTAGTAAGTTCACACCTATGAACTGATTGAGAAAAGAGGATGTGCTAACATGATATCTAGTGATTAAGCGTTTAGCGGGCGCACTGTTGGTGCCTTTGTACATTTGTTGTTCCGATTAAGAGGGAGGTTCACGGAGCATTACACCAAATTCCTCGGGACAGATGGCGTTTGACTTATTACAAGCCACATACAGAATTTTTTATTTTTAACACTTTATTCTATTTTAGCATATGCACAGCGTGGCGGACATCATGGGAGCCTTTTTTGTTTTCTTGAAATTGTCGTTTTTTCAGAAGATTTGTAATCAAAGAGCCGAAGAACGGAAGACATATATTTTCAATTCCATATTATTTTATTGGTGTATTTTTACAAGTATGATTATACACGCTCACTTACCCAAATCGCTCCACGACATCCAGCTCTTATAACTCCTGTGAGTAGCTCATGAGGTACAGCTTTCTGCGCATCATTCTCCACCGCATGATCCAAATGCTCCAACTCCTCATCTCTAATCTTTCTTATACTATCCACCAACTCCCGCAAATCCTCACCTACTTCCTGCCCTTTACTCTCCATACTATCAATCATATCCAACAGCACTCGCACTTGCCCATTATAATGGCCGCCTATCTCCGTCTCTACGGCCTCGGTACACGCCATCGCTGCTTCTCGTCCCATTATTGCGGTTCCCCACCCCAAGGCTGTCGCGGCCACGCTCCAGAGAGGATACATTGCTGTCGGACGAATACGGTGTTTGGCCAGCAGCCCGTTGAAGGTCTTAAAGTGTCCTGCTTCTTGCTCGTACATGTGCGCCATTAGAGGCCGGAGATGCGGGTGGGAGGCTACTATTGGGGGGGTTTGCGCCGTGTAGATTAGGGTTGCGGCGAGTTCGCCGGCTTGGTTGACGCGGAGCTGGAGTGGGCGTTAGTAAGATATTGACGAATGTTATAGCTTGGGAAATATGTTTCTATGTTCCAGCTCAAGAGGCGAAGTACTCACTGCGCTAGTTAGAAAGTCCCGTTGCGCCTGCGTCAATGGCTTTGAAGGTGGTGCCGTATTTGTAGCCGCTTCAGGTCCGGCCTTAGGCGTTCGATGCGGTTGCGACAGAGGGGGTTTGGAAGATTCATTGTGAGTAGTTGCGGATAGTGTTCGAGGGGTAGTTGAGAAATGCTTCCTCGTTCGAGGTGTAATGATGAGACTTGGTGCAAGAAAATCGTAGAGAGGTGTTTGGAGAGATGCTCGGGTTGAGCGTGAGCCGATTGAAAGCTTCATCGTGGAGCAAATTTAATTGAAGTTTGATATTATTGTACAGAGAACTGAAGGATGAGGTTGCAGATGTGAACAATAGGAAGCATGACGCTATCAATTCCATGTGCAGGAACATCGGAGCATAAGGCGCCGATAACGCGCTAGTATTTTCCGCTAGCCGATTGAGGCTGGCTACTCATGTCTGGCCTCCTTTAGAACCAAGATATTACGTCGAAATTAGACTATCCATCGACAACTCTTACTCATCTTCTCAAAATCTATAAGAAGTCTTTCCGCGACATACTCAACGAACTTCTAGCTTCAACCTTGACGAACAGTCGTCGCTGCACCATAAATTTCCTCCCAACCGTGCCATCTACGCAAACGAGCTTTCAACTAAATATTTCTGCTCAAACGAAGCAATTCGCATATACTACAGATATACAGCTGTCCAAATACTCACTTTCAGCTGTTGCATAATACAAATCAATCACCATGGCCGATATTGATGATGAACTCCTCGCCCTCGCCGGTGACGCTTCCTCAGACGAAGAGGATCAGGAAGTTCAGGACATTAGCAGAGACAACTCAGCATCACCCGATCGTCGCGCATCTGGCAAAAGGGGCGCCAAGAAGGGCACTGGTCGAAAGCCTAAACGCCGTAATGATGATTCGGAGGAGGAAGGTGAAGCGTGAGTCCCACCTGCTTCTTGAGTTTAGAATTCATACCCGGCGGGGGGTGTATTTTTGGGAGACGCTTCTCTTCTTCTGTTCCACATCAATTATCATTATACACTTTAGCTTGTGCAAGATTATGTTTTGGTGCTTACTATTCGACAGGTCCTCCGGCGCTTCATCGCCGAACTCTTTACAATCGGCACCTATGGAGGAATCGGACTCGGATTCAGACGGTGCTCCAGAAATCGACGACGATGGCGAGAGGTACACACTTGAAGGCAAATTTATAGACGCGGACGACAAGGCAAAAATAATGGCTATGCCTGAAATCAAAAGGGAGGAGATTCTCGCAGAACGTGCTGCTCAAGCAGAAAAAAGCCAACAGAACCGAGCCTTGCGATTGTTGTTGAAAAGCCGCGACAAAGATTTGCTGAGGGATAAAAAGCGCAAAGCAGGAGCCGCAGATTTGGATGGCGACCAACGGAAGACGTCTCGACAAAGGACGAAGCTTGGAGGGGGAAAGGTTGGAGAAGCGAGCACCGGCATTGACAGTTTGAAGCGCGCAAGAGCTGAAAAGAACGACCGCCAACGCCGCCGAGACGAAGATAAGGAGCGGGGCGGTGGCAGTCGTAGACCTACGCAAGACGATTATTCTGAAGAAGAGGAAGACGAAGATCTTGTTTGGGATGAGGGAAAGACAAAGAGTAAGAAGAGAAGCCCATCGCCCGATTACAAGAATAAGGAACCTGCAACACTCCAGGATTTTGAACGCGTGAGAGTTGGTCGGAGCAGATTTGCATTGGTATGCTTCTATCCTGGTTTTGAAGAAGCTATTGGTGGATGTTATTCGCGAATCAGCATCGGTGTCGACCCCCAAAATGGTCAAAATATTTATAGGATGGCTTTGATAAAAGGTATGTTCATCGGTTGAAGATCAAAACGCCTACTGACATTTGAAAAGGCTTTACGGAAGACAGACCATATGCAATGGAAACTGAGAATGGCAAAAAATTCCAAACAACACAGTATATCAAAGCTGCGCATGGAAAAGCGGAAAAGACTTGGCCATTCATTACTTGCTCGGACTCTCCTTTCACAGAGGTTTGTGTCACCATATGGTTGAAAATTCATTCCGCTCACGTATCATAGGCCGAATTCAGACGCTACAAGCAGACATGTCTTGTTGAAGGAATCGCACTCCCAACGAAGGCGAAGCTCATGCAAAAGATTGATGACATTAACGCTTTAGTAAACAGATCATGGACTGAAGCAGAACTTCATGTCAAGTTGACCAAATCAGGAGCTCTCATCAACAAATTCGTACCCATTGAGCGAAAAAGGCTAGGTAATCTCGTCAAAGAAGCTAAGGCGCAAGGCGACACAGAAGCTGCAGCGAGGTTTCAAACAGAGCTCGATGCACTTGATGGCCCAAAGCTAGCCTACAGCACATCAATGCAACCATCTCCGAAGAAGGGCAAACCGGGAGTCCTCACCCAGCAAGAAAGACTGGCAGAGTTGAATCGCTTGCATCGACGAGAAAATGCCGAGAAAGTCCGTCAGGCTCAGATAGCCGAAAGGAAAAAGGTCAAAGATGAGCGGGAAAAGATTGCTCGCGGTGAAGATGTCACTGAAGACACCTCTCGGAGGGTCAAGACTGTAGCGAAATTCAAGCATGATGTTGCTGACGCGTATGTCAAGAAAACTGACAGCGACGCAAGCGGTGCCAATACGCCTTCCGGGACTCCAAAGCTCGGGGCGAAGAAAGGTTCTGCGCTTCCACATCTTGCTAAAATGCAAGCGGAGCAGAATGGCAAGAAGGGACTGCCCACCATCAGGAGACCGATTATGGACGACGACATCATTGGAGCAATCGATCTGGGCATAGATCTTGAACTGTGAGGATGACAGTCCTCACTTGCAGTTTGAAGAGGCCGTCCGAGGGAGATCTTCAGCATCTCCTAACCAACGACCCTTGGTGTTTTCTGGTGAAAATTGGCGATCATCATTCAGAAAGGCCGGTCTAGATGGCACGAAAAAGGCGTACTTGAGAATCAATATAGAGATCTTCCTCGCATCACACGCCGCATACTCTTTCGTAATCGTGAACTCTTACCTTCAAAGGAAGGCAGCAGATCTCGTGAGGCAGATCGAAGGCTTTGACGTGAATATTGATTATTGCACCTTTTGTCACACAACTTCAAAGCCGTCATCTTCAGTCATGCTTAGTGCATATAAGCATATATCGCGCACCGGTGGGCGTTGACGGGCCGTATCGGATAGATTACGCGGTGCTGTAGGTTTGGCCGTTGGAGATCGTGATGGAAGGATTCTCTTCCTGGATCTGTCGACCCTGACGTGCGCGCGTGTAACGGAAGGATTGTAAGCACCCTATTTCTTGGGGAGCGGGATTTCGGGGATGAACTTTGGATTACTGCCTAGCGTCGTATGCGTGGGTTAGGATACCGTTGAGAAAACAGGCTGGGCAGTAGCGGTCTAGATGGGAGGATCAAAAGTCTCGCTGTCATTGATAGATCTGCCGTATTGTGCTCATCAATCAAGCACATAAGCAGGCTGGTCTATGGGTAAAGGTGTATGTGGGAGGTTTACCTGGTATGATGACCATTGATTTTAACTCTTTGCGAGGAAGGATCTGGCGCCTCTCTTGGCAACGTGGTTTCTGAAGGGAACGGCGTGGTTGACGGGGATGGGGAAGAAGCACCTGAGCGGCGGTAACGAGGTAGTATTTTGTGACCACGAGAAGTACATGAATACTAGGTTACGGGGAAGGAAGAAAGAAACCGCTGCTTAATTGAGAAGTGTTCTGCGATGCTCGTGGGGAATGCCGTAGGGCTGGATGGATGGGAAAAGGGGAGGAATTTGGGATGTATTTTATCTGATTTCTGGTGGGTGTATAGATGAGGATATATTCATACTCATGCAATACTTACAGAGAATCAGTATATAAGTTATTCAGTCCTACACAAAGGCTTCAGGGGTGGCTGTATAGATGAGGATATATTCATTATTTATGCAGCACTCCTAGAGAACAATTATATAAGTTTCCAGCCCTACATAAAATTATTCTGGTTTTAAACCTAGGACTATGCGATCCATCAACTCACCTCTATAACATCACAACTTCAAATATACTCATCTGACCAAGGCCATTCCCATCATCTCAAGTGTAAATCAAACGATCGCACCGTATCATCCCTTATCTTCGCATCACAAAATCTCATCGCATCAGAAAATTTCATCGCATCACAACTCTCATCGCATTCTTCATCAGGCCCGAAAACCGAGTTACAAGCCGCACGTGAGGTTTCCTCTTTCAGCATCCCGCGCTCGTGCGAGGCTCCATAAGTTTCACTAGGACATTAAAAATATCGGATGAAGAGAAAACCTTCTCAGCTAGCACTAAAACATGAGAGCACGAACCCATCAATGCGGAAATCCCACACGGACTGTTTAAGTTTCTGGCTTCAGAACAGACGGCTTGGTTTTTTGCGTTGTTTTTTGAGTTGAGGCTGAGCTGGAGGGCGTGTGGAGATGTTTATGTTTACGGTTTGTGCTTTGAGTTTGTGCTGTGATGGTTGGGTTGAACCTTACTGCTTTTTGTTTGTGCTCGGCGTTCCTCGAGTGAGAACGAAACATATCTTGAGTTTTGGGATCGAGCTCCCGAGTAAGACGTACGAATAGTGTTTGCTTCGTATATCGTTTACGTTTTCTGAAGGCTCTCTTTCGGACTTCTTTCTGGTGTGGTGCATTTCCTCCTTGGTATTATTCGGACGCGTGTTTTCTCTACATACCGACTCCCTACGAGCATCAAATTCCTTTCGGTTAGAATGATCGCCATGCCTTGCTTCTCGCTTCAGGGGTAAACATTCAATCCTCTGGTCTCTTGAGCACGGATGTGTACCTGGATATTGTTACGATTGGCCATTGAAGTTGTGGAGATGTTGGGGATCTTGAGAAGGCATGAACCTGCGCCTTTCCGGACTCGTCACAGATGGTGAGAGCAGCGGCGGGGACTCTTGTCGATTGAAACGCTTTGCGGCTGTTTTATGGAAGAGGGCCTGGGTTTCTTTGTCTTCTGGTTTGCGTGGAGGGGTAGGGGTGTGAGATCTGAGTGGGCGGTGCATGTGAACGGCAGAATATGAAACACGGGGCGCGATGAGCTTGGGATTTTGAAGCTTCCAATAATCGTTATCCAAACTGCAGTTGTGCTGAAGAGTTGATGGTATCGGTTGATGTTAATGAGATGACAGGCGATAATAGTAGTCTTATTGACCTGGGTGTAACAACGGCATAATGAGCATGTTATGGAACATGGCAACGATAGGAATGATAACGAGAGAGATGTGAGGGAGGGATACTGAGCCTATGCACGCTATTTGTCAATCATTGACGACTAGTAGGACTAGTCGAGCTACCAGAGCAACACTTTGACACTGGCCTTGTTGGTATGACTAGTTCACAGACTACTGTACTCACTGACAGCCAATTCAGCTGGAAGGTTACTCGTACAGTTATGTACAACTTGTAAGAGAGAGCCTGGAAATACTGTTGGGAGACGGAAAGTCAAACTGTCGGAATAGCTTCAGTCCAGTGAGTTGCTCATCTCCTTGTTGTCGGCTGTTTCTACAGAAGTTCTGTGCCTCCAGACTCCCGTTCTCATCCACTTAGCAACATCACCGCATGGTGGACATGCATGTTCAACATGTTTAAATTTCTAGCATGTCCGATATGCATATTACAGCGCCACAGAGCGGCGAACACACGTCGTCTATGGGCTGCTGCTCCTCAACGTTGACGACGTAAATCCCACAACATGCAACCTTCTCGCCTTGCGTGCCCATGAAAATGCGAACCTGCATGCTAGCCATCGTTCATCGGTGTGAGGTGAGTAAAATCCTCCGATGCAAAGCTCCAAGGTCACATCATTGTCAAAGTAAACGGGCTTGCAGGTCAACAAATCAGATGCAGTAATGAGCTGGCAGCTTCAGCGCTGTGTACACATGGCATGGCCACTTTCGCAACAATGGAGTCGAGGTATTCCGGAGGTTCTTCTGACGTGCTGGCACTCGTTGTACAACAGCGTCAGATGGCTGGCAATGAACAGCCTCATGCAATTCAGGCGACACACGACACGGTACCCACGAGGCTTCATCAGCGCACTCTTCACTTCATCCCGGACAATGGTACGAAGGAAGGAATCCTCCCGCGCTGCTTGGGTAGAGCAAACCAGCTTTCATGATGCGATATTGACAACCAGGTATAGCTGCTGCTGCTCTAGGCTAATCACACAGACGTTGAGTCTCATCGACACCACGCATCCGTTCTTTACACCCTCTCAACTCGTTGAGTCTCCAGCAGATGCTTGCACTGTGCTTTTCCGAGTAACTCATCCCACCAAACATTTCACACTGCCCATCCAACTCGGCCCACGAGTCCTGCAGTCGCGAGTAGCCACCGTACAGCATTCAAGTACCGACCGTTTGCTGCATCGGTCCGTATGTTGAAGGTCAGATGCAGCTTCACGGGCACAAGACAAGTACCCAGAGGTACCTCAAGCTGGCACCGCTCACGCTGATACTCGTAACAATTCGTGCTCTTCTCTTTTGGCAGCATGGAGCCATAGAGCTGAGAGTGTTTTCCCGTCCTCGCATCGATTGCCTCTTCAACCACGGACGGAATGGCTCGAGTGTCATTCGTGATTCACAACAAGTCAGTCCCTGAAGTCGATCGTGCGGTAACTCCATCGAACTCGCAGACCGGGGTGATGTTTGCGGTAAGATTCTAGTTCAGACGGGAAAATAGCATAGTGATCCCCGCAAGGATGGGTCAGAACGCTGAGGCCACAGGGCCACTTGGTTCAAGTTGGTTGAGCTTTAGCGAGAACTAACCCCCGTGGTTCGTCAACAACATGAACTGCGAGCAGCAAACCTCGCTGCCAACCTCAAGCCAACGATCTCGCATCCCAGCGTCACTATCGACAAGGCTCCAAGTACGGTTTAGATGGTGGAACTCTCTAGATCCCATGTTTACACCCTACCCACCTTTCGCCATGGGCTTTGCCTCGAACAGTGTGGGGATATCAACGTCAAACACTGGTCAAGTATCTATTCCTAGCATAATCAATGCACTATGCATCAGACCTACACGCAAAAAACTACAGTAATTGGGTTGTTTGTGGCCAATGATGGTAAAGGACAAACGGGACTGTCAATTCACATCGTCCTCATCTGCTCAACCCTCTTCCCTTTTTGTCACCTGTAGTGCTCATGTCGGCCGCCGCCCCCGTTTTCTTCGCTACTTTTCTGCTGCCTCCTATTCCCCTAGCCGTCTAATCAAACGTGGCCAGTCCCTCGTGCAGATACCAAGCAGCTTTGCCTTAGTAGCTCCACCAAATTCTAGCTTCGTCCTATCTTTCTATCAGTAGCCTAAGCTCGTCCACCTTTGGCTGGTGGAATCCGAGATCACTTCCGTCAACTCGCTGGCTGATACAAGAAGATCTTGGATATACTACTTCTGCCAGTAACATCGAAGCTGTGGTTCTTGCTAAACTACTTAGCCAGTCTAGCTGAAGCGTGCTGGGGCTGTTCCGTCCAATAACATCCGTCATCGCCTGATATACACAGTCAGGCAGACCAACCGCAGTCAATGCTTCAAAGCCTCGACGTTTCGAAGCACAAAAGAGATTATATTTCAGAGACCATCCCCGGCATTTGGAAAATCCGATCGGTTCTTCAACAAAGTCGGATGTTTAAAGTGTCGTCTTGTTGCGCGATACATACTAGCCTCTCCAGACTGTTTCGAGCGTTTCCGAAAGGGTCAAAGCATTTGTCAGACTCCAGTTCTACTTTAGGCCGTTCCAAGGTCTAATCTTAAGACATTTAGTGGCTGATTCATAGCTTTTGTCAAAGCTACACCGCAGAAGTACAACTGAGCCGAAGGCAGGTGGTCCGTTCGAAATCAGATAGCAGATCAAAGTCTGATCTGAAACATCGAACATCAGTCATATAGATCGCATCGATACATCCTCCATTCCGATTATTTGGCTACAAGACGACCCCTCGCTCGTTTTCAGAGAGCCATAACTTACATCAAAAGAGTCGACTGGATATCTAGGTACCGAGTCTAAAGCTGGCTACTTTGGACGTTACTTGGAATACACAGGATCGTCAAGGTACTCCTGATTTCGACTCAAGAGTCTCGATACAGTTGGAGGGAACATACAATATTAAACCTCAGCAACATCGGCATCATGGACGTCACTTCGCTGTTGAATGACGGTGCTGCGGCCGAGGCAGTTCAGAAGCAGGTTGAAGGAAACAGAATACCAGGAAGAAACCGAACACCTTGGGATGCCGGAGGATATGCGTTACCCTTGAATACAAAGCGACCATTATCACCACCGTCATCACAGCAGCAAAATATCTATCAACCTGACGATTCACAAATCGACACACCGACCTCACCCAGACATCGATTTTCAGATAGTCGAAGCAGTCTCTCATCATACGCCTCCTCAATACACTCAGCGAACCATTCGAGGTTTTCTTCAATGTCAACAGTCAGCGGCTCTCATTCACTTAATACCATCACCGCCGAGTTATTCTCCCCGAAATCATTGCCATTGAGCCCATCGGGCGTCAATTCTTCAGATGGGTTGATTAACGAGGCACATTCATTTAACACCCTATCACTGAGCGAAAATCTCGAAACCCTCTCCACTATCTCCGAGCACCGGCATTCACCTGAAGCTGAGCAAGATTCGGTGGAAGAAAGCAAACAAAAGCTTGCCGTCACCGAGCACCCTCGACCATCTTCACCAAGTGATGCAATTCTTATCCGGCGGACTACAGTACCATCTTTGAGATTGGATACTGGGGGTCATGAAATCAGTGGAGTTGACTTTCAGAGACAAGTGTGAGTACTTAACTTCTTTTGCTTTGTATATGCGCAGTTGACTATTCACCTGAGCAAAGTTACTGCTTTCGTACTTGCTTACTCATTTCAATATGTTTCTGAGGGCATTTCCGCATCACTATTATCCCCTGAACCCCTGGAAACTCTTTGCGTTGCTTTGATCTTTTTCAAAAAATAGTTCAGGCTCCGTTTGTTTCCCTAATCCGCATTAGATCAATAGTTGTTCAGCTTTGTTACATTGACTAAATATGCAATAAACTGGTTTTATTGTATATTTGGAATCAAGCGAGCTTCTCAGCCGATGTCTTGTCGACTGGACATAGTAACCACAAATGTGGCATGTAAACAAAGCGTTGTCCCTGTGTTCTGCTTTATTTTGATCTCCAGGCTATTTCCGTTGCATTCACGGAACTTGAGAACAGATTTCTATCATGCGAGGATGTTTTGGTTGAAAATTCCTTCATAAACTCACTTTCTACTTGCCATTTGTATGTGCACCGAATAGTTTAATTTCCGAGAGCACAGTCAATTGTGCATGTATAGGTTTTTGGACTTCTTGCTAATAAGCTCAATAGTAACAGCAACTACTTGAGTGCGCCGATAGATCGCCACCACGAGTCGCTGCTCCACCTCAAGTCCCATAAGCGTAGTGCTTCAGCTCCTGACTTTCAAGCAGCAATGAACGAGTATTCCACCAAATCCGTCGGACCGCAATCTGAGCCAACGCCTCCTTCTTCATATCATCCTGACAATGACTCGCCCACTACTCCTATCGCTTACCCAGCTCCGGATACACCTCCTGTACTCGAGGAGCCTGTTTCCGATGTCGTTGTTTGCATGTACATTCCTAACTGTGACACGGGTTCCCAACCAAGAAAAGCGATTTCGCACATTTTCGGCCGTAACAAGATGTGCACTCGTCTGATTCCTGATCACGTCTGGGTCCACTACTGCCGAAAACACTACCAACGATCTCGCTATCGAAATCCAAAGGAATATGCCAAACTACAGTGCGACTTGGTACAACAACAAATTCGCCGAATTCATGCTTGGTCATTGGCAAATCACTTGGCGGGTCGACCAGGAACTGTTCATAATTGGGGTCTAGCTCTTCGCAAGCGTGAACAACAACGATTGGAAAACCTTGGTGGAAAGAGAAAGCGAAGTCTTAGCGTGGCTGGGTTCGACCACGATAGTGACGGAGACAACGCTGGTGATAATGGGATGGGATCAACAGCAGAAGGTGGAGTTCCAGCTACTGCTGTTCCAAAATGGATATTGGAGAAGATGGGAAAAGGTTATGATACGAACGCAATTCTTGCTATTTTCCACCGTCTTCACACCGAGATCCTTACGGATGAGCTGCCTTGCTTCCCTGATATCGAAATCCTTCCGAACATCTGTGTCGATGATGCGAATCCGAACACAAAAGAGGTGAAGGGTTACGCGAAGAGAAATGGTGGTGCTCACAAGCGTTCCCGGTCACTTGGTGTTATGGCCAAATCAGAATACTACTCTCCAAGCCCATCCGGCAGAAGACCAAGTCAGCCTGGTTTCTGGCCCCCGGAGACTTCTCAGACTCAAAAGAGGCGTCGCCAAGGCGAATTTGAGGATAGCTCTCCAATTGTGCCCAGCAATACATTCCCAAGGCGTATGCAAGTTGCTCAACGACCCGTCTTCGCCAATATCGAGGAACATCAAATGTCTGAGAGTAATTACCATCATGCTCCGACATTTGAGCGTTCTGCATCCTATCAAGGCTATCAAGCGCCTCTCCCTGCACCCACACCCCAAAGATATGCCCCTCAGTCCATGGCTGCACATTTAGAAATTGAGCACGCTCGCCCAGTTCAACGCGGAAGACAACATCAGCGTTCGCAATCAGACATGTCTGCTTTTGTCCAACACCGTTACTCTGTATCGCCTTCTTATCCGGTCAACATGCCATATCCTGGAAGCAGCGCCTCCTCTGCAGGTGGTTCTTACTTCTCAAATATGCATCATGCACATGAGGCGCCTATTCATGGACAGCAATATAATCTACCTCAGCAGCGTATGCAGCAGTCTCATCGCGAGTACAGACCAGTTGGACTGCCTGCTATGGGTCATGCTAGACATCAAAGCTCCCCAATGGGCGCGGCTGGTGTCATCAACGCGGCATATGGAAGACAGGGACATCCAATGAACTCATTACCTCCCGTCGATATGAGACATGAAAGTCCGATTTACGAAGCACAACAAATGCGACATGCTTACCCATCTCATCGCTAAAATTCATTTGAAAAGCATTACCTTCGATACTTGTTACGTTGACGGAGCTTGGATAGCCACGTACTTTACCGTGTGACGGCATAATATTTGGATATCAATTAGGATCCTAGAGCTATCATCATCGAGCGGATTTCAGGAAGATCACAGCCTTTATTTTCACCTGTATACTTTGATACATCTCGGCTGGAAACCCACATTCTCGATCAAACACCAAAATTTTCTTTTGTTTATTTTACGATTCTACGCATGGTTACAACGAGTCTTTGTCATTTGGATAGTAGATCTTGGGGATAAAAGATGACGCTTGGAATATTTCATAAAAGGGCATTGGCGAAGACGGCGTTCAGTTACAATTGTAACACAGACACAAATTCGGGCAATTTTGTATAAATCTGCTTTCGGCGTTCTTTTTTTGCGATAGATACGCCTGGCAGCGGAACAATTTTGCGGTGGAGATTTAATAGAGCTGTAATTAAGAGAAGAAGAAAAATTCATTTGAGTAAATCTATTTTATCCTACATATACTCCTGTGTGTCTGATTTACCAGGGAGTAGGTCATTGCCCTTCTTCGTTTGTGCTTGCCTGGTGCATTCGTCTTTCATCTATTCTGAGAAAATCAAACAAACCATTCTTTACGAACTTGCAGATATCCGTAAACAATCTAATCTTAGATGTTTCTTTAGATATCACACTCTTATTTGAGTCTAGCTGATCTTTGACATCAAACCAATCCGAAAACGGAATTTGATTCAACTATTTCGCAGGCACCAAATTAACCTTCATCTCCCAGGGTAACTTCTCATTTTTATCCAACATTTCTCCAATACTACCATCCTCGAACTCAACCACTACGCTCTTAATGCCCATCCTCACCCCCTCCTTGTCATCCAAAAACCACCCCTCGCCCATCCCCCACGCATCCCTCACCCTCCTCTTCCCCCTCAACACCTCCCCTAGCCCAAACTCATCAACAACCCAAGGCGCATATCCCCTCTCCATCTCCCCCCTCCTCACCCTCTCCATTCTCTCCCTATCAAACTCCGCACTCCCATCATCCATATACCCCGGATCCACACCCACAAACCGCATCCTCTCCCCAGGCCACCTCACCGCTCTCCTATGCAGCTCCAAAAACCTCCTCTCCTTAAACCCCATACTCACCACCCTAACCATGCCTGGCCACGCACCCGTCCTTCTCCGAAACTCCAGCATCGAAAACCATAAATTCTGAAAACTATCTAACGCCCTCTCCTCAAGCACCACTCTCCCCTCCCCTTCCCCGCCCCAAAACCCATTCTCCACGCATAAATTCAGATAACTCCTCGCCTCTGACAGTTTCACCTCAGATCTCGTGTACCCGCCTGAAAATATAAGAAGTGAGTCTGGATCAGATGAGAGAAGAGCCAGGCCTTTCTGGATATGTGCGATGAAAGTGGGTGTTTCACCGGTTTGGAAGGGTGCGATGAGCCATTCTTTTTCGGAGAGGCCGTGGGTTGGGCCGGTGGTGTAGATTGCGTGGCAGCATACTATTATGAGGTTTTTGGGTGGTGAGGACATGAGGTGTTTTTGGGTTGTGGAAGTGTGAGATGATCATGTGGAGAGGGGTGTGGGGTCTTGAGGCGTTAAGTCGCTGAGTCGCTGAGGATCTTGAAGGAGCTTGCAAAGTTCAATGTTACTCTACTCAAATGTCGAAGGAGTTGAGAACATGTAAAAATAACCCCATTAATATTAACTCTATATGTAGTTGTAGCGACATTGAAGTTGTATTGTGGCAGATGTGGTTGAATGTAATCGTCGACTTCGTGATTTTTCGCTAAATCATACTTCCGTAGAAACATCCAAACAGCAAGACTGATGGATCGAAGAACAAAGAACTCTAACGCAGCCAATAGAATATTCAGACATAGTTTCCCAAAGCCAAACAGATAATGTAAGCCACATTTTATGTTTATCGTTTCTGGACCATAACTGTACCATACAGGTAATACTTGCTTTCTTCTCCTACTAGTGCTCTGCAAGACGGACCGGACACCTTCCAAGTGCAAATTAGGTCAGAAAACGATATTGCAAAATTCCTTTCACAAGAAGCATACTTAGCCTTTCTGCAGAGATTAAATTATATATTTACTCAAACAAATCAAACATTCTTACCAGCTTAGGTCAGAGCATACCCATGATTGACTCCGTATATATTGGAAATTTGTGAAGTGAAATATTCTTTTCATCAATGATGGTATTTTGTGCTATACTTGTACGTAATTCTCTCTATTCGTCTACATCGTATCTAGCCTGGATGTCCTAGTCCCTCTAACTCCACAGAATGTTAAACCTACGCCACCCAACAACCGGCTTAGCGGGTTCTTCAGGATTGGCATTTGCAATATCGATGAACTTCTGGATTGGCAGCTGGTCCAATGGAATGATTTTTGTCTTCTTGATGAATTTATAGACGAGGTACAGAATGAGGATGATGGGGATGTTGATGTAGGAAGACACGAATGTCTCGTTGTCCCAACTTTAAGCGAGTTAGTATTGAAATTTGGGAATATGGTATTTAGAACTTCGGGAAACTTACTGTCCATGAACAAAGGTGATGTAGCCACCAGTCAAAAGTAGGATTGAGAAAGCGATCAAGCTAGTCCATGCCGCATATGGTTGGAATGGTGCTGCCCAGGGCAATGCACTTCTAGCAATTCCTTGCTTCTTCATCCCATAGTAGAATCGTAGATAAACAACACAGATGATAATCCAGTGCACAAGAGCGGCCGTGGCTACTAGGTCTTGGAGCCATGAGAATACGGTGCTCGCCGAGTCCGAAAGAGTCATGTAGCCCAAGCACATCCAGATAGACATGAATGCCACAGCGACGTAAGGAACACCCATGCGAGACACTCGAAGGAAGATCTTTGGAGCATGACCTTCGCGTGCCATTCCGTAAAGGGTACGAGATGATCCTAGAAGCACTTTGATATTGTTAGCGGCATCTGGTTAACTTTCAGTAAAAAAACATACCTGAATTGCCAGCACTCCAAGCACTAGAAAGAACAACTGCGTTGATGATTGAGGGTACAACTTTGATGCCAGCTCTAGTAGATGCAATGACAAATGGGGACTGCGCTGCTGTTCCCGTGGAGCGGAGAAGATCTTTATCATTCGAAGGTACAATAAGACCCACCATGAAGATTGAGAGAACTTAGATTATAGTCAGCGACTTCCAATTGAGTGTGATGGTTGGAAGTCAACCTTACCATAGAAGATCGATACTCGCCAAAAGATTCTCTTAGCGGCAATAGGAATGTTTCGACGAGGTGACTGGGTCTCGGCGGCGGCTAAAGAGATATTTTCGATACCTGAGTACGCATACACGGCATTTGAGAAAGTTGTATAGAATCCCATGAAGTGTCCCAAAGATCCGGCATACCCAAGATATTCTACGAAGGGACCCGGGTTCTTCCAGTATTGAAAGCCGTATCTGTGGCCATCAGGCCCTCCTCCGCATGTAATGACCAATGCCTTCTTCAAATCAGCTAAAAGGCCCCCTGGGGATTGGGAACTCCACGTACCATGATGTTGACACCGATAATAAGCATAATCTTCAAGGACGCAAACCCGAATTCAAGCTCGCCATAAACTCGCACGAATAACAGATTGCTTATGACAAGTAAAATACCGAAGATTGTAATCCAGACGGCAGAGTTGACGGCCTGTGTCCAAAACTCGACAATGACTGCCGCAGCAACAATCTCCGCGGGTAAGGATACGAGACTCGAGTATATGGAGTTCCATCCTTGAGCGAAAGACAGTGCAGGGTCCACAAAGTATTCGGCATGTCGAATAATGGCACCGCTCAAAGGAACGAGAGCACTAAGCGAGTATCAGCAAGGCACCTTCACAATATTGTCGGATTGACTTACCTCAATTCTGCGATACTTATAACTACACCAGTGACAAGTACACCAACGAAGGAGTATCCCATACTGATCTTGATTAATTTATGCACCTTGCAAATTTGGAGGGTTGATTGGAGACATACAGTGCTCCGAGAGGTCCACCACGAGCAAGAGCTTTTCCGGAACCAAGAAATAGTCCCTAGAGAGTCAGTACTTATCAGAATTAGTTTGAAGTACTACTACTTACAGTACCGATAGTTCCAGCCAAAGCAATCATTTGGATATGCCTCTGACCAAGACCACGTCTAATGTACTGTTAGATCAATCTTTCGAGTGCTGCTATAAAACATACCGTAACTCTTTGGTTTCACTAAATTGAAGAACCTCAGACTCGTCAAGATTCTCTGATGAGCCATAACCGGCGGTAACATCAGTCTGGTAGTTTGACTTCTCATCATTTCCATACTTCCCCTTCTCAGTATCGTTCCCAGAGTACGCAGGAATTTCAGACATGATGAAAATCAATTTCAAGATTCTTCCCGACAGAATTCAACGAGGGGAAGGAGGAAGTACAAGTACTCGAGTAGCTGAAAGTAAATACGACGTGGTATTTATCCGTCACCTTATCAGGGTTCTTGTACAACAAAGTACAAGGAAAACGTGGGAGCACGAGGATGTGACCTAGACAGTATGCAACTGGTGCATAACTGATAAGACCACAGGGAAGACCACAAGGATTCTATCAATATCAGCAGCCATTGCCGTTGCGATATTGTACCCAGATCTGTGGGGCCACTCAAGTTTGGGTGAGGGAAAGTCAAAGTCGGCTGCCCCGATGCATCTGGAAGCAACGCTCTTTCCTTCTCGAAGACTAGACTGCGTATCTGAAGCTCGTCCGGTAGCCAATCTCAACCTCGACCTCATATCAGAACAAACAATTATTTGTTGATAGGAGCATTTGATCTGGGTTATTCGGCCGTTCCAAGACCGCGGGCAACAGACAATGTAGAATACTCCGTCTTCGAAATCCAATGGTGATGGTAGGTCAATTGCCGAAAGTGTCTAGCCGTTCTCCCAAGACATCCACAATCAAGCGAACGACAAGACTATTAAGCAATCGCCATGAAAGCCATAGATCATATCTTCTCTCGGCCATGGTTTGTTCTTGCATTTGTGCCCACCTGCCTCGTTCGTAACGGTGTCAAGGGTGTGGCATGGCCAAGGCAAAGTCCATCCTTCCTGTCCTAACCGAGAGATGTGGTTGCATTCGGAGCTGATCCCTCGTCGCTCGCGACCAGTCCTGCTTGCTTGTACATTCAAGACCTCGGTGCATACCCAAGCGTACTGTGGCTATAGCTTATCGCCATGATCGTTTCCAAAACTAAAAACTGGTCTTGCTACTCGTTGATGCTGGGTCTTCCCCACACACCCTGTTTTTGGTCGTCCCGATAAGAAGTTGATAAGACCCGTCAACACCAGCCTTTGCAGCGATAGACCTCTTCCCCGGAAGATCAGCTCGAACTTAGGTATTGAACTAGACGCTAGATTCTTAGCTTAACCTTGTGGGTGGCGTACTGCTATAGTGAAGCTCTATCAAGATCGTAGATAAAGGGTCGTTGGCTCCACATGGGCAGACAGCTATGTGCGTAAGCGAGATACGTGAGACGACGAACAAGCAAATTCAATAGAAACTCAGCAAAAGTGTGTAGAAATGTCATAAATACCTGGGGGTGCAATAATTGGTTTATTGTCGGAACCAAAGTTCCTCATATATCAAATTAGAGGCTCCAGTACTAAAATATTGTTCAAATAAACTTGAAGATCCGCGGTGATGTCTTTCGACCAACTGATCAACTTTTTAAAAGAACCGATTTTCTCTCAAAACATTTATCCTGAGAGACGTCTTTTTATATGTGATCTGCTTTCGCCGAGTGAGTCACTTTCCAACATGGGTGACAAGGCTTGCTCGAGAATTTGGTGCTTTGTGGGCCTGTCATTAAAAGGCGTGGCAAGGCGTGAGACCAGCCTATTATAGGCCGATACAAAATCTCCAAGGCAGGAATACTCCCATCCATAATGTTATATTTATGACGCTTATTGAACTGTCCAACTATCCAAGAGAAATTGATGTTGAAAACTTAATTCTCATCTTGAATACAGCATTCTTATCTTTTTTGGGATCTTCCCAACACCAATTTGTCCTATAATTCAAGTTTCCGTTGAAATTGAATACCCCACGTAAGTATGTACTATATTTTGATTGAGGAAATGGTCAATTGCCGATGCAATCGAGGAGTTGTTTGCATGACACTCAGATTAGAAGCTTTCCAGTCAAGTTCCAAGTGTCTCGCTCATTTTGACTGATCACGATTCTAAATTTAAAATGCATATGCTAAAGAAGATTACAACTTTACTGACTGTTTCGCTACTTCCAGTGCTTTGTGAAATCTCCCCTACTCTGCTTCGATCTGAGAAATTCGAGTATAATCAGTGAGCCCAGCCAATTAGACAAAGAAAGGTTTCGAGCGACCTTTGTTGGACAGAAGATGTGCATCCCAACATTTGAAAACATGTGCTTACTAAAGCCACATCGTTAACAACAGTCTGTCAACTGCTTTGAAACATTTACATCCTCTTGACCTGATCTAAGATTCGAAGACAAACATAAAGCAAGTCCAATTCGAGGATATCTGCACAAAGAACTCTTTCAGACGTAATTTATGGAACAGAATATGTGGGTGGAACAGTCTTTCTAGAGACAAAGAACTTCTGTTTTCCAAGTAAAAGATTCCGAGTACAATGCCATTGTGGATACTCTCGATTACTCGAAACAGCAACCCTTCGAGCTATAAATGACGGGCTTCAACCCACCAACATAAAAATCATCAGCACCTACCTTCACGGTAAACAAACAAGCACTAGCACCGAAAACACACTTTTCACAAACAAAACACTTCCACTCAAGATATCTTCTAGATATCTTATCAATCACACATCACTTTCCACACTTCATCCACCTTCAAGCTTCCTCAACCGCCAACATGGTTTACGGTTACGATGAATCTGATAGGGATGTTCTCGAGAGAATCGAGGCCACGATTGCCTCTCTTGGTCGCAGCTGCCCCAAGGAGCTCGTGGCTGAGGCTAAGATGATGCGAGCTGCTTATGGAGCTCAGGAGGAGGCCGGTTACGCGGAAGAATGGAGAAAGCATACAAAGACTCAGAACATCATGAAAGACTTCTATGCCAAAAACCCCAGATCTGGCGGTGGAGGCGGCGGCCGAGGACAGTCATACAATGATTATGATGATGAAGAGGAGGATGATGCCCCTCCTCCACGCAGATATGGCGGTGGTGGTCGCTCAGGTGGTGGTCACTCAGGTGGTCGCTCAGGCGGTGGTCGCTCAGGAGGTGGTCGCTCTGGTGGCGGCGACACTCAATCACGTCTTGCTGATCTCGATGATGACGATGATACACCTCCTATGCCTCGCGCGGCTGGCTCTCAGCAGCAGCGAGGAGGTGGTGGCCCATCCAGAGGTGGACGCTCTCAGGGCCCACCTGAGCTCGACGATGATGAGATTGACCAATTGATTGCCAGAGGTAAAGCCCGCCAGGGAGGCGGCCGCTCCGGCGGTGGACGCAACCCTTATGAGCGATGAGGGCTTTCGGACGATGATGCCGAGCAGATGATTCCAAGATCCAAAACTCATAGAATCTCTGAAAAGCATAATCCCGCTCCTCGACAGTATCGTCCCCCACATTCTCCTTCGCATCTTCCCAGTCAATCAAACACAGCTTCCAACTATCCATCTTCTCAACCTCGACAACCACCGCCACCAAGAAATCATGGTCCGGTCAAACGTGCAATTTCTGATCACCCACCCACACATAAACCAACACCAACACACAAAACGACTCAACAAGGTGACCCTTCAATGACCAAGCGCTCAGCAAGGGACCAGCCTAAGAACGACATTTCTGACAACGAAGTAGCTGAGCTGATAGCCAAAGCCAAAGCGCGGGCAGCGCAGGAAAAGCTAGCAGAGGAACGTGCGACAAAAATCAGGGCCAACGTCGAGAAGCAAAGAGTAGCCGATGTTATAGCCGAACAGAAGCAAGAGGACTTGGAGAGAAAAGCTCAAGAGGTGAGAGTACCTAAACCCTCAGTCAAACCATCAAATCTCGACAAAGATCCTAAGCAACGAGCAGCGATTCCTCGACGCCCAGCAGACACCGCTCCTCCCCTGGATGACGACGAGGTCGACCAAATGATAGCCAAAGCCAAAGCTCGCCGACTCGCCGAAGAATCCTCCTTAGGCGCGACAAACCCGGCTTCACCACCTCCTTCAACACCCAGGTCTTCTCCACCACGCTCTTCCCCGCCAAAGCCAAAGTCAAGGGCACCGTCAATTGGCCCCTACGAGGAGAATACATTCGACCCCGAAGCAGCTCACCAAGCCCGTCTAGCTCGTCTCCGCGCAGCCAAAGAACGCGCAAATGCAACGCCTAGCCCCGAGCCGCTGATGGAGAAGGAGCCGGAGAAGAAACGACATCCACTCAGATACAAATCTCCTCCCCCGGATAACGGACAGGGCGGAAGAGGAAGACGATGATGGACCAGCTCGCACTTGCGCATGGGAGGATTTTTGGAATTTCAGGAATGACTAACATACAGGTAAAACAAGGTAAGTACGTTAGCGTTTTGCGAATGATTTTCATTCTTGCTTTTTTGAATTTTACAGCGGTAGATAGAGTAGATAGACCGAAAAAAACATATAAAAAACCAATTTCTTTGCAGAAACAAACCTTTTCAAAAACAAACATGCTTAACCCAGCAGTGACCCAGATGAAATTCTAAGTGAGACTGTCAATTTATCTATGACCTGAGCAGGTAGAAATTTCCTCAATCTTTACCAATGTAGTCGAGATCAACCTTGAGCGTTATTTCTACGTGAAGAGTATTTGCATTGGACAAAAAGGAGACAAAAGACTTAATCCCGCATATCAGCTACACACATATTGCCACTGCTCAGGCTCTTGAGCGAAAAGTTTGGTACTCATCGGAAGCACAAACCATCCGGACGTACACGCCCAGCTGGTTGACGCTTCCCTTTGAGACCATCATGGTTGCGCAAGGCAACGCATAACCGGCGATGTGGTAGTCAAGTTTATCATCGATACACAACATAGCAAGGACTTGGAGTTACAGATATACCACCTGATATCATGAACAGCTAGATTGACGATAAAATGAGATCGATATGCAAATTTGTATGAGGAGGAAGTACCCAAATTAATAAGACTTGAATCGGTGCATAGATGAATAAAGTGTGGAGCAGCAGTAGGATCTAGGAGTGAAAAGGATTTAAAAATTGGTACTAAGAGGGGAACAAAGTTCAAAGTATTGAAATTCTTATTAGAAAGTGTCGAGTACGCCATTAAGTACAACCAGGAGGGCTCGCTCAAGGACTGCCTTAACGCCTATCCTGCGCCATAAATGAAACCTGCCGTTCTTAACTTATTTGAAGACTCCCAGACCTTTACAGCGTATTGAAAAGTTAGATTTCCATGCCCAGAAACAACCACTTGTCACTAGTAACATCAAGACGACTAGCCCAGATATCCAATGTGACTGCTTCGAAGCCTACCCATCGGAGACTTTTGAGGAAGGATTTGCAATCGGCCTCTTCTACGCTGCGATCGACACACACGACGACTTGTTCAAGGGCGAACACAGTTTCGGCCATTTCGATCAATGCCATGAGCCTAGTCTCGCGATTAGCAGGAAATGAATAAATATGTGCTGTAATACTCACCCTTGCTTCAAATCTCTTCCAATAACAGATGAGTCGAAAAATGCAAATAGAGATTTGTTCTCTCCATTACCACCAACGAACCCGCGGAAACTACATCCTCCAGCGTAATCCCAGATTTCAATCCATGCATCAATCTCTTGACCTTGAAAATTGCTGGCCTTGCGACTGCGCTGGTGACTTATGCCATACGATTCCCGTGTCTCCACAGGAGGTGTTGATCTTGTGTCTGTATTTATAATCGTATCCATCACGATTGAGCCATTACTCGACGATAGTCCTTCTTCACCAAGAAAAACGTCTTTCATAGTCTCGCAAAAGAGCCTCTCACACTCTTCCCGGATAGAATACGATGCCCCCCCTCTACGACTGCTCTTCATGCCGCTGCCATTGTGATCGTTGTCGCGCGATTTCTTTGGTTTGGAGATGAGCGCGAACTCGTTGGCAGAGGTAAGTGCAGCGAGGGGGGGACTTGACGGAGGAGATGGTAACCCTGAAATGACCTCAGGGATACCACTTTGCCCCGCCGGCGCCGGTAGTGGAGTAATCTAAAGGACGTCTGGTCAGTGTTTGTTTTCCTGTACTGAATGCGCACGAGGGGGTTTAGGTTCTGCGGTTATCAATTGCTGGAAGGAGATAAGAGCAAAGAAAGTTTTGCGAAATGTGCCATTACTTACGGAATCCTGAAAGATGCCCAGCTGGGTTTACGCAATAAGCACTGGCGAGAACATTGGTCTGGCGTCCAACACTCTCGCCATTGCGATTACTCGTACTATGACTGTCGTTTTTACTGGGCGACATTTTGACAATACTTTGCCACGGTTACGTCGGGAAATGGAATTGAAGGTTGTCTGGGTAGATTCGAGAGTCGTAAATTTGACTTGATGGGGCAATCGGGAATCTGTCGCAAGTTGAGGTACTTTGTTGTTCGTGTTACGAATCCAGAGGCGATCGGCGAATGGTGCATGAAGTTGAAAGGTTCTTTGAAGATTCGAGAGCCCACAGCGGCTGTCAAGGGTTTAAGAACGCTAGAACGCATCCCCGCTTTTTGGGTCACATGGCCACGTGATGGCCTCCTACCAATCATCACTTAGGTTCATCCTTCTAGAATTCACCACTAGACACTTTCTCTTCCTATTGACTAAAAAAGGGGCAAATACTTCGCAAACCATTCGTTCACATTCATTGAAAGATTACTGACGGATCGCAATGGTTTCCCAATTGAGTGAGAGACTTCACAGCAGCCTCGGAACGAAATATTTTCCAATTAGGGGGACGTGCTCGTGCTTTCCAACAACTCCACTTGTTACTGGGGAGAAGATGATCTCCTTTGTTTACAACTTCGACTTCCCAATCCTACGTCAATCTGAATTACTATCTCAATTGAAATTTTGACTATTTGTTGATATATGTTTGAAGATCTAGGTCAACCTCGGTAGGCGAGCCTGACAAATATTCATTGACCATGTAGAAAGATCGTCTCTTTGGTTAACAAGTGGAACGTTTCGGTGAATACTGCTCTACGATGTGCCTTGTACTCAGAGTGCAGCTTTTTTCTGCATTTGATCTCAAGTGGCTAAGCAAAATCCGTCCACTCCGCATGGGATGGGCAAACACACACGCGCCAAATCCTCCTCGAGAGCCTACGTAGTGTTCGTAGGAAGATCGACCGGTGTTTTCTCCACTTGGGCCGAATGCCATGAACAGGTTCATAAATTCTCGAAAAACGATTATCGAAAATATGCTACTCGAGAGAGTGCAGAAGAGGCTTGGAGACAGAGCACGGTATATCTCAAAACAAATGCGAGTTGCGCAGATCCCATAAAAGAAACCCAAATCCTCCTGAAGCCGTCACCAACGAACAAGAGGCCATTTCGTAATGTTGCCGATTTTACGGGATCTGAAGACGGAGAAACACCTGCAGAGAAGATATGTAGAACGGATTCCGGCCGACACCTGAACGACCTCATACTCTTGGAGACCCCCCCAGGGCCAAAGCAAACACCGGTAGAAAGTTGCATCATTCTCACTCCCGCTCAACAATCTGTAGTCAATCTCGCAAATGAACGTCATAATATGTTCCTTACTGGAGCAGCTGGGAGTGGCAAAACTGTTACTTTGAAGGAAATCATCAAGTGCCTCCAGGACAAACCCAACCCAATCGATGTTTCCGTTGTAGCTCCAACTGGTATTGCGGCTCTACCACTTGGTGGGAAAACTACGTATTCTTTTGCGGGCTGGAGTCCCGACTCATTTAAACAGCCATTAGAAGCACTCCTTAGTAAAGTAACAGGAAATACTAAAAAACGAATTAAGAAGGTTGCGTGTTTGATTGTTGAAGAAGTCTCAATGGTGGAGAACCAGTTTCTGGAGCGGCTCAACATGCTATTCCAACATGTTCTAGAGAATGACCGGCCATTTGGAGGAAAGCAGGTCATATTCGTCGGCGATTTCCACCAATTGCCTCCTGTTAAACTGTTCGAACGGTGCTTGATATGTGGCGAACCAATGAACACTTCATTAGTAGTGTTTGTGCGTCAGTACAAGTGTCAGACACCTGACTGTGCCAGTAAAGGAGTCATCTTCAAGAATGGTGATAAATGGGCTTTTAAGTAAGTCGAGAAAATTCTACCAGCGGAAAAATGTTTCGTTCAGCTAGCTACATTATTTAGTACGTTGATAACATGAGAAGCTAACAGTTTGTTTGGCAGAGCACCAGTCTGGGATCAGCTGAATCTCCGACATGTCAAGCTTGAACAGATTCATCGCCAGAAAGATGGCCGATTCCAGACCCTGTTGAACAAGATACGCAATGGCGCAGAGTTAACACAATATGAGTGGGAGGATCTCGAACGAAAGAAGACCTTGCCTCCTCACATCTTTGCTATTCGTTTGATGTCGCGCAAGATTCAAGTTGACAGATTTAACGATAACGAGTTAAGCAAGATACAGAATACGACCATGTCTTGGAAGGCGATTGACACTGTTATCAAGCTGCATCCTCGTAATAAGTACGACTACTTTCCTTACAAAGACATCATGAACGAGGAAACTCGGCAACAATATTGGAGGATTGAGAACATTCGAATAGAGGAAAAGATCAATGAGTATAAGCGCCTCGTTGGTGACTATCATCGATCTTCATCAGAACTCTACCTGAAAGTGGGCGCGAAGGTGGTCCTGTTACACAATCTCGACCCTAGCAGTGGTCTTGTAAATGGATCTCAAGGGGAAGTCGTGGGATTCAAAGGATTCCAAGATGCTCTAGACGTAAAAAAGCACGGCAGGATTGAAATTGAAGCATTTGAACGCTTCCGGAAATCGAACCATTTTGGCCGGCCCATTGTCCACTTCGCACGCGGCAACCCAGTGGTAATAAAGCAGATAACCCTAGACAGCTTACAAGGCCCAGCAGACGACCGTTACCTTCTTTCACGCACGCAAATACCCCTTGCCCTAGCATGGGCACTGTCGATTCACAAAAGCCAAGGCATGACGCTCGATTACGCTGAGGTCTCGTCCAAAGACATATTCGAATCTGGCCAACTCTACGTCGGGCTGTCCAGAGTCACCAGATTAGAAGGACTTACAGTCACTGGATTCTCCAGGAAACAGACGGAAATGGATCCTGAGGTATTGAGGTTTTATCGATGTACACCTTGGATAAAGCTGGACCCATCCAGCTATAGTTATGGGGTCAGAGGTATCCAGAATTTCGTAAACTTGACGTTACGTTCAAGTGGAGACGCTCAATTTCCGCATCGCACTTTATCACCCAGTGATCCAAGTGAAATTATTCCAGAGACTCATAGCGAAGATGAGTATAACAAACAACAATAACTGGTGAGGATGTAGGGAAAGGTGCTTTGGTCTGATAGACAATGTTTCGACCACAAAGATGTATGCTCGACACATTCAACTTTCACGAAGGTAGCTCCAGGGCACGAAGAAAAACGAACGCAGTAGGAAATATCCCGCTTGTCAAACGAAACACTACAAAGCGATTTATAATTTATTTCATCGTATTTGGAATAAATTTAAGCGCTTGAGTTGAAATAAGATGCGGGCGCGAAGTCGGATTGGAAATGTATGTTGGCGATGATACCCTTGATCTGTTGGATAATTGTTTTCAAGTTTCAGAATAAAAGCTTATGCTATCTGAAATGAGAATATCAACTGGATGAGTAAGAAGCATACTTTGAGAGGATTGTAAACTCACCTGCTCCATGAATGACCCTTGCGACCGAGCGCGTTGAGAAGGGGGGCTGGTCAGGTGACTGTACCCTCATACTGCCAAGTCCAACGGAATTACCTCGCTGTTGGTTGTCTGCGAATAATCTGTCTATGATGTGTGCATATGAAACTATTTATGAGGAATTGTTTTTAAAATAGAGTTTGATACTGCAAAGCTCTATGATGTACATTTAAAACCGGTGTCGTTGCAAAATTACTGTACAGTACTGACTACATTGTGTAGTTTCATCAATCTTCAGATCTATTCTGTCTTACATACCACGGTCAAGCTCACGAGACTATGTATGTACTTGGCTGACGTGACTCCCAAAGACGATGTTCATTCGTTGGAGCTGTATGGCTTGACTTTCGCACATGATGCTTGCTGGCTTGGGAACGAGGGGTTGCCCAGCTCCAGTCAGCTTGTACAGCAGCTTTCGCCAATATTGGAAAACATGGTCTTTCAAGTCACTAGTATTTTGAAGTAGATTTTGAAGACTTTTAGATAATTGCTGGATCTTTATATTATTTAATTTACATAGTGTTTAATGTTCCGAGGTATGGTTGTAACACAGAAGTGGGTCTTACCCCTCCAGTCTTATCGATAAATGCCGGTGAAGCAGCGCTTTGCGGAGAAAGTAGCCAACACACTCTACGGGGACAAAGAATGCGTTTGCAAATCAAATCGGACCACCGTCACAGTCACAGTCACACTCTTAGCCATATGAGGTGTCTGCTTACCCAAGAGGCTTCCAAGCCCGGCATCTCTTGTGTCTTTGCGACAACCTCATTTAAAAACAGAGAGCATGTTTGGACTTCCTCGGTGACTTGTACATGTTGACATAGTCACCACCGAGCTAAACGTTAATCACATACTGTACGCACTACTCCTCCTTGTGTCCGTTCAAACATGAATTCTGCCTTTGATTTTATTTGGTCTATAGCTAATACAATACAAAGTATCGCGCAAACACCTGCGAAGAACAACTTTGACCTCGAAGTTGGACATAGTCAGCGAACATGGCTCCCGAATTCCCGACCTACCTCCTGCCCTCCACCTTCTCCCTCCCATATCGACGGCGACAGTCTTCTACTACGAGCACAACCTCTATAATATCTGCGCCATCTCTCAGCTCTTCACCGACCTCTACACCATCCTCATCTCCTCCAACGCGGTCCTACATCCCTTCATTCCTCACAGCTCACTCCTCTCTTACCGAAGCCCTCGAGAAATCAAAGCCCAAACCACAAGGCTCTGAGCCCAGACTGCAGCGTACAGCCCCGAATACCTTGAAATGCATCACCTGCGCGTCGGATATCGCGTTTGCTTCCCAGATCGTGTCTAAAGGCTTTACTGGGCGACACGGTCGAGCATATCTCGTCGCCCCACCAGAACCCGCAAACAAACCCAGAGTCAACGAGTTAATCAACACAAGGATCGGACGCTCTGTCAACCGCGAGCTTCTTACCGGCGCACATGTTGTGGCAGATGTCACCTGTAAAATATGCGGAACAGTACTAGGTTGGAAGTACGTGGATGCGAAGGAGCTGACGCAGAGATACAAGATTGGGAAATTCATACTGGAGATGAAGAGGGTGGTGTTGGGCGTGAATTGGGGTGATGAAGAACCGATCGTGGATATCGATGGTAAGAATAAGGAGGCGGAGGTCATTGTTTTCGATAGCGACGATGAGGATGAATGTGAAGATCTTTTCGCTGGGACGTGGGATAGAGATGTTGTTGCGAAGCGCAGAAGTCGGAGGACTGGATGGAGGAAGAAGGAATCGGTATGACAGGGTTATGACTTTGGAGTCTCAGCAGCCTAGAGGGCGAACAGCAACCATTTAATAAGCGTAGCATCATACACGACATGATATGGCACTAGCATGGCTCGCAGGACGCAGCATTGGGTATGACTTCTTTGGGATTTTTGTTTAGGCGTTGCGGTACTGGGTAATACTTGGGATTAGACTCTGCTCTCTCCCCTACGAACTTGGGACAAACGGTTTTGCGGCATTTCACATATACCCCACTACATAGCTTGGAAATAGCATAATTAATGAATAGTTTTATCTTGGTTATAGCTTTGGTTATAGCTTCTCATATTGCTTGAGTTCGATTGAAGAAATACTGATAGAAGCCGAGGTCCCTTAGGCACAACACGGAATCGAATTCGGCATTTCCCCATTCTAGCTCGAGTCGAGTATCAACCCACAAAAGTCGATAAGAATCCGGCACCGGCAGATGCTAGCTTGTACGGGGTGAGCGAAAAGCCCGAAAAGCCTGCAATATCTATAGTGGAAAATGGAAAGGCTTTAAGATACGCTATTCATGAAACCGTTGGAAATGGTATATTATAATCCACCCATTCCCGAGATAACTTCACTTGTTTTACTAAGATGAAATTTCACACTTATCCCCAATTCAGCAAATGAGCTTACGAGGCCGAGATATTGAATCAAGGTAAAGATATGCGCTTGGTATAGTTCTGGTGGACAAGGGACAAAAAGCTCGCTTAACACAATGAACTCGAAGTCAACAAAGAAGAAAAGCACTTTTCCTTGTTGACTCCTTTGACCAGTGGCATAGGGACATGTTTCTGTTCTTTAAACAATACTCTCGGTTTACTATTATAGTATGGCTGCTTTCTCAATAGGATGAGCTATCCTCGACAGATTCTGTACTTCAGCTTCAACAAAGTGGAAGTTACAACAGTCATCCATCTTTTATCCAACACCCAGGGAGATAAAACTACTCATTAAGTACTGATCCAAGTCCCACAGGTAAGTATGTCCTACCACCACTCCACCCCCTCCCCCACCTTCACCCCCCTCGAACTGGAAACCCTCAAACAAATGCTCCTCGACGCCCACCTAATCCGCGCACCCACCTCCCCCGCCCTAACCCCCTCACAAACCCAAACCGCCCTCCACCACTGCATCCACTCCTTCATCGCCATCTACCCCCACCACTACGCCCTCACGCCCTCCTCCCTCCGCGTCTTCGTCCGTCAAAACTCCGCCTTCTTCGCGCAACCGCGCAGTCGTCAACAGATCGACGCGGCGCGCGCGACGTTGGCGGATATCCAGCGTGCGACTAAGAAGCTGGCGGCGCATAATGCGAATCTGGGGACTGCCCAGGGGGAGGCGCGGGAGTATAGGGAGGTGGTGGATGCGGCGGAGGTGTTGATGGGGTTGCATTTTGAGGATGCGTTTTTGTCGGTGAAGAGGGCGGAGGAGATTAGATTGTGGAGTGAGGGTGTGAGGGTGAGTGTTGAGGGGAGTGATTGGTGAGGTAGGTTGGCTTTTCTTTGTGGTTGAATTTGTGTTTTGAAAGCGAGGGGGGGAAGTTGGTAGATCGCTTGCTTGAATGATGAATACAAATGTATATACACGCTCAAATTATTTTTTGCCCTGATTAATGATAGTGATTGCTCTATAATAGAACTAGTCTTACTTACGTCGAATGTGTCGTCTTTACAATTTATCTGAAAAGTGTGCGTGATCAAAAAAGGAAGGAGGTGGAATTAGTACAGATATCCTTAAAAGCTTCGTCAACGACACTTCAAGGATTTGCGAGACTCCGATTCAGCTAAGCCAAATGAAAACAACCTGACTGTAAGCGATATATTTGTAGTATGTTGCTTTCACGACAGATTCAACATGAAAACTGCCTTGCATGAATCTTAAAACGGTGGTGTTTGGAAACCATCATAGTGAATAGAAACAAAACGGGTTCATTCTATAACCCTCACCACCGTATTGCGCAGCAACACTGGTAGGACTATATAATTACAGCAGCAAAACCCTACATTTGTATCTACATTCCCACACAAAGCACTCCACCCAGCCCTTTATTCCCATACCTCAAAACCAAAAAGATGTACTCATTCAAAACCTCACTCTCAAATCCCAACACCTATCCATTCCCCACCAAGCCACCACCCCCGGACCCCAGTTTTACCATCATAATGAGATTCTGCCTCAAATGCGCATTATATGAACTCGACATGCATCCTCGCGTCGAACATACGGAGGCGGAATGGGAAGCGTGCGCCAAATTGTCTAGGACGCCTCGAGATCCGTATCATTGGGCTTATAATGAATGGGATGATGTGAGGAAGAGGTATACGGGCGAGGTGGTTAGGAGGGAGGTTGAGAGGGATGGGAGGTTTTGTGTTTGGAGGGATGTTGGGGATATGGTGTGACGTGATGGGGTGGATATGATGTGTGACGGTGACCGGGTGACTAATTTGTTGATACTTGTTGGTTGTTGTGATTGATGGTATGTGATCTTCTGATCTCAAGATACTTCGTTTTGAGTTTTAGTGAGGGATTAGTTGCTCCAAACAAGGGAAGGAAATATACAGGATTGAGTCAGGTCGATACAGAATATTGTGCTCCTGTTGCGACTCGAATTTGCTAATCATAACTTACATCGCAGAGTTTGCTTTATCCTCAAGAGTGCTGGAAGTATATATTGAGAGAGTTTTATCTTTTAATTATTACTGAAACCGATGGTGTCAGTGTGCTCACAACTCATCTGTATTACTTACGTTATTAATCAGTTAAATGAGTGCGAATCACGCAACTCATTTTCATGAGTTAAGTGGTTATACCAAATTACCAGAGTGTTGAAAAATAAGTGGAGGTTACTCTTCAAGTGTGTATTTTGGTTGTGAACTCTTTTTCAGTGGCTTGCAATCCTGTTTTAATATTTTAGAAAATAATTTGTACGTCACGAGGCAAGCTTGTCTGGAGACAGTCGATCTTATATCAACAAATACTGAAGCAAAATCTGCTCAACGATTTACTGCGCATAGACTTAGTAAGCCTTACACAAACATATGACTTAACAATCTGCACCTTCAAGGCCAAATACTTGTAGCTGGGAAATTAGAAGGGTTCGATAGCAAAGACATTAACTTCGGGACAAACTCTTGCCTGGTTTGCTTAATTACATTAACTTCCAATTACAGTCATATCAAAGCATTTCGTAAAATGTCTCATTTTTATCTATAATGAGTCCAGACAACGTCCCGTATGATTGATCTTTAATGCTTAGCGAAATCGACATCTGCTACAAATACAAACCCATTCTTCTCTCAACTCATACGGCTAACTAAATTGTATTAAAACGAATGCTGTCTGACTTCCAACCTACCCAAGAAACAAACGTGGGATAAAACCGGGAAACAAATCTTCCTTGTGTCTTCACATCTGAAAGCACTTCACCTAATATGAATCCTCCAAACCCATCGGACACTCAAACTCCCAACACCGGTAGCAACTCCAGTTCCACCCAAGTAGATTTTACACCAGGAATGAAGCGTTGTCTCAAACATGTTCTAGGTCATTTCGGAATGCTATCCGCCGACAAGGAATTCTCTGAATTTAAATGGGGGATTTGTCTGGCGATATTCTGCAACCGCTTGACTCGAATCAACAAAGACAGTTCTGTTACGATATCCGAGAAGCCGTTGACTGGAGAATCATTGAAACCATTTATTGATATCCCCCGGAATCCATACGTCGACGATGACATGACAAAAGATTGGACATTTGAGATCCTGAAAAGAGAGTTCAGAGACCATAAGGCTTACTATCTCTCTGGCAACCCTCGCAGCTTTTATCTTCCTCAAATCGTAATCAAAAACAATGAAACTACTCAATAGAACGTGGTGATTTTTGATTTTTTGACTTGGAGTTGTTGAGGGATGTATCGTTTGGGCTTAATGGAATGCTCAGTTCTTAAAAGTAAACTAGAGGCTAGCAGCATAAATGGAATGATGGGAATAAAGTCATACAGTCAGACACCGTAGTGACTTCCTGCAATAAGAACTTGAGCCCTGAATATCTAGATCAGACAAGAACCAAAACACTGTTTAACCAACCGTGCTGTAGAGTTTGATAAATATGGATATAAATATCAATAAGAGTGGCCAGCTACGTGGTAGCTGGTAAAGCTACATATATATTCGCTAAATCAGCTATGGCCGTTTTCGTACAAAGACGAAGTATCTTCCTTTTATTTGATCGCAAAAATGTAATGGGTTTGAAGTGCTTCTTAAAAGTCCTTTGAAAGCCCAGATAATCTGCCTATACTAGTCGCATTTTAAGTTGAACCTTCTATCGTGGCGTGAAAGGGAAACACAACTTTACAAAACCTCCCTCTGGGGGTTGTCAGATCTTCTTCCTGGACTCCAGAGATGCTTTGGCGTTGTCGTTTGTTCTGCTTTCAGCCTTTCAGATTTGAACTATACGTGAGTGATTCCTTGATGTCTGACCGTTTCGGACCCATTATGGAAAACTCTAGCATTTTATCGAGAAGTTTGAGGGGGGGGTATTAAGTCAGGAGTGCTATTTCGTCCTACACACCTCATAGTAGTATTCTGACATGAAGGAGAATGTCTGTCAACGGTGACAGCATTGGACTTGGCAACAACTTCTAGGCGATGACTGAAAGTCCGCTGGTAGAATCTTAAGTATGGATTGCTAGTCTGTCAATTCAAGTTCAGCTGCTGTCACATCATCACTAGTTTGCACTTTAACGTTAACGGTGGGAGGTCAACGGTGATTCTATTGTTATATGACCGCTTTGGTCTAGGAGAAGTCTAGCCGAAACATCAAGTTATTGAAAAGAATACATATGTACAAGGCCATAACCGTTTCCGAACACGTTACCATTCGAATTGCCACCAGCAAACGAGCCTTGGTATTGGTGGCCACGGCGAGGCCAAGCTTGAGCTAACACCAATACGTTTGTTATAGGCTCTCCTTGGTTCAAGAGGAGTCTTCCTCTCGATCAACAACATCAATTGGCGATCAAGTACGTGCCCGCGCGTACCGCTCGTACCAATCGGAGATTAGTGCAAACAGATCGCCTGTAGTTTCGCCAGCTGCCTCGGAGGCTGCATTGCGTATCTGGATGTACCGGCGCTTCAAAATTTCCTGTACATTTTGCCTTTGCCCCGGAAGGAGTTCAAAGATATCATACCAGCATTGCAGCTCAGAGAGGGGCGCGAGATAATTGTTATGATGTGCTCCTGGTTGAGTAGGTGCTCCCGCGGTACGTGGTCGCTGCCCTCCTGGCGATGCAGTTTGACGTGTGCCGTAAGGCGAGACGAGGCCTCCGAGGTTTTGATCTGCAATAATGGTACTGGTAATGGTGAAGGTGGTCGGATAGCCATGAGACACCGGAGGAGGACTCACGTTGAGAGCGCTTTGTCCGTAGGTAGCAGGCTGATAATTAGCTGCGAAATAGAATTACGATTCAGGCCCCCCGACCGTACGCGTCACGAGTCGTGGAAAAGGCTTGCGGGCTTGCATTACGATTCAGGGCCCCGAGCATTAGTCTGGGAGTTGCCTTCATGTCCACCGAATTGGCCGTTCCAATTCGGGGTGAAAGCCGACCAGGCTCTCTTTGAACAGTTGTATGTGAAACGCGGGGTGGAGGTCGATGAGAATAGCTAGTCATTCGACAAACCACTTCTATCAAGTTATTACCACCCGGTAGATGATTGAAATAGTAGTCGATGTGAGGGGGAGAGGTTTGAGGAGTCTGCATATTGCCATGGAAGGGCGAGCCTAGCTTGGACGACAACGCATCTGAACGAACACTGTTAGCTATTGTTTATCTACACCTGATACCTCTCTCGCGGAAAAGAACAGCGTTCTGGCGATATATTCCTATGAAAATCCATTGGCCAAACTTACTTTATTGTGGCGACAACCGTCTCCCCTTATATGATTGAATGTGGAGATCCTGCCACTAGTCGCTTGCCCGCTCTTCTTCCCACGTCGTGCGATTTTCAAAGGTGGAGGTGGTCATCGTCGCTTTCGTTCTGTCGAGGTCGAGGTCGACAGGTCGTTGAAGCTGCGTGGGAAGGGGTTTGTTAAGTCCTAGACCGTGTTAAGGACCATTTTCTGTCGTAGCATAGAGAATCTTGCACTTAGGTCCTTAACACGGTCTAGGAGTTAAGCGGTACTAAATGGGCGATGAGGCGGTAGGGGTCACCACGACGATGGGTATGGGGGTCCGAGTCTGAGTATTGTAGGGTTTGATCTGGGATTTGGACTGCCGCTGGGTGCAGTTGGGCTGCGATGTTGAGGATATGCGCTCAGCCCGTTCTGGGCTAAGACTTATGAAAAAATCTTTTAGCTGTTGCAGCCGGAAATGATACTGGTCATGGTGATCGTCTTGTGTCGCTTTTCTTGGGTGGTTTAATGCCGGCCTCGGCCATTCTGATAATCTCGTCAATGTCATCAGCTTCTCTAGCAGCGCCCTACGGAGCAGGTTCAAAGACTTGATGGGGGTGAGTTCTGGGACATCGCCTCAAGCTCAAGATAAAGTCCGTCCCTCCTATCTCGCTCACGGTGCAAGCCCCGATCCACTGAGATCCTTTCACGACGCTTGTTCCTGTCTTTCTCGGCATCTTCGTCTTTCTCTTTCAAGCGTCGGATGACCTTGTCAAATGCCGAGCGTCGAAGTACATCAGTACCAACTGCCAAGTATTCTTCAGATTTTTCGATTCGGGGCTTGACCCTCTCAAAGGAATCATCGGCGCGGATAGGAGGTTCTAAATATTTAAGCCCCGAACGAATCTCGTCCGCAGCAGCTCCACATTGTTGACTCTCAGCTTGGTGCTTGTCGGCACTGCGCCTTTCTATAAAGCTATATAAAGTTAGTTGATCGTTCTACCAGAAATGAAAGCTCAGCTTACACGCTTTAAAAAAAAAAAAAAAGAAAACCTCACCCCGAAAGGATCATTGGTGCGAATAGCGGGATCCAAGTCCTTAATGTATGAACGGAGACTGCCCACAGCTCTACGCTGTTGGCACTCAGGTTGGAAGATCTGCATCCAGTCTATGCGAAGGGTCGCTTTGCGGATGATTGCAATATGCCACTAGTAGAGGTCAGCGTTGGTAGACGGAGATTGAATTTGGAATTCTTACCAGCAGGAGATCTTCAGGTGCTGTATACTTCTGACTTGATGTTCTCAAATCGTGAGAAGAATAATAGATAGACATCTTTGTAAGAACTCGGTCGACTCCTACTTCGTGTAAGCTCAGTTCCATTTGATTCCCACCTGGTATGAGAGTTCAACTTACCAGAGTATGATCCAAGGATCCGGCTCCTACGTCTGCATGATTTGCAGTCTGCCCTTCTATCGTACGGCAAGACAGGACGCGTTCTCTTCAAACTCGCCGTCCGCATCAATCTCACACGACGACTCATCGTGAATTGCCCTCTTCGACCACGAGTCTGACCATGAGAGAACATGGTGGCCGCTCGATCACTGGCCGATCTTCTTGGTCGCCTCACAATGTAGCTTGAACTTGAGGCTTGCAAACTTTCGAAAGCTTCTTGACGGTCAGGCGCAGCACAGGACGGTTTATACTGCTAATAAGATGGCTGTACTTACAGATCGCGTGATGCTTAGAGCAAAGGGTACGGTGAGTCCTTTCTGGAGCTCAGGATTGGCGGATAAGTGCTCTCAGAGAGAGTGCGAAATAGATCTTGTCTTAGAAAAAGGGATCCAGATGATGGCACTACAACGAGAGGGTCGAGTGCAAGTGATCGCTGTTGATCTTCTGTAGACGGCTCGTGTTCCTGGTGTTGAGTATGTAAATAGAGCAGAGTCTTGAAAATGAATGTTTTGATTGTGCGGACGGATGGTTCGAAAGGGAGATTTTCCGCAGATAAATGCCCTCAATTAGTCGGACTAGCGTGTGGGGTGGATCCCCCGAGATCATGTGTGGCGCTCTCTGATATACCTATCTAGGTGTCGAAGACTTGCCAAGTGGAGACAATGTAGACGAGGTCCTTCACTGAATGCAGAAGAACGAGTGGGCAATAGGTAACGGATAAATGTAAGTAGATACAATGATATGTATAGACTCAATGGAACCATTGTTACATATTTTACAACCAGAGATATGAGCCAAGAGTGTGAAAAGACTTGCCAATTCACACAAAGCACCTTCACTTTTCTTCTGTGGTTGTGCTGGACCCCCCTTGTTCCCCCCACAATCGACAAACTGGTACCTCCTTCAGATACAACAAGTTACTTCCTCACCCAGGCGAGCCTTTTCTATTATCAGACAGAGTGCCCATAGCTTCGCATATTGTAGAAGACAGCCAGCCGAACATAATAACGCCAGAAAGGTATGTTGACGCGTTGTCACAGCTTCCGCGAACGAGGAAAAGCCACCTCAAGGGTATGAGGAGATTACCACCATACAGAGCTACCATCAGAGATGCTGCGATGAGAAAGGCAGACAGGCCGAACGCTAATAGAATTTGGAGACAGCTAGGAATCAAATCTAAGCAAAGAAACACCACCATATTTCAACAGCTTTCGCTTTCGCAATTCCTCGTCTTACCACATCCCCCAGTAAGTAACATCACATCGAGCCGCACAGCTACAGATAGCAGTCGGCAGGAAGCCGCTGATACGAGCAGGTGATTTACGCTTCTGCGAGAACAACAGCTAGTGTGGGCGTTGAGATCACCGCGACGACTATCCGACGGTCAACCAGCATCGGCCTTCAGCGTCGATCTCAAACCTCTGCTCACTAGCATATAATAGGCACAACAACATCATAAAACCAACGTATTCACGTACAGAAGAACAGTAAGAAGTCAAGCGTCGATTTCCTCTTGTTTGCGAGTATATCCAAATCACATGATAAGAGAAGACTGAGCTTGAAGGCTAACACCTTTGTGTAAACAGATATCGAAGACCGGATACCAGCATAAAGATTTGTTTATCAAAGCAACATTCGTACAAATGGCTACCATCTCAAACAACGTCCTGACCGTTGGCCGACCTTCAAAAGCTGCTGCAACAACAGCTGTTTGTTCCGTAACAGGAAAGGGCCGGAACTCTACAGCGGTCGTCTTGCCTTTGGATAATGCGCCGGTAACCATCGAGTCTTTCTGCTCAACTCAACCAATGAGACAAAATAGGGGTTTGAGAGCTTGTGCAACTTTTAAGTTTCTTCACGATAAATACGGAAGCTTCTCTCTAGAGGTTATCCAACACAGTCTGTTAAGCTGCAATTTATCGATAGACCCAAACTGACATAATGCCTAGTCCACGTCCACCAGCAATTCGAGAAAGCCAAATACTGGGGTGGTGATGGACGTCAAGGACCTATGCCCAGGTATACTGTTTACAGATAATTTAGACAGCGAGGTTTCATCCTCGGAAGAAGAGTATCATTGTTTGTGCTTGTAAGAAGGATACGCTTCAGAGAAAGAGACAGTTGTAGTATACCAAACAAACTGGAAGGTGCGAAGTGGTGGGGGATAGAAACACAACCTGGCAGTCGCTATTGATACCCGATATTCGCACGAAAGCTTACTGAAACAATCGAGATGATACATGGGCACCAGCCGTATGAGCTGGAGGCACGGTCTGGGATCGAGTCGTACTTTATGCCAGTGACGCGACGAACAGCTATTATTCATACTACAACGGAAATTTATACAGGTACGAAATGAGTTCCATTTTGATGGACAACTGGAATGAGATATTGTTGGTTGCGGGAACACCAAGCCGTAAGTACTGCTCTAGCATGTATTGTAGCAACAGCTGACGTGTATAGAGTACACATAGGATATTCGTGGAGTAATAGAATTTTAAGCATATCGAGTACACTGCTCTCACTCGAAGCGAATGATGCCATCATGAACCTAACGTTTCCTTGTATTTTTTTGTCTCATTTCTGTTTCTGACCTACACGACTCTTAAGAAAGCAAGCCAGCCACCAAACGCAGTTCAAGTCACGCACTTCTCTGCTATTGACTCTTGCAAGATGATAATGACAATGAACGAAGTTCCGCATTCAGCACTTAAACTAAAGTAAAATAATCCAGTAAGTCACACTTGTGAAGACTTCGAAGATCACTAACTCGAACTTCTGATCTTGTATTGACAGTGACGCCCCGAGAGATAATCTGCATAAGGTGGGTAGCATGCTCATCAGTGAGTTCCGACTTCTTTGCTTTTGGTTTGACCTTCCCCTGGGAGCAGTGACAATACACTTAGATACAAGTGACAGTCTGTCTAAGACTAATCTATACTTCCAGCCCTCTCCTTTCAGAAATACAGATAAATGACTAACAGTGGTACTTCGAACAGGGAACATCTGCAAAGCACATACTAAGCCACGAGACCTACACTGAAAGCCACGGATGTCACACTCGCAACAGCGGTATACTATCAACTGCTCCAACGTGGAGGCGCGGATGAACCCAATCCAAACAATCTCTGCTAACACTTGACATGGTAATTCTCAAGCACATGCTTGTTATTCCCGGCCACCAAGCAGAGTCCAATGTCAAAATCTGCTGGCGGATCTGTCCTGGCGTTATGCGGCGTGATGGCCACCACTCGCTTGACCCAGTACTCAAGAAAGAACAACGCAGAACCAGATCTTGCTTTCATGAAATGACAAAGCTATATGACCCCATACTACTGTGGATCCGACATCGATCGAACCGCATCGCGCATTTCATGTCCTAAGAAAACAAACATATTGTGATCGCTCGCGGACGCTGCGTCTTCAGCCTCGCAGTCGTCAAGACTGACTCGAAGCCCATTTTTAATGCCAACTTATAGGCAAGAGAGGGCAATACCTCAATGGTTCTGTAGCAGCCACAGAAACCGACAGCAAATCAAATAACTTCCACAGCGGGGTCCCTCCTTTCTCCGACTCATGCCTTCGCTCATAGTAAGGCAGGGCCAGCTCTCGGAAAGATTTACAAGATAAAACAAATCGATACCAAATAGTAGCCTTCCAAGCGGATGGCTACAACCTGTTCGAGGTTTTAATATTGCGTAACTGCACTCTGATGTCTCATGTTCAAATAGAGGCTTTTAGTTAAGGTCTGCTTCTGCCTGATGACAGTAGAGGCTAAGCTCAGATTCCGAGGCAAGTGGGAGTCAACACACATGTTTCTACGGCTCGACAAGCTAACAGTGTTGCAGAAACTTCTACACTTGCCCATTTGCTGGTATTTCGACCGATTCTTGGTGAAACCTATCATCTGCGCCCGCATAGAACTAGCTAATAGGGACGAAACCAGACAATGCATCCCTACTCGTCCTGAAATGGAGTTTCGAAGCCTCAAATCCGCGTCATCGAAATAGCTTTCGTCAATGATCAAGTCCGAAAGTAAAGACTTATCAGATTAGCCTATCAGTCATTTGACTTCACACCCATCATAAACACAAACATACTTGGATATTCTGTGGAAGATCTTCATCGGTGTAACTCTTTGATAGGACCGTCCAACGACTGAGAAATTTAAAACTAAAAAGAAAAGTCAACAAGAAAAACTGTCAAAAAGGTTGTGAGCTCGTGGATGCTCCCGATCGCCTATAGTCACAGCAATGAGTTGCCAGCCAGCGTTATTCCTCTGAGATGCGGCTAATTCGAAGATAGGATCATATTCCGCCGCCACATCCATAAGGTGTTACCTAGCATTGCAAAACCATCGCTTGAGGTTGCTGGTCGAAAATAGCACAAGTACCTTATAGTCTACAGAGCAGGCTTACAGACAAGACGACTTGACTACTAAAAGTGAGGAATTGAACATTTAAAGGAGAAACAACAAGCAAACTACTAAAATCTCGTGGGCTCTGTGCGCCGCATTCTAGGCCATAGTCTCGGGTCTATAGTAGGGAGCAGAACGATCATCGAGTTTCGACTCGCGGCGTCTGACCAAGAAATGTATGGGAATGCTAGCAAGACCGCTGCAATCTGCAAGACAACTGTGTCGTACATTCCTTTTTCTGTTGCAGATTGCCTCTCCCAATATCGTTCTCCTGTCCACATTCTCCTACCATGGCCACGTTGAACGGCCAGCCTCAGAAAGGTCCTCATGTGGAGGTTCCTCTTTCCAAGCGGAAATTTGGGGATCTTGCCGGAGTCGATGAGCATCCAATGTTTTTCCCAGGCCCGTTTGTCAAATCTATCAGTCGAAGTTGTTTTTCAGAATTGTTCGATTCGTCCGGGCACGATCGGCCATCGTCGTCGGACTTCAATGACGACCAATGCGCGCAAACAGTGTCGGCAGGCGTCCTAAGCAACCAAATCCATCACCATCGTTATCGGGTTCCGCGAAATGCTTCGTTCATGCTGGAAAAGATCAAGGAGTGTATCCGTCGCGATGGAATGAGCTGCCTCTCTCCGTTGTCTCCCAAGTTGTGGGGAGGGACAAGCATGCTCGTCGTTCAATCCCAAGTCGTCTCCCCCACCATCAAGCCATCTTCATGATCCACGTCTCTTTGCATATTCCTACAGACTGTATCTGTCTTCCAAGTATTCTGATGAAGAAGTAAACCGCGACGTGGGGTTGAGCGTGTGGGGGTTTACCGCGTTCGTCGCTGGACAAGGGAGGTTGGTGCTTGAGATCGAGCGTGGCGTTTGCTTTTGTTCCGTTTCAAGGCTTCCAGGTTCGTATCTATCTCAAGCTGCTCAATCTAGGTTAGGAATTCCCCATGGTCGGGAAAAAGCGCAAACTTACAGGTTCAATAGTCAAATCAATCATCCAAGAACCTGCATCCACCCACCCCTTCGCTCCTTCCTTTGCTCTATCAATTTGACATTAGGCAAGCTGCGTTGATAAAGATGCTAAGACAATGCAAGGCACATCTTGAATCTGCTGGAATGGTTCTTTGAAGTTGATTGATTCATTTGTACATTTATTAACTTCTCAGGGCTTCACCCGTCACCACAATGTGGTTAGATTTGGATTGTGGGGGGCGCTATCACCTCCAGCCGACATCTCCCCGCAGTATTACAAAAGGAAATTGTTAAATCAATAAGGCAAAGCACCAGTTCTCGCATCCAAAAGTCATCATTTGTTCAAATGTATGCAATTATTGTTTATCATAAAATATACAATGTATTGAAGTCTCAAAGTCTCAATAAAGGAAGCAAACTCAAACATAGAGGTACAAGTAAGCCACCCAAGCACCCTTGCATTAGAAACCCATGAATGCTAAACTCCTTCGCTCTGTCGCTCTAGGGAATACAACTATCGCTCAAAACTTAAGACACTTCTCCCTCCCTAGTCTAAAGGTAGAAAGGTGAGGAAGGAAAACAGAAATAGGAAAAGCACTTTTGATAAACTCCGATATTTCCCCAATGTTGGATACGCGCGAGCGACAAAGGTTCCCGTATATGTATTCCCAAAAAGATCAGCCGCTCACTTCGGGAGGTGAAGGTGAGCGGAAGATCAAGACTCAAGTGAGTAAGAAGGAAAGTCGTAAGATGGTGTTGGTAAGAAGAGCATAGGCGCTGGGTAACCGTCACGTGGAACTCCCCCCTTTGTAGAGGCGAGTCTCGTTTTCTTCCTCCTTCGTACACCACAGTCCGAAAATATACAAGCTCATCCGATGCGAGAGCATCTATCTTCGGCAAGAGGTATTCCAGCTGTCACTTGGGTAGTGGACTGGACTTGGTGGCGGTGGAGCAGGTGGGTAATAGTCGTTTGTGTCCATTCTGCTGACGAAGGTATATGGCGATTTGGCTTTTGAGTTCAAGCTTGCCGAGAGAGAAAGGTTGATATCCTGTCCGAATTTGCCATTTGAGAGGAGAGGAGAGTGGCGGCGTGGGACTGGGTGGGCCACCGTTGTTGAGGTTTGAGAAGGCATTGTATATGTGGTTTGTGTTGTTCTGATTTCGAGAAACTCAGGTCTTGCGAGTTGGACTTCTTGTAGTTTTGGGGACTTCTTGGGATGAGCTGACGTAACATTAGTTTTGAACAATAAAATATGACTGCATCTTGCAGACACGGCAGCGCCGAAGTGAAGGTGTTTGACTTACCAAGCAGCTGATGGGTGTGTGGCCGAACAAGTCGAAGAGTTGGTTGAATTCGGTGTGAGTCGATGATTGATGAGTGATTGGTAAGGTAAGCACACTTTCCTTCGAGTTTACTGGAATACTCTTGACTTTAGAGACGAATAGTTGAGTTTTTGGAGATTTGAGCGAGAATTATCAATAGGAAAGCAGGAGATTTTTTTTCCATAGGGGGCGAGCACCATGAATTTATGTTTTCTCGCAATCGTCTCATCTTTTGAAGACCCCCATGCCGAACTCAGTCCCAAAAGCGGGTGAGACAACTCATCCCTCCGGACGCTTCGACCTTGCCAGGTTCAATAATGGATGTTT